TATATCATAGTTTTTATTATTTAACTTATGGAATTTCAAAAAAAGAATTTTAACTATTTTCATTAAACTTTAGGTAATTAAGCAATCAATGGCCTTTTAAACTGGGGAATATTGCTTTTGTTGTTGTTACTATGTGTTTTTTGTGTTTTCGTATTGTAAACTGCCCCGTGGTCCTTGGATGAGGGGTGATATAGAAATGTAATAAATAAATGAATAAATAATAAAACAACAATAAGCATTTCAGCCACAAGCATAACCATGCAGAATAATTTCAGCTACAGGCATAACTTACAAGAATAAGTTCAGTTACCACCATTCCTCTGCGTCTAAATCAATCCATGACATTTGCTTTGTCGTGGGAACCAGCAAGGGAACTACCAAGGTAAGAAGGCTCAGAGCATGGGGCGTGGTGGTGGGACAATGATGAGTGATCAAAGGGAGAAGAGAGAGAAGACTGGAAGAGGAGGTGTTGGAAGCTGAAGAGGTAACAGGGTTTAGGGAGCCCGTGGGATGGCTTGGGGATTTGGTTCCCAGGAGGATGGCTGGGAGAGAGAGCTGTGTGGGCATTTACAAGTTAGAGAAGACACAAGCAGAGGGCAAGACTGCACCAAGAGACCCACAGCCGGCGTCTCTCCTGCTGCGGTGATGGAACTATGAGGCGAACTCCCTTGTCTGTAGGACCTGCTGCTGGGAGCTGGGCAGGAACAGGAAGAGTGGAGGGGAACTGTCCTTCCTTCCATCTGCTGCTTTTCAGCTCTCAGTTTCATGACGTAAGCCTAGACTGTGAATAAGGATGTCCACTGAGCACCGGTCCTGAACGTGGAGTCAATAAGGGAAGATTAGAACTAAAGCAGGGGTCAGCAACCTTTTTCAGCAGTGGGCCGGTCCACCATCCCTCAGACCATGTGGTAGGCCGGACTATATTTTTGGGGGGGAAATGAACAAATTCCTATGCCCCACAAATAACCCAGAGATGTATTTTAAACAAAAACACACATTCTACTCATGTAAAAACACGATTCCCAGATTGTCGGCGGGCCGGATTTAGAAGGCGATTGGGCTATATCTGGCCCCTGGGCCTTAGGTTGCCTACCCTTGCACTAAAGTTTCACCCGAAGTTAATCATAAATTCCTGATTTCAGTCTTCCTACGTTTTGCAAAAGCAGTATTTGTTCAGTAACACTCGTTTTATTGATGCTTTACAGTTCTTTTCCTACCCCACCCAGTGGATTTGAAGGTGGTTGGATTTACTCTCAATTTAAATCTAAATATAAACTGCAAGTGAAAGATGCTACAGAGGAGCTGTGAAAGATGCGATCTATGACCCAGTCTTGTGAATGGCAGGGCTGTGCTACGATTCCCTGGAGGCTCCATGTGGTAATCAGAAGTTATGGAAGTTTCCAAAATCCCCACACCGACCGAAGAAAATAGTTGTGTGATGCTCTTCAAGCAGTTAGCAGCAAAAACAGACACCAAATGCTTTTTAATGCTATGTTAAATTAGAGCAGAAACATACTTTGTTATAGCAGATTCCCAGAGCCTGTAATACCACTAAATGTTCCCGTTTCAGGTAACTGTTTACTTACAGCCCCCCTTTTCCTCCAGGGAGCTCAGGGATACAGGCATGGGGCTTTGGGGTGGATTTTCATCCATCCAGGGACTGACTAGACCTGTCTTGAAAGTGGGTAACGATAGCCAAACTTCTGCCTAATATGCGATGTCTGTTTCAGACATAACATGGAAAGGCATTGTTAATTTGCTACCATTACTTGTGCAATGCATGCATGCACAAGCCAGGGTGTGGCGTTCCTGTGGGTTTGCCAGATCATACTTCCTTTCACAATGGACATTTCCCTACTGTAAGTGTGACATTGGAGCAGAAAAGTAAAAGGTAAAGGACCCCTGGGCAGTTAAGTCCAGTCAAAGGCAACTACGGGGTGCGGCGCTCATCCTGCTTTTCAGGTCGGCGTTTGTCCACAGACAGCTTTCTGGGACACTGGAGCACCAAACAGGAACACACTCATCCATACATATGAACTTGGCTTGAGATCAGTTTTCTTCTGTTTTGGGTCCCCAGATATTGTTGGACTACATCATCCCCAGCCAGTTTAGCCAATGGTCTGAAATGACAGGAGTTGTAGGATAGCAACATCCAGGGGACCCAAGCTGAAGAGCATCTTAAGACTTCTCGGCCACATCTCCCTGTGTTGTTAGTAGCAACATGTACTGCATCCATATACTAACATAATAGATCTTTTGCATCACCTGATACAAAAATATCCTACCTCCTACAATGTAGGAATCGCAGCTAAAGCATCCCTGACAGATGCCCATCCAACCTTTGCTTAAAAACCTCCAAGGAAGGAGAGTCCATCACCTACAGAGGGAGACCTGTTGAACAGCTCTTACTGTCAGAAAGTTCTTCCTGATATTTAGTTGGAATCTCCTTTCTTGTAACTTGAATCCACTGGCTCAAGTCCTACCCTCTGGAACAGGAGAACACGTGCTTGTTCCCTCTTCCATGTGACAGCCTTTGAGATATTTGAAGATGGCTATCATATCTCACTCTTCTCTTTTCCTGGCTAAACATACCCAGCTTCTTCAACGGTTCCTCATAAGGCTTGGCTTCTATGATCACCTTAGCTGCCCTCCCCTGCACACTTTCCTTCTGCTCCACATTCTTCTTAAATTGTGGTGCCCAGAACTGGACACAGGACTCCAGGTGGGGTTTGATCAAGGCAAAATAAAGTGGGGCTATTAGTTCATTTGACCAGAAGGTCGGCGGTTCAAATCCCCACGACGGGGTGAGCTCCCGTTGCTCGGTCCCTGCTCCTGCCCACCTAGCAGTTTGAAAGCATGTCAAAGTGCAAGTAGATAAATAGGTACCGCTCCAGCGGGAAGGTAAACGGCGTTTCCGTGCGCTGCTCTGGTTTGCCAGAAGCGGCTTAGTCATGCTGGCCACATGACCCGGAAGCGGTACGCTGGCTCCCTCGGCCAGTAAAGAAAGGGGAGTGCCGCAACCCCAGAGTCGACCACGACTGGACCTAATGGTCAGGGGTCCCTTTACCTTTTATTACTTCATTTGACCTGGACACTATACTTCTGCTGATGCAGCCTAGAACACCAGCCTTTTTTTTTTGCTGCCGCATCACACTGATGACCCATTTTAAGCTTGTGGTCCACCAAGACCCCAAGATCCTTTTCACGTGTACTGCTAGTAAGGCAGGTATCCCCCATCCTATATTTGTGCATCTGGTTCTTCCTGCCTTAGTGCAGAACCTTACATTTGCCCCTATTGAAATTCATTTTGTCAGCTTGTGCCCAGTTCTCCAAACTGTTAAGGTCTTCTTGAATCCTGATTCTGTCTTCAGCGGCATTAGCTGCCCCTCCGAGTTTGGTGTCACATGCAAATTGGATGAGCAGCCCCTCAAGTCCTTCATCCAAATCCTTTATAAAGACGTTGAACAACAGGGCCAGGACAGAACCCTGCGGCAACCCAATTGTCACTTTTCTCCAGGATGATGAGGCAGAATTAATGAGTACTTTTTGGGTTTTAAAAGTCCAATTCCCATCATCTATGGTCTGGGGTGGTGGGAAATGATGCCCATCAACAGAGGGTCACAGGTCCTCTCGTCTGCCCAGCAAGAAAAACTGTGCTTTGAACACCTTTTAAAATTGTTGCTAATACTAAAGCTGCAAAGGCATGTCCTCCTGAATAACCAGCACAGATGTTGCATGGATTGCTCCTGCTCAAATGTGGCATAATTATCTGCCGGTCAAAAGCAAATCAGGAAAGTGTTGGAAGTTCTGCTAAAAGCTAGTTCTGTGGCACAGGCAACTTAGCTGTTTCTACAAAAGTACTCCTGATAGATCATAGTCCATTATATATTATAAATGGTAATAATGATAGTGAGAATTGCAGCATACCTCCTTCAGCCCTTTTAACTTTCATCAGATTTCAGATCATTGAGAAAGTAATTATAATACAAAATCCAATTAAGATGTCAAAGCAATTAGCGACCGAATTCCCATCCCATCTAAAGTGCCCCGAAGTTGCAGCTCCTCTTGTTTGCCTTCCGAGAGAGGCAACGCGCAGCTCAGGATCCGCGGACCGCGCGCTGCGCTTCGGCTCAGAGGAGCAGCGAGGCTCCGCTCTGGGGACGCGCGTCACGTGAGAACGCCGTCCCCGCTCCGTCCCTCGTGAATACCGGCCCCTGGGACGGCGGAGGGTCACCCGGCACATCGGGATGGAACCCGTTGGGGCTTCTACCCCCCTGAGAACGTGGCTCCAAGCGCGGGAGCTTCCTCCCACGAGGGCCGTCGCAAAAGGGCCGAGCCTCTCGAGGGCCACCGACGGCCCCGCGCTGCCGGTCAACCCGGACGCCCGTCCGGCACCCCCGGCGCTTGGGGCGTCCCGAGGCCCAACCCGCCCGACGGTGCTCGTCGAAGGGCCAAAGGGCGGCCAGTTGTCAATGTGCCCCCCCCCCCCCGCGGACCTGAGACGACTTCAGCCCCGCGCGCTCGGAGGGGGATTCCCTCGGGATTCCCTCTTCCCGGCAACTTCCGCCTGCCCGGAGCGCACGAGCCTTTCCCCACTCCGAGTCTCCCCCCTCCGTGCTCCCCGCCCCGTCGAGGCGGAGAGAGAGAGCAGCTCAGGCTGCGCCCACCCGCCACCCCCCATCCCGGCCTCGTGGGCTCCGGCCCGGCGCGTCCGCCCCTCCGAGGAGCCGGCGGTGGGAGCCGCGGAGCGTGCGCGGCGGCGGCGGCGGCCTCGGAAGATGGCGGCGGGCGGGGCGGGACTGGGGCGGCGGCGGAGCCTGCTGGCTTTGATCGCCGCCACCTCCCCTATCTCCGCCCCGGGAAGAGCGAGCGGCGGGCGGGAGGCGGAGGCGGAGGCGGCGGCAGCGGCTCCTCTCCGGGGCTGAGCCGGGCTGGCGCGCCTGCCTTGCCTGCCTTCCGTGGGCTGCTCCTCGCTCGCTGCTCGCTCGCCCGGGGGGAACATGGCCGGGGTGGAGGCGCCGGGGGACCCCGGAGGAGGCGAGGCGGAGGCGGCGTCGGGGCCGGCCGACGAGTCGTCGGACAGCGAAGGCGAGCACGAGGCGCCCCAGAAGCTCATCCGAAAGGTCTCCACGTCGGGCCAGATCCGGAGCAAGGTGGGCGGCCGCGCGCGCGGCGGGGGGGGGGAAGGAAAGTGGGGTGGGCGTCGGGGACCAGATCCGCCCGGGGGTCCGGAGCCCGGACGAGGCCGGGAAAGGAAGCGCTGCTGCTGCCATCGAGGGTCCCCCTTCGCCGTCTCCATTCAGATCAGCCCTTCTCCCCCCCCCCCGCCTGCCTGCCTGCCTTCCTTCCTGGCCGGGGTGGGGCTTGGACCATCGCATCCCTTCCCCCTCCTTCCAGCTGCGGCCACATCTGTCTCTCCCCCCGCCGTGGCGGAGCGACGATCTTGGCCGCTGCTGCTGCTCGGGAGGAGAAGCGGCATCGCCGCGCGCAGGGAGCCGCTCCCGGCTTGGGTTTCCTGGTTGCGCTGCCCCGCCGGCCTTGGACAGGGCGAGCTGCCCAGGAACGGGCTCCCCCCTCGCGGGGCGCTGCTCGGAGGAGCCCTGCGCTCCGCCGGATCCTCCGCCATCCCCGCCCGCCGCCTCCTCTCCCCTGCGGAGCCGGAAAAGAGCGGAGAAGCTCGCAAGAGTCGCCCGGGGAACCCCGCGCCCCCAGCCCGCTTCTCCTAGGCGCCTGGATGGCACAGAGTTAAAAACTGGCAGTGATCTACCCGCTTTTTGGGGGGTTCGGGTGAAAGTTGTTGAGTTTTTTCAGGGAGGGCGTAAAATGTTGAGGTTTTTTTTAGGGGAGCCACAGTTGTTCAGCTTCTTTGTGGGGAGCCAGTGATCTACCAGTGATCTAACGGTAGATCACGATCTACCTGTTGGACTATCCTGAACTACAGGAATAAAATAATTCAGATTAAAAAATCCCTCCAGGAACACTTAGCACCTATCTTGTTTTGTCGTGTCCCGTCCCCCCTCAAAAAAGAAAAAAAGAATCAGCCCTCGAAGTTCAGGGACAGGAGTTTGCTTTCTACCCAGGTCAGAGCATCTCTTAAAGCGCATTAAAACTCTGGAGAATGAAGTAGCTTGATATATCACACACACAAATGTTCCTTTGCAAGTGGCCAGACATGGGGGTGGCTCCTTTAAGGCTAGTGCAGGACTTGTAGCATGTGAATTCAACTTTAAGGTGGGGGGTAGTTAGCGGGTGGTGCTGTGGGTTAAACCACAGAGCCTAGGATTGCCGATCAGAAGGTCAGTGGTTCGAATCCCCACGACGGAGTGAGCTCCCATTGCTCGGTCCCTGCTCCTCTCAACCTAACAGTTCGAAAGTACGTCAAAGTGCAAGTAGATAAATAGGTACCGCTCTGGCAGGAAGGTAAACGGTGTTTCCGTGCGCTGCTCTGGTCTGCCAGAAGCAGCTTAGTCATGCTGGCCACATGACCCAGAAGCTGTACGCCAGCTCCCTTGGCCAGTAAAGCGAGATGAGCGCCGCAACCCCAGAGTCGATCATGACTGGACCTAACGGTCAGGGGTCCGTTTACCTTTACCATTACATTATGGCACTTACTTTTTCTCCGGTCAAACAGATATCTTTAACCATGTGGGACAATATGAATTCTGCCAATTGCGTCAAAGTGCAAGTAGATAAATAGGTATCGCTCCAGCGGGAAGGTAAACGTCGTTTCCGTGCGCTGCTCTGGTTCGCCAGAAGTGGCTTAGTCATGCTGGCCACATGACCTGGAAGCTGTACGCCAGGTCCCTCGGCCAATAAAGCGAGATGAGCGCTGCAACCCCAGAGTCGGTCACGACTGGACCTAATGGTCAGGGGTACCTTTACCTTTACTTTTACCTTACCTTACTTCTAGTAGCAGGTCAAATGGCGACATGGTGGTCTGAGACCTAGCCCAATGTGAACTCTTAAGACCTCGCTCAACTTTCTTGCGGAGACATCGCTTGATGTTGCTTCCACATCCCGCGTGACGTCCTGCCCTCTGCCACCGAGTCCTTGTCACTGAGCAACGTTCACAGTGACATTGCTCACCGATGGGGAGTCCAGTGTGGAATATTAATGCACACAGAGATGCATTAACCCCCCAAAAAAGTTGCCAGGGGTCCCAGTTATTCCCTCGATATGCAGCCTGCACATCATGAGGCGTTTGGGCAGTGCACTGTATTCGTCAATATACTGAAGGTTGGTTGGGACAAGCAATTACGCCCCCCCTCCGCATGTGCACGCACTACATCATCATGTCCCCCAGTGTGTCGACGTCACTCGCGCACATGGCGGGGCATGTGACGTAGCACACACACGCTGGTGTTTGTGTGTGATGATGCAGTGATGCACTTTGTGGGTGCCCTGCTCCCCTTATTCAAAATGTTGGGGAGCCACGGCACCCAGGACCCCTGGGACCTGGCGCCTATGCTTAGCTGTACGCATCTATGAATAAAAAAATTCCTTCCAGTAGCACCTTAGAGACCAACTAAGTTTGTTATTGGTATGAGCTTTCGTGTGCACGCACACTTCTTCAGATACCTTCACACGAGAGCTCATACCAATTACAGTGGTGCCTCGCAAGACGAAATTAATCCGTTCCGCGAGTCTCTTCATCTAGGGGTTTTTTCGTCTTGCGAAGCAACCCTATTAGCGGCTTAGCGGATTAGCGCTATTAGCGGTTTAGCGGCTATTAAAGGCTTAGCGGCTTAGCGGCTAAAGGCTATTAGCGGCAGCGGCTTAGAAAAGGGGCGAAAAATCTCAAGACTCGCAAGACATTTTCATCTTGCGAAGCAAGCCCATAGGGAAATTCGTCCTGCGAAGCGCATCGAAAAACAGAAAACCCTTTCGTCTAGCGGGTTTTTCGTCTTGCGAGGCATTCGTCTCGCGGGGCACCACTGTATAAACTTAGTTGGTCTCTGAGGTGCTGCTGGAAGGAATTTTTTTATTTTGTTTCGACTATGTCAGATCAACACGGCTACCCACCTGTAACTGCATCTATGAATGTTGCTGCAATACGGAGAACCAGCATTGTGTGTGATAGCGTTACATTTACATGATAGGTGTGGCAAATTCAGAAACCTTTTTGTGCGTCACAAGTGAAAATGCATGAAGAGTGCTTGGCCGTAACATGAGCTAGTAATGTCATTTTGTGTTTTACATTGAACCTCCCCAACACCGCTGGGTATAGGGCGGTATATAAATTCAATCAATCAATCAATCAATCAATAAAAATTGTACAGACAGACCAGTCTGTATGTAAATATCAAGGGACATAAATCTGACACCAGATATTGCCATTTCCAGTGGACAAGCATTTCAAGCTTCCAGGACATTCTTCCTAGAACAGAGGAACTTTAAAGGGAGAACTGTGAATTCATCACTTCTAAGCTTAATAGAGACAAATATCACAGTGCATCTGCTAAGTGGCTCACCAAGGCTAGGATGTCTGTGTGATAAAAGAGCAACTGTGATTTGTTCTCCTGTCAATGGCCATTGTTAGCAACGTAATTTTCACCATTTCTACTTTTCTGCATTTAATTTCATTCTTACCTCACTTTTTACAGTTGCACCCCCACCCCAAACCCTGTGCATAGATGCAACTGAATATTACACTTTGTGCATCTGATGAAGTAGACTGTAGTCCATGGAAGTTTATGTGGACATAATGTTAGCCTGCAATGTATCGCCATACTTTCTGTTTTGGTCGCCCATGGTGAAAAGTGCCTTTGGACAACCAGCCAGAGAAACCTTCCTAAAATGCACACACTCTCTCTCTTGAGCATAAATGGAGTTTAGATCAGCAAGTTATATATCATTTAGATATTTGGGTGTTCTTTTCAGTGAATCCCTTTCATGGAAATGGTTTAGTGTGGCTGTGAAATCGAAGGCACAGAAACCTATGGCAGTGTTAGAAATTAGCCAGGAGTGTTTTGCAACTGGCACAGGTCCAATTGTGACCATGTTGAGTTCTCTGGATGCCAGGTTGGCAACTGGGGTAATAATAATATAATTATTATACAATTATATTTATTATTATTATATTTATTATTATTATTATTAAGCAAAATGTCACTTAGAGAACACTTTTATTGAAGCTTGAATTTGTTTTATTCTGAATTGCTTTATTTGATATTTTAATGTGTTGTAAACTGTTTTGAGATTTTTTTTCTTTAAAATATAAAGTGCTAAACTGTACAGTGGTACTTCTACTTATGGATATGATCCATTCCGGGGTGCCATTTGCACCCCGAAAAGTCCATAAGTAGAGCGCTGCTTCTGCGCGTGACGCGATAGAGTGCTCATGCGCGATGTGCACAGTTTGCTCCTGCACATTCGCGATGCGGAGAACCCGGAAGTGAACACTTCTGGGTTTGCTGTGTTCGTAACCAGAAAAAAACACAACGGAAAGCAAATGCAACTCGAGGTATGACTGTAGTCATGATGATGATAACGATAATAAACAATATCAGGGGAAATGGTGTCTAGACATTCCACTGTCAGGCATGTCGGGTTACACCCAGCATTGTTGGTGCCCAGAACGTGTGATGTCACAAGGTGGGAGGAGGCCTGCCAAGGCTGTGACTGGCTCTTGCTGCAGCGACGGGTTCCATTGGGTCTTCCCACTGCTGTCCAATGGAGCCCGTTGCAGTTGTAGCAGGCCCGTCCAGCCTCCTCCTGCCACATGGGCTGTGGAATATTGATGGGGCCTGGCCCCCTTACTGAAAATGGGGGGTGGGGTTGGCCCCCCACAAATGGCGTTCCTGTCCACTGTGGCAACTGTCACCTAGGTTTAAGGTGCCATTTGGTGATTAGATTATATATACAGTGGTACCTCGGGTTACATACGCTTCAAGTTACATATGCTTCAGGTTACAGACTCCGCTAACCCAGAAATAGTGCTTCAGGTTAAGAACTTTGCTTCAGGATGAGAACAGAATTCGTGCTCTGGTGGCGCAGCGGCAGCGGGAGGCCCCATTAGCTAAGGTGGTGCTTCAGGTTAAGTACAGTTTCAGGTTAAGAACGGATCTCCAGAATGCATTAAGTACTTAACCCGAGGTACCACTGGATATATATATGAGTTTCTAACATGGCTATTAAAAATTGTTACTGTTATTAAAGATTTTCTGGGGTTACAAAAGTACACGCATCTCTATTTTCAGATCGTAAAGTCATTGCTGTAGGGCTATTGATGACGTTTGCTTATAATAAGGGAGGACAGCTGATTGAACCTGTCCTAAAGATTTTCAGTAGCAAAGTGATCCCTGGAGCGGGAGCCCGGCTTGCGGAGAGTTGCCTGTTCTGGGGGCTGGGGTCGGGGGAAGCTCGGGCTTCCCCCGCCCCAGCCCCGCACCTGGGGGAAAAAAATAATTCCCCCCCCTTTATTCCCCCCCAAAAAACTAGGTGCGCCTTATGGGACGGTGCGTCCTATAGGGCGAAAAATACGGTATGTGGCTATCAATTAAGACAGCAGTAGAATGTGCACAGTTAAGTTAACGAAGTGCAACTGACCATTTTATTAACTGACCATTCTCTTGTGTTGTGCTATATGGGAACTGGTTAAGAATCAATTTTGGGAAACAGCTCTTCAGGATATTTTAGACAATTATTATTTTCCAGAGCTGGATGTCGTATTGGGCATGGGCAAGAGTAGGGTAGGTTTTCTGGGAATTGCAACTAATTAGGAACTCCAGATTTCCCATGGGGTATTCTCTTTTGCAAACAAAACATTTTAGGGCCAGTTATTTAATGAAACCTGTGCCTCTTCCCCTGAAAAAATGCTTTTAGTGAGCTGTGATTTCAAGTGATGCCAACTGAAGTCCCTGGTGGTCGCTTATAACAAGGTTACTCATAAAGGCAGATTCTGTGTTTGTGGCCTGTTATGTACTGAAGTTCTCACCCTGGGCCAGCAGGGGGATACTGTAGATAGTTATGCAAATGAAGGATCGAAAGTGATGTTCAGTGATTGGATAGTTTGTATGCAAATGAAGGATCGAAAGTGACGTTCAGTGATTGGATAGTTTTAGAAAGTTGCTACAGTAACGTTGTACTGGAGCTCTATATAAGCAGGCTGACTGAACCCTTCAGTTCAGTTCTGTTCTGGCCTCGGAATAAACAAGAGCTGTTTGAAGAATCGCTGTGTCGTCTGATATGTTCACCCACAACTTAACACGGCCAATATCAGCTGGATTGCGATATTCATTTTCTGTTAATCTGTCCTTTCTATAGTGATACAGAAGAGAGATTTCTGAAACTTTCGTTGACGTATGGCAACAGGGATACCTTGGTAGAAACGGTACTATTTCTTTTGACACTAATGGCTTTGTGACACACCTACTTCTGTCCACACGCAGAATTCATCTTTACAGATCCTGGACCTCGCAATTTCAAATTAACAGTAGAAGCTGTGGGAATGTTCTGGGGTGCAGGAGAGGATATATTGACTAATTATATCCTTATCCAACTTGTGCTAACAAGTTCCCAAAGTATCAGCAGAGTTTATAAACATTCCCCTTTAAGTTCGCAACGGTAACGTGTGCACAGGTTCGCTAGAACCTCTATAATAATTACCCTGGTAATTTTCCCTTTTGTTCCCTCTTAAAATACAAGACATGACACAGTCTTTATAAAAGTATAAAAGAGTTTACTCATGTTCTGTTCACAATATGATCCCAGAAGGCAGACAGCTTAAAAAGGTTACATACATTCAGAATCTATCTTATAGCAAGATAGTCCTTTTAGATGCTTCCTCATCGAAGGAAAATGGCAGAGAGAGAGAGATGGCTGCCTGCCCTGTGCTTTTATCATTTACCTGCACAGGTGAGGCCACACCCACCTCTGGTCACATGCGGAGGAAGTCCATCCCCAGGAAGTTTACCTGCTTGCTAGACAGTCATCCCTCCCCATGTTCTAACATGTACACTCTAGGAATGTTGTCATTGACTGCTCCTGTGTTTACATCCCACAGAAGCAAGGTGCACAGGAATCAGTGTTCTATTAAAAATAAAATAATTGGATTTTATAGAAATCATATCCATATCAAAATGCTCCTATCAATGTACTTGATTTAAACAGGATTTTTAATTCTATTTTTAACATTCGTGTTCTATTAAGAGCTCTGTAAAAATAACCTGGTTTAAAATATCTCTGTGCAATACAAGCATATGCATTAAAGTCTCCACTTGTATATTTTTATGGTCAAATCCAAGAGTGTCCTTCAAATTCATTGAGCCTGCTTTTGCACTGCAAAAGGATGAGCAAGGAGTAAAAAATATGTGACTTGAAAGCAAAATCCAAAGGGGACCATGCGGTCCTCACCCTCCTTAACCTCTCTGCTGCCTTTGATGCACATGATCACACTAACATCCCTTCATGGCACACTAAGTCTCTGCTGTTCTCAGTCTTCTGAACTAAATACATTTGTCTAGTTTTTCCATAGGGGGAAACTTCTCTCTCAACCTCATCAAATCACATGGTTTTCCACCTGTACACTGATGATAACCCACCTCTACCTCTGTACATGAAAAGTTTCTCTGGGACATTCCACATACAGTGGTACCTCGGGTTACATACGCTTCAGGTTACATATGCTTCAGGTTACATATGCTTCAGCTTACAGACTCCGCTAACCCAGAAATAGTGCTTCAGGTTAAGAACTTTGCTTCAGGATAAGAACAGAAATCAGGCTCCAGCAGTGCGCCGGCAGCAGGAGGCCCCATTAGCTAAAGTGGTGCTTCAGGTTAAGAACAGTTTCAGGTTAAGAACGGACCTCCGGAACGAATTAAGTACTTAACCTGAGGTACCGCTGTACTGTATTCAACAGCTTGACTCTTATTTTGCTTGGATCCTTAATGGTTGGCCCAAAATAAATACGTCCCAAGTATGACCTACACATATTTCCTCCCAAGCCCCCTTCGTACCCTTCCCAAGGCCTGAGACCTTGTCTCTCTCTAACCCCACCTCACCCAACATTACCCCTCTGCCCATTGAGGCACTGCTGGCACAGGTGTGCTTCAGCTCTTTCTCCTGGATGTTGCCAGCCTCCTGCCAGAGGGCTTCTGAGCTGGTCACACAGTTCAGCCCTGGCCAGGAAGCAAGAGAATGTAGCTATGGAGGAATAGAGATGGGGAGAGCAGGGTGGGCAAAGGCAGGGGGAGAGGCAGACCAAGGTGGGCCAACAGAAAGCGGATGTGGGAGGAGAAGGCTCAAAGAGAGGAAAGCTGAGAAAGGGACAGGCTGGAGTACATCAGGGATGGGGAGCATCAGAAGAGACCTCAAGCCAAAGGCCCATCTTATACAGTGGCCATCCAGAAGCTCCACAGGTTGTCAGACTCCAGATTCCATCAGTTCCAGCCAGTGAAGCCAATGGTTCCCCAGATATGGTTCAGAATTATGAGTCTCGGAAGTAAATGGCATGAGCACGCACAAAGAGAGCCAGTGTGGTGTAGTGGTTAAGAGCAGTGGACTCGTAATCTGGTGAACCGGGTTCGCTTCCCAGCTCCTCCACATGCAGCTGCTGGGTGACCTTGGGCCAGTCACACTTCTCTGAAGTCTCTCAGCCCCACTCACCTCACAGAGTGTTTGTTGTGGGGGAGGAAGGGAAAGGAGAATGTTAGCCGCTTTGAGACTCCTTCGGGTAGTGATAAAGCAGGATATCAAATCCAAACTCTTCTTCTTCAAAGTGCATCTGCTTCTCTAGTGAGGAATCTTGTTTGTACTTGATAAGATGACTCCATTACAGTAACTTCAGTCTGAAATACAAATGTCTTGGGCTGTGGCAGTCCTATTGAAATTAAGCACGAGTAACTTGGGCCTATTAATTTTGAGAGTGTCTGCTTTGAGTAGGGCTAGCATTGGTTCCAACCCTTCATTGCCAGTCAACCGCATGATGCAATAAAATAGAAGCAAGCGACTCTCCTGCCAACAGAGAGTGACGCTGTGACGCTAAGGGACTGCAGTCAGTGTTTCAGATGTGCCACTTTGCTAGAGCAGTTCCAGTCAAGGTTTTACGAAACAGTTGCAAGGCCTACAGCATCCATTGCTGGCCAAAAGAAAGACATGTCTCTGAAAGCCTGCCAACCAGCCAGGCTGCCTCCCTTCTTCTCTCCTTTCCTTTCTCAACTTTTGTCTAATTATGCTTTTAATGAGGGCAAGCTGCTACAGGAAATGTGGCAAAAACATTTCCTGTGCATTGGACTCAGCGGATCAGAGCAAGATGTCCTGAGTCCCACAGGGCAAGGCCAACCAGGAGTTGCAGAACCACAGATAGCTGGAAGTGAGCAATTTCCTCCGACAGAGGTCAGAAGCAAATTGAGCCTTGTGAAGCCTTTTTCCACTGAAGGCAGGCGCTCGTCCTTTGGTCCATGTCCTCCAGACGCACTGGTATGGTGCTGTGGAAGGCATTGGGTTCCATCAGCTTAGGCAAGACACCTGTGAGAGTTCAGCGCTGAAGGCCCTGGTTCTACGCGAGGTTCTTCTTTGGGTTTGCTGTCCGCTTGAAGCCCACCGGTTTCTCAATCTGCAGCAGCAGCCTCACAGCCCTGAATCTGGTCCACCTCCTTATCTGGTACTTCTGCAGAGTCAGATTCCAACTCAGTGCTGGACTCAGGGGTCATGACGTAGGTAGAAGAAGCAGAAAAGATGGGGGGAAACAGGATATACAAATATTTTGTTCTGACAGTTCAAAATGTGCTGGAAATGAGTGTAGAATTTTGTACATCTGTAAAGGTTTGCATTGTGAAGGTGCAACAAGATTCCTGATAACAGTGGCTCTGTGTGACGTCCATATTACATCCTTTACCTGATGAGGATGAAACCAGAATAGTACCAACACTTCATTTCATCGATATAACTTTGTCAAAGAGCAAAGCTGGAATGAGTTACTCGCGAATACTTTATTTACTCGTGGTACATAACTCAAAAGTACTTATATCTGGTTAGAAAGCACTCATTTAGTTTATTATCATCATTTATTAAATTTGTATCCCGTCCTATACCTGCAGGTCTCAGGGCGGCCGACAACATAATCACAATATTAAAAACACAAAATATATAATAAAAACAAAAAACAAGGGCCACCCAATAATCCCCCCCTCCCCAACGCATTTTAAAAGGGCATTGGATGTGAATCGGCCAAAGGCCTGGTTAAAGAAGGACGTTTTTGCCTGGGGACCCAAAGGTGTACAATGAAGGTGCCAGGCAGACCTCCCTGGGGAGAGCACCCCATTGGACTGTTGTGAGTTTACTTTTTCACTGGCGGTTGGCCTGCAGTTACAAGAAACCACTGGAGAGAAGGATCACTGGAGAAGAGCTCTTTCACCCAAGATAGTGTCTTATGTTTGAATTAAAAACATTAAGACTCACTTTCACAATCTAGAAAGTAAACCCATTTCTTGATTTAGAATTTAATTAAATGGAGTGGGCTAGTCTTGCAGCTAAAAATAGTGACCAAAACATGCACTCACTGTTTTTCTTGGCTGTGGTTGTTTATATCGTTAGTTGAAGCACTTCCGCATATTAGAATATATTCCTTAGCTTGCAATTGGGGATATATATATATATATATGTGTGTGTGTGTGTGTGTGTGTGTGTGTGTGTGTGTGTGTGTGTTTTGCAGGTTCACTGTCGGAAGATATTATTTTTAGCTGCTTTGATACAGTTAATCATAGCTGAAAAATGCCATATGGTGGTGCCTTTGCAGATGGCATTGTCCAGTAGAAGAGATCTTAATATCACATTATTTGACAAATGTGTGAACATTTGTTGTGTTCCTTTTTAAAAGAAAAGCATTTATCAGTTCTAAAATCACTGTCAGTGAGAATAAAATTCTGAGCACCTCCTATCTTCTGAACATGTACATTGAAGTCTTTTTTATATAGAAAAATGAGGCAATTTTAAGGATGTTGTTGGGTTACAATTACCGTTATCCCTGACGGTTGGCTATTGCTGGCTTGGGCTAATTGGTATTGCAGTCCCACACCATCTAGAAGGGCACCACGTTGGCTATCACTGATTTCGTTGGATTTGACCCATTGCATTTAATGATTTTCTTTTCAGTATACAACCCGCCTGTAACAACCACCTAAAATCCCAATGCAATATTAAAATGATTTAAGCCAGGGCTCAGCAAACTTTTTCAGCAGGGGGACGGTCCACTGTCCCTCAGACCTTGGGGGGGTGCGGACTATATTTTGGGGGGAAATTATATGAACAAATTCCTATGCCCCACAAATAACCCAGAGATGCATTTTAAATAAAAGGACACATTCTACTCATGTAAAAAAACACTGATTCCCGGACCGTCCGCGGGCTGGATTTAGAAGGTGATGGGGCCACATCCGGCCCCCGGGCCTTACTTTGAATAGCCATGATTTAAGCTATGCATTAAAATAAATAAGAAGGCTTTGGGGAATAAGAATGGCTTTGCTTGAACCCAAAGGAATAGCTCAGAGAGGCGCCAAGTGGGCCTTTCTTGTGACGCCGTTCCAAACTGCAAACCTGATTCTTTAGGGGAAGAGTAAAGGTAAAGATAAAGGGACCCCTGACCATTAGGTCCAGTCGTGGCCGACTCTGGGGTTGCGGCGCTCATCTCGCTTTATTGGCCGAGGGAGCCGGCGTACAGCTTCCGGGTCATGTGGCCAACATGACTAAGCTGCTTCTGGCGAACCAGAGCAGTGCACGGAAACGCCGTTTACCTTCCCGCCTGAGCGGTACCTATTTATCTACTTGCACTTTGATGTGCTTTCGAACTGCTAGGTTGGCAGGAGCAGGGACCGAGCAACGGGAGCTCACCCCACCGCGGGGATTCGAACCGCCGTCCTTCTAATCGGCAAGTCCTAGGCTCTGTGGTTTAACCCACAGCGCCACCCGCATCCCAGAGGAAGAGTAACCCCATCCAAAATCAGAGACATCTGGCCTCTCTTCCTTGACAACAGTAATGCAGAAAATGCAATTCCAATGTTTATTGCAATCTATGTGTCAGAATGTGAGTCTTGCCCGTGTTTTATGGAGTGAGAGTAGGATGAAGCTTTTAGCATGGCATGGCTGAGCCTTCGTGCTGAACCCTCTGCCTGTGCTTCTCTTCCCAAAACCTTGTTCCACCCCATCCATTCCCTGCCTAGAGGGAATTAATTTGGTTTCAGAGCTGCTGCAGGAGCAAAACACTTCCTTCGCTCTTTCTTTCTATTTTGTGCAATCCTGAGGCTGAGGACAAGACACAAAGTGCTATCACTGGGAAAAGGGTGGGGTTGTGGGTTGGTGAAGCCATATCTGAATCTGGTCCTATTTTTCAGTGTCCAAGAATTGGGTTTGGTGGTTTGCCCCAGCAGTGGCAATGTGTGATTTTTAGAACTGCCTAGTATATTGGTACTGTGCAGAGCATTACTTCGTTATAAGCAGAAGCAAAGCAGCTTAACTGCAGAGAATTGAGTACAGCGTGTATCTTAGGCATGTATGTCACAATTCTATGTAAGCACATTAAATAACTGCAGAATTTGGTCCTGTGCATAATTTGGTGTCTTGTAATACTACATTCTTTAAAAGGGGGAAATATCCTGTCATTTTGCATGCAAATCTATACTACAAGATATTTGGGGTGTATCTGGTGAACTCTCAGAAGGGAAAGTACCGATCATTACAGTTTGGAGCAGCATATACAAACACACACGTCATCCTGTTTTTTAAGAAGCTGGCCTGGTTTATGCACACCATTCTTTATTTCAGTCGAAAGACCCACAGAAAACATTTTCGAAAGCAAAATATAACAGAAATACAGGGAAAGAGTTTCAAGGCGGTCGCTATGTTTTATCCAGAGCATGTAGATTTCTGTTTCTTAATACTTCAAAGAGGAACAGTTTTTAGGAAACTGGCCTGGTTCACAGCATGGTTTGGTGATCCTTTGGGAGAAAAGCAATGACAAACCTAGACAGCATCTTAAAAAGCAGAGACATCACCTTGCTAACAAAGGTCCGTATAGTAAAAGCTATGGTTTTCCCAGTAGTGATATATGGAAGTGAGAGCTGGACCATAAAGAAGGCTGATCGCCAAAGAATTGATGCTTTTGAATGATGGTGCTGGAGGAGACTCTTGAGAGTCCCATGGACTGCAGGAAGATCAAACCTCTCAATTCTGAAGGAAATCAGCCCTGAGTGCTCACAGGAAGGACAGATTCTGAAGCTGAGACTCCAATATTTGGCCACCTCATGAGAAGAGAAGACTCCCTGGAAAAGACCCTGATGTTGGGAAAGATGGAGGGCACAAGGAGAAGGGGATGACAGAGGAGGAGATGGTTGGATAGTGTTCTCGAAGCTACCAGCATGAGTTTGGCCAAACTGCGGGAGGCAGTGGAAGACAAGAGTACCTGGCGTGCTCCGGTCCATGGGGTCACGAAGAGTCGGACACAACTAAACGACTAAGCAACAACAACAACAACAAGTGATCCTTGGGCTGGCTTGGTCCCTCTCCCAGCAACCTTTCTTTCACAGCAAACCATAGTTTGGTTATGCCCTCCAAAGCAGAATGGCAAAGCACTGATTGATCCTGGTGTGTAATTCTTGTTTAAGGGGCAAGACCAAACTGTGGTTTCTCACTGTGGAAAAGATCTTTTGTTATGAAAGGGAAGGTGTGGGAAGCCATGAGGGAGCTGAGTGAAGGGGAGAGAGGGTAAGACTTGTGCAGGCACAAGTCATTCGTATAAAGCCAAGCCATGATTGGGCACTAAGTCCAAACCAAGTCTTTGTCTTCAGTGAGCTCAGTGATTTGTGTGTGTGTGTTGCTTTCTCGTATTGATGCCGTGACTTTTGCATTACAGAAAGTCACGGGCTTAAAACAATTCCCCATGTTAAATGTGCACTGAAGTGAGAATTTTGAACATTTTGTGATCTTGCTTGCAGCCTATTCAATGTGTGTTTATGTCAAGCAGTGCAGTGACATTTTCTTGGCAGAGTGTTTGTGGTTACTAGTAACACCCACAGTTCTTGTTGACCCCTTAGAAGAATACGAACTGAAATCTTCCTCCTGGAAGAAAAGCTTTCTAAAGTTCACAAGGTACATTGGATTGTTTTTAGAATGCAATCTTGATTTTGTTGTTGGCAGAATCATGATTTAAAAGTATCCAAATGATATATATATATATATAATTTCAAAGAAAAGAAAAGTTGTGGGAAAGTGGTGGTTACAAATGATAACCCCATTCATTGAGGGAAGAACAGAAAGGGCCGTGAGCCCTAGAGAGAAGACCGACTGCCAGCATTCACAAGCATCAGAACCGTGGGTCGCAAGTTTCCCTGGGTTATATTATTTGTTCAGTTTTTATCCCACCCTTTTACAAAGGAGCCCCCTTTTCTCTTTATCTATGGCACCACACTGGTTTCCTCATGGACTGTGTCACATCAACTGTTGCTGAAGAAACTGCATGTCTGAATGCTCTTCCATTTAAATAACCATGCATGGCAGAAAACTGATACGCCAGGGAGGAGGGAGTTGCTTTTATACTGGGAGGTTTTTTCCCATGGGAATCGTTCAGTCACGCAGTTTCCTCACCTGTAGTCTGGTATGGTATAATACAGGAAAAACAGCCCATTGTTGCATTTGTAGATTGACACTACATCTCAGTTTCCAATATGGCCAGCTGGTTTGCACAGCACATTAAGTCACACCGTGGCTTTTTTTTTTCATTTGCATTTTATTTATTTGTTAACATTCTTATATTACATCGGTAAATGTTGTCATATTACATTACAGGACTTACTATAATATAATTTCCAACATGTATACAAAAATTATATACAAATTTTATATACCTAGAAAGAAAATAAAACAAAAAAAAGAACAAAGAGAAAAAAACAAAAACAATTCCCCCCCAATCATATACATACCAACACACTAGACTTCCTGTCTTTCCTGTTGTACATTCCTTTTTTACAAATGGATGTACTCTTATTACTGTGTATTTCTTTACATATTCTCTAATACATTCCTATATCAATATGTGCTCTTAGTCTTATTTCTCAACTCAGTCTCACTCCAACGTCAATCAAATGCTAACATAGATAGCAAACCTTTACTGTATTTTTGAACATATGTTTTATATCTATCCCACTTTTCCATAAATTTTTGTTTTGAATTGCCTCTTAGGGTATTTGTTAACTGCACCATTTCAGCAAATTCTTGTAGCTTGTAATGCCAGTTCATTATTGTTGGGGCTTCTTGTTCCTTCCACCCTTTTGCCACCAAAGTCCGAGCTGCGGCTGTTGCATATAAGAATACCTCCCTAAAGGCCTTCGGGATGTCCCTGCCAACAATGCTTAACAGAAATGCCTCTGGTCTTTTAAAAAAAGTTATTCCAAACATTTTTTTCAACTCCTCATAAATTAAGCCCCAGAACACATTGATCTTCCTACAAACCGTGGCTTAGTGAGACTCTGCAAATATGTGGGCTACAGGAGAGCAGCTTGCCACACCATGCTGAGCTAAGCCAAGGCTGGGCTTTCTAAACGGGACTCCTGGTTAAGCTCTCATTTCATTAGCCATGAGTTGTCTTCTTCTTTGGTGATCCCTCGTAGCTGAGTAAGATTGTCTTCCATGAACATGGTTTTAACAATGAGTCCGTAAGTGACTGTGGAGGCCAATTCTGGAACCACACGTCCTTCCACAGTGGGGACATTGGTTTCCAGGTGGGAGTTGATCATGGTGTGGATTTGCCAAGCGTGCCTTCCTCTTAGCACATTTCGCTCTTGTGTCCTGAGTGTCTTCAAAGCCCATGACACCTTTGGTAAAGGCTGTTCTCCAACTGGAGTGCTCGCAGGCATGTGGTTCCCAATTGTCGGTGTTTATACTACATTTTTAAAAATTTGCCTTGAGACAGTCTTTAAACCTCTTTTGTTGACCACCAGCATTACGCTGTCCATTTTTAAGTTCAGAATAGAGCTGTAGCCTCCATTTGCTCTTGGTTGCAGCTCATGGTTAGTGAAGAGAGGGTTCGACCACAAATCCCAGTCCAGCCAGCACTCAAAGCCAAATCTTGACAGCTCAGTGTGGCTCACCAGTGAAGATAAGCAAGGAAGAGGAAAGCCATTGCAAACCTCCACAGTCACTTAACGGACTCATTGTTAAAACCGTGTTCATGGAAGACAGGTTTTGTGGTTCTGCTAAGCCGTGAGTTGTGTCTGTTTAAACTGCAACACAAAAGGTTTCCTTCCATGTTCTGAGATACCTAAGCTGATAACCCTTGTTTGTTTTAGGGAGGCAGTTCCAGTGGTGGGAGTTTAAAGTGTCTTCTTTATTTTTCCGCTGTTTCCTTAATGGATTGTGAAAACAAACTGCTTCTGTAAACCGATAATACTCTTTAAGAGCCATTTACCCTGAGATGGAATGGAAGGGAAACACAAGTCCTAATTTGGCCAGGTGGTCTTTTTAGTATCTGATCTTGTGAAGGGGAGGACTTGAACCAATGGATTCAAGTTACAAGAAAGGAGATTCCAACTTCACATCAGGAAGAACTTTCTGAGGGTAGGAGCTGTTTGACAGTGGAGCGGACTCCCTGGGAAGGTTGCTGTTGACTCTCCTTCTCCTTCCAGGGAGAAAGGTTGTTTTCTGCTGCTCCAGAGAAGCGGACACGGAGCAATGGATCCAAACTAGAAGAAAGAAGATTCCACCTAAACATTAGGAAGAACTTCCTGACAGTAAGAGCTGTCTGACAGTGGAATTTGCTGCCAAGGGGTGTGGTGGAGTCTCCTTCTTTGGAGGTCTTTAAGCAGAGGCTTGACAACCATATGTCAGGAGTGCTCTGATGGTGTTTCCTGCTTGGCAGGGGGTTGGACTCGATGGCCCTTGTGGTCTATTCCAACTCTATGATTCTATGATTCATTGGAGGTTTCTAAGCAGAGGTTGGATGACCATCTGTCATGGATGCTTTAGTTGAGATTCCTGCATAGCAGGGGGTTGGACTAGGTGACCATTGACGTTACCATCCAACTAAGCAATTCTGTGATTCTGTAAAGACCAAATGATTAGTCTTTTTTTTTTAAAAAGGTATCTTAGGATAACCACTTGGAATAGCCAACTCAAAACAATCCTTTGTCTGAAGCGCTATGCACTGCATGTTTGCATACATACATACTGAGAGCCAATGTGGTGTAGTGGTTAAGAGCGGTGGACTCGGGATCTGGTGAACCGGGTTCGTGTCCCTGCTCCTCCACATGCAGCTGCTGGGTGACCTTGGGCTAGTCACACTTCTCTGAAGTCTCTCAGCCTCACTCACCTCACAGAGTGTTTGTTGTGGGCAGGGGGGAAAGGGAAAGGAGATTGTTAGCCGCTTTGAGACTCCTTAAAGATAAAGCTAAAGGGACCCCTGAATGTTAGGTCCAGTCGCAGACGACTCTGGGGTTGCAGCGCTCATCTCGCTTTATTGGCCGAAGGAGCCAGCGTACAGCTTCTGGATCATGTGGCCAGCATGACTAAGCTGCTTCTGGCGAACCAGAGCAGCGCACGGAAACGCCGTTTACCTTCCCCCTGGAGCAGTACCTACTTATCTACTTGCACTGCATGCTTTCGAATTGCTAGGTTGGCAGGAGCAGGGACCGAGCAACGGGAGCTCACCCCATTGCAGGGATTCGAACTGCCGACCTTCCGATCAGCAAGCCCTAGGCTCTGTGGTTTAACCCACAGTGCCACCCGTGTCCCTTAGGGTAGTTATAAAGCGGGATATCATATCCAAACTCCTCCTCCTCCTCCTCTTCCTCCTCCTCCTCCTCCTTCTTCCTCTTCCTCTTCCTCTTCCTCCTCCTTCTCTTCTTCTTCTTCTTCATACCCATTTAGTTGGAGTATGCAGTCAAAGATGGAGGTGGCCTAGACAAAATCGGAAAGAAGGATAACAAAAATAAGTGCCTACTGGTAGTAACACTGGCATGTTGTGAGGAGAGCAGAGGTGAAATTTCTATCTCATCCTAGTAATTAGACTCAGCTGCTTACGGTCTGAAATGTAGTAGGTCCTCCAGAGGAACCCAGTTACTGTCTTTAAAAAATATTATCATCTGGCCGTGGTCTCTCCCCCCCCCCCCCAAGCAGCCCAGCGCCCATGTTCCTCACTGGTTTCAGCCTCTGCACCAACCTCAAGAGTTTGAGAGCACTGCAGCAACACAAACTTGAGGTTACCAGTGTATGGACCACTGCAGTCCAGCTCTCCTGACCCAGAAACGGGTGCAGCGGTCTTGTGGAGTGAAGTTGGCAAAAGGTCCTCCTAGGCAAACTAAGGCCCAGGGGCCGGATCCGGCCCAATCGCCTCCTCAATCCGGCCCGCGGACGATCCGGGAATCGGCGTGTTTTTTACATGAGTAGAATGTGTTCTTTTATTTAAAATGCATCTCTGGGTTATTTGTGGGGCATAGGAATTCGTTCATCCCCCCCTTCAAAAAAAATAAAAAATAGTCCGGCCCACCACGTGGTCTGAGGGACGGTGGACCGGCCCACAGATGGAAAAGGTTGCTGACCCCTGGCCACTGAAGACACTTGGCCCTCCGGTGACAACTCATAGAAGCGCTCTCTCTCTCTCTCTAAATATATATATATTGTTCAGCAGTCAAATGAATTCTGTTGCTTTAGAACTCAGAATTAGCCACTTGAGAAGAACATATTATCTACTTGAAAGAGGAATAATTAACTCATGGCCAGATTCTCCATTATCGGAATATAAAATCAAATTAAAAGATAATGAAGTTTAAAGGTTTTATTAAGTATTTTTTTGCTCTGTGTGCTGAAGTACCGAATTAGATAATACTTTGTTCTTATTTAATTGGAAGCATGTACCATTTAACCTGTCCTGCATCTCTGTGACGAAAACACCCAAGCGAATTAATGTCAAAGTGTTCAAGAGCAGATTTGACTGGGCACAGCGTCTGGTGGCAATCTGCTGATTTTCGCCAGAGATATCCCTACCAGAAAATGGAACTGTGTTCTGTGCAATTGTTCATGAATTTGAAAGCTTAATTTTTGTGCTCTATTTCCTTTCCTATATACAGCTTTCCCTTGTTTTTGGAAACATTGCTTCAAATAATGTAGCTGTCTGTCTGTAGAGCTTTTCAACACAGTAGTTCACTAAACGTCTTACACAATGTGCTTTACGATCGTAATGTTTCACCAGGATTTGTGGCCTTAACTCTACTTTCAGATCCCAAATGTACACTGAAGCTGTGCTTTGGCTTGCCAGGCTAATAATCCTGGAGTGGGGTAGGGAGCAACCTGTCTTTAATTTATAGCTTACTCGGCGTATATGTAACATCTAACCATGGAGAGCATATTTGAAACCTCGTGCATTGCTCTGTAGCCAGAAGGCTCTAGTGAAAATGCTGAAAAACTCTTATGAGTTCCGCAAAAAGCATAATTAAGACATAGGTTAAGAACTATTTGAATTTCCCAAGGCAAAGAAGTTCAAAATTGAGCACATGTTGGTCCCGGGTAACCAAACAGTTTATGAAAATAAAATTATATGCTTCTCAAACTTACTTTTTTTAAAAAACAACAATTAGTATATATGACATGTGTCTTTTTAACAAATGTTTTGTCAGACCTTTCTCAGTCTAAATGAATCTTGGAAGCAGCGGTTTATATGTGCTATACACTATGTCATGTTAATATCTCAGCTTAACTTCAGCGTGATATGGGATCTTAATAGAAGTAGGGTTGTTTATAGTTTTACTCTCCTTTCCAGCCAAAATAAGCTCAGAAAGCAGCTGGTGGTTTTTGTATCACAGTCTAGATGCTAATGCCTTCTTGCAATATTGTAAGACCTGCAAAAAAATAAGCTGATTAAATAAAAGTGCTATTATATTTCTATTCAGTAGAAGTAGCAAGGTATTCCTATAGTGATTTTATATGGTGTCTAGATTTTGCTCAGAATTAAAAGAATCACTGGCCCATCCTACTTCTTAATTGATTCATTTTTAATTGATTGTGATCATTGGTAACAATGTTGCAGATAGATGCACCGTCTCTTCTCTCTGGTCCTTGGAGTCTCCCAGTTAGTTTGGCAAATACCATATAGTGCATCATCTTCATCTGCCATTCTTCAGTAGTTGGTAAATCTTGTTTCTTCCAATTCTTCGCTAGCAATATTCTCGCAGCTGTTGTGGTATGCAGAAATAAAGCATCCTTTTTGGGATTTCACCCCCCACTATACCAAGTAAAAAGGCTTCTGGTTTCTTAATAAATGTGTTTTTCAACACTTTTTTCAATTCATTATAAATCCTTTCCCAGAAGTCTTTTACCTTGGGGCACGTCCACCACATGTGGTAAAAGGTTCCTTCTTTTTTCTTTACATTTCTAGCATTTATTATCATGAGTATGATACATATTTGCTAACTTCACTGGTGTTAAATACCATCAGGGCTCTTATATTCTTGGGCACATTGAGTTAGGAATATAGTGGGTTAAGGAAATTGCATATACAGGAATCCTCCCAAGTCTTCCTCTGAAGCTGCTGGCCCATAAACTAGCATGCAGTTTCTGTTTGCTGACCTTTGTTCCATCACAGACACCGACTCTGTGTGTATCAGAACAAGCAGAGACTTGCCCTGTGCTCTGCCTGATGCAAGCGAACCAGGCCTGAGTCAGATCAGCCCTTCTGCCAATTTCACAGCCAAGTTTCTTAGAACCAGAACTTTCTTTTACAACTTTAAGGCCAGGTCTTTTCGTTAGGGGTCTTCAGCCAGCACAAGCTGCATCCCCTGGATTTTATATAGCAACTTCTGCCAGGAGGGTAAAATGGGACTTTCGCCTCCTGACTCAATACTTTTGTGTGTATGAATGGGTCATTTGTAGCCAATGAAAGAAAATATACCTCCTTACTTAATTAGCGAGGGGACGTATACGGAGCTCAAATATTTTTGCCAGTTCCCCCCCGTTGAGTGCTAACAAACATAACTTTTTGGTTATGTGAACCAGGGGTGTGGAATCTTTTTGGCTCCATAGACCAGATCCTCATCAGGGTTGACTTTCTGGGCCAAATTTGACAAGTGGGTGCAGCAAGGGTAAACAATTTTGGGGAGTGAATAAAGCTGGGCACCAGGATCTCACCTCTCCCCAAATGCTTCCAGGGGCCCTAGCCCCTTGACAGGGATTCGGACAAAAGCATGGCAAACCCCTGGATTCCTATAATGGAATTCCCTTGCAGCAGCAGCAGCATTGGAGGGGCAGGCACAGCCAATCCTTACCCCTCCACCAACCAATTTTTAACCAATGCCTAACCGCCACCTTACAAGTTGTGACGATTTGCTATGCAGTAGGCAAAATCCAAACGGCACCAGCCAATCAGCCAAATGGTAAAATTCCTACTAGGCCCCGGCACCAAAGCAGACGACCCCATGACTGGCATAGCAAGGTCAGCACGAACAAACCCTAAATAAAAGGAGGGTGGGCAGGTAATCCGATGTATGCAGCGAAAAGAGGAAGCTCAATTCTGCGCACAGGGAATAAATATAGCACCCCATCAATCAAATAACATTGCAACAATCACTTCTCCCCAGCAAAAATTGGAGGTGCCCAATCAACTTTGTGGCCATCCAAACTAACTCGCCCAGCAACAGGGGATGTCATGGTTGCCCCCACCGCAACACGTGCTCTCCATGAAGGAGAACCCGCTTTGCCAAGTGGTGCATGCAGCCAAACGGAGCAAGATTTAACTTGCTGCTTGTCAGCTGAGGAGCAGGAGGTTGAATTCTCCTGCTTTGGCTGTGTGCCTCTGTTGCCTGCTGGGAGCAGGCATACTCAGCCAGCACAGGATTTAACTCTACCCTCCTGTCCCTGGCCTCAGACCTGTGGGGGGAGCCAGGTACACTTGCCCTGGGCTTTGGAGGGTTAAGCCAGTCAGGGCCCACTGCCAGGGGCCTGCCAGACTCTCGCTGCCATGCCTAAGGTATCACACAAGCTCCGCATGGGCCGACCGGCCCATCAGATGACATGAGTGACATCAGGTGATGAGCTGGCGGGCATGTTTTGGCAAAAATGGCCTTGTGGGTCAACTTGGGGTTCAGATTTGATTAGATGCTATATTTAGTGGGTACTAAGCTATGGTTTTCCCAGTAGTGATGTATGGAAGTGAGAGCTGGACCATAAAGAAGGCTGATCACCAAAGAATTGATGCTTTTGAATTATGGTGCTGGAGGAGACTCTTGAGAGTCCCATGGAGTGCAAGAAGATCAAACCTATCCATTCTTAAGGAAATCAGCCCTGAGTGCTCACTGGAAGGACAGATCGTGAAGCTGAGGCTACAATACTTTGGCCACCTCATGAGAAGAGAAGACTCCCTGGAAAAGACCCTGATGTTGGGAAAGATGGAGGGCACAAGGAGAAGGGGACGACAGAGGACGAGATGGCTGGACAGTGTTCTCGAAGCTATCAGCATGAGTCTGACCAAACTGCAGGAGGCAGTGGAAGACAGGAGTACCTGGCGTGCTCTGGTCCATGGGGTCACGAAGAGTCAGACACGACTAAATGACTAAACAACAACAAATCCTTCCTTACTCATGTTTGTGACTTCAGCAGAGTGCCATCCCTTTGCAGCTTAAAAGGGAAGCTTTGATAGGCTAGTTTTAGCTTTTTAGCTTAAGTAATCCAGGATGCTTTAAGGCAGACAGGATTTTCCTGGTATTACCTCCTTTTCTGTCCCTTAAAATAATAACTACACACAAACAATCTGGTAATTGGTAAAAATAGCAATTACTCACTCGGTATACGTCTTGAACGATAACAGTTACAGGCAGCTTGGTGCAGGCAGGCTTAAAATGCTAATTGAGTTACTAAGACATACTAAAGCCTAGCTTTAAAATGGAGTCTGAGCTGGAGCTCAGCGTTACGGATGTTCTCGCGTTGCAGATGTAATGGAAAGGAGAGGATGTGCCCAGGCAGGGAGGAATATATACAGTTACGCCATTTTCCTGCCAGGACACGATAGGGAAGTGATCTCACAGAGTTCTCTCTAGCAAGTTTACAGGAAAGCTCTGTGAGCCTCAGCCTCTTTGTGTACCTCTCTGGCAAAAAAGGAATAGCTGCATGGTATATGTAGCCTCAGAGACGCGGGTGGCGCTGTGGGTTAAACCACAGAGCCTTGGGCTTGCCAATCAGAAGGTCGGCGGTTCGAATCCCTGCGACAGGGTGAGCTCCTGTTGCTCGGTCCCTGCTCCTGCCAACCTAGCGGTTCGAAAGCACGTCAAAGTGCAAGTAGATAAATAAGTACCGCTCCAGCGGGAAGGTAAATGGCATTTCCGTGCGCTGCTCTGGTTCGCCAGAAGCGGCTTAGTCATGCTGGCCACATGACCCAGAAGCTGTACGCCGGCTCCCTTGGCCAATAAAGCAAGATGAGCGCCGCAACCCTAGAGTCGGTCATGACTGGACCTAATGGTCAGGGGTCCCTTTACCTTTACCTTATATGTAGCCTCAGAAGCTAAGGAGTCACAAAACGATACCAGGACCCTACAATTTGCTTTCAGTTTAAATCATTAACCCCAAAAAAGGAAAGGCCCATCTGCTCTGGGGGTTGGAGGTGTTGCTTTGTAACTCAGAACTGGTGTCTGTTTGCTTTTGTCCTCCTCCCTCCTCCCTCCTCCCTCTCTTTTCCTTTTATGCCCTGCCTTTCAGATTGTAAGCCTGAGGCCAGGGAGTATTTTATTACTGATCTTCGTAAGCCACTCGAGGATCAATTTTTTGACCGAGGAGCTGCGTAAAAATGCTTAAAATAAATAAATAAGGGAGAAAGGAATTTTCGTAGGGGAGAACACTCCTAAGTTCGTATCAATTAAAAAGCGATTGGGAAGTGTTACAGCTACACTCTGTTACTGAGACGCAGTAGCAAGGAGAAGATAGTGCCTTCTTACAATTTCTGATAGAATTGTAAACTGTGTGTGCTCCTTTTGCTGGAAATTTGTAGAGCAATCCTAAACGGTAGATAAAACATGCTTTATGAGCCTGCAGAAGCCAATGTTTTGCATTAAGGGGGCTCAGAATCTTGCAGTTCAGAAGGAAGCCATAATACGAAGCAGCTAGCTCTGCGCTTTAGATAATAGCTGAGAATTATTAGCATAATAGAGGCAAGTTTGCAGTTAGCTCATTGCTAAGTGCCATACAATAGGTGCATGTTTTGTGGGATGATTTAAAGTGATGGATGAGATTAACCAGGAGAGAGAGGGCTATTTTAATAATCAGAAAAGCAAATTTAAGTGACTTTATAGAGCTGGGTTACTTTAGGTTAAGAATTTTATATGTTCATTTAAGAGACAATTTGGCACGGTGTCCAAAAAATTATAGCAAAGTAAGTTTCTTCGAGTAATTGCTTGCTTGAGAAATCATGTGGATTTGGTTTAGATCACAGACTGATGTTGTTCCTTGTTGAAGTGCAAAGGGGGAGGATACAGGCTGTGACTCTACTTAGCCTGAACTTGGTTTAGTAGTCAATATGCTTGCTTAGCAGGGTGGCGCTGTGGTCTAAACCACTGAGCCTCTTGCGCTTGCCGATCAGAAGGTTGGCAGTTCGAATCCCCGCAATGGAGTGAGCTCCCATTGTTCTGTCCCAGCTCCTGCCAACCTAGCAATTCAAAAGCACACCAGTGCAAGTAGATAAATAGGTACCGCTCTGGCGGGAAGGTAAACAGTGTTTCCATGTGCTCTGGTTTTCATCACGGTGTCCCGTTGCAGCAGAAACGGTTTAGTCCTGCTGGCCACATGACCTGGAAAGCTGTCTGTGAACAAATGCCGGCTCCCTCAGCCTGAAAGCGAGATGTCACCTTTGACTGGACTTAACTGTCCAGGGGTCCTTTACCTTTTTACCTTTTACCGAAAGAGTTAGATTATTTGGCACCTCATTTTGGCATTTCTACAAGATTCTTTGAGGATAAGATCACTTGCGTCCATTCTGAGCTGCACTTTACTAACATAGCTGTCCGGAGTCCAGTTTTTATTGCACAAATTGTTTCTTTTTTATGCCACATCTTTCCTACTTTTCACATACTTTCCCTGGTTGGTTCTAGTGAGCTGGTAATGTGAGTGCATGGCTTGTTATGATAATCAAGGCCTCCAAGGATGGGTGGCATAGTTAATCTGTTCTGAAGGAGGTGGTTGTTCTCCCCTGGAAAAGATGTTCCTCTCTTGATCCTCAAGGTATTAGAAACCAGAGTCTACATTTCCATTCTCTGCTCAAGAAGTTGAGCAGAGATTGCCAAACAGTTTCTTGTGGGTCTGGATAAAACGCATTCTATTGATATGGATCAGTCCAGCTTTATCCTGGGGCTGGTCCTGAGTTTGTTATGGTCCCTCTGGTGCTTGGCCTGTGCTATGACAGGGACAGGGGGAAGATGATTGATTCCCTTATGGATTCCCCTGGATCTTTCAGTGGCCTTTGATATTACTGACCATGGCACTCTTCTGGAATTCCTGGAGAGCTGAAGGCTCGGATGCACTGTGCTCTGTTGGATGAGTTCCTGCCTTGCCGAGATGTTCTAGATAGAAGATAATATTGGGAAGCTTTTCTTCTCTTTTGATTCCTGAGTTTATTTGTAACCTGTTTTGATAACAGTTTCTGAAAAGAGCTCTGTACATTGTCAAATGTATATCTATTGTCCTCTGTAGGGCTGCTGATTGGTGGCCTGTAGGAAACTTTGGCTTCTTCTGTTAGTACAGTGGAAGAGGTTCTGGAGATCGCTTCAGGTTTTTTCTCCATGTGCTGCAATCGTTTGGCTCCCTACCTGCATGCTGCGTAAGGTGATGGTGGGGAAGCTGAACTCCAGTCACAGAAGGTGAATTTCTCTTTCCTACCGCCCTATTTCAAGCACCTCTTTGCGGAAAGGTGCTTTCTAGCATCATTTTCATTTTAAACGTTGTGTGGGGAGGATGGGCACAAGTTAAGGTTACCAGATTTTTTTCAATGAACCTGGGGACACTTTTCAACTTCAATGGCTTTTGTATGGGGACTGATTTGTGTGGGATGTGAAACACAAGAGCAGTCAAGTACAACATTCCTAGAGTGAACATGTTTACACATGGGGAGGAATGTTTGTTCAGCCAGCAGGTAAACTTCCTGTTTCCTTCTGGGCTGGGACAGACTTCCTCTGCATGTGACTAGAGGTGGGCGTGGCCTCACCTGTGCAGGTAGCGATAAAAGCACAGGACATGGCAGCCATCTCTCTCTCTTTTGACTACATGCATCGAAGAAGCAACATCTGCTAAGCCAAAGATGCTCTCTTGGCTTCTAGCCAAGAGAGGACAAAGGGACTGTCTTGTTATGAGATAGTTTCTAGGTATATGTTACTTTTCTAAGCTAAGTCTGCCTTCTGGGATCCGATTGTGAACTGAATGATGTGTGAGTAAAACTTTTTATACTTTTATAGAAGACTGTCTCGTGTCTTATCTTTTATGAGGGAATAAGGGGGAAATACCAGAACAGTTATTATAGAGGCTTTAGCGAGCCTGAGCAAACGCATCTGCTGCAAGTTTAAAAAGGGGAATGTTACTCTGCTAAATTGTGAACTTGTTAACACAAGTTGGAAAGGCTATAATCAAACAATATATCCTCTCCTGCATCCCTGAACATTCCCACAATTTGTAAATCCGGGGACTGTCCCCGGGAAACGGGGACGTCTGGTAACCTTAACTTAAGTCTTTCCCCCTGTCTACTATTCCCTGATCCAAATCCCCCTAGAATCCCACCCCCAATGGCTTTTCTGCTTGGAACATGCAGCAATAACGCTGCTAGCACATTGGCAAAAGCTAAGCAGGGTCCGGTATGGTTTCAAATTGGATGGGAGACTGCGTGTTGAGATCCCCTCATTGTGGGGTATTGGACTAGAGGACGCTCAGGGTCCCATCCAACTCTATGATCCTGTGAATTTTCAGAGGACTACCTGGGAGATGAATGATGTGCCATAATTTGCAGCATTTGCCAGACTCCCCATAACATAGAATTCTCTGGGTGGCTTACATCGCTGGTATAAAGGGATATAAATACATTTGTAGTGTATGTACATTATTTCTTCCTCATTCTTTTCTCCCCTGCACATTCCCATCTTTCTACTTCTCTTTACAAAATGCAAAGTAGAGCAAATGTTGCATTTTAAACTTGTGCTTCCTTATTGAGAAGTTGAAAACAACACTTGTTTATTTAGCTGGATGCCATTTCGTATTGCTGGGACATTCCAAGTGCTCTTTATGGAACAACTTGTATTGATACGGACTTTCTGGTGTTTCAGACAACCCAGATGGTCTAGCCCATTTTCAATTAGACTAAATTAATTGTTGATACCAGAAATGAGTAAAGAGTCACAGCAGCATTGCTATAAATATAGCAGACCTGTGTCTTAACATCCCAAAGGTCGGTACTAAGGCAGCTGCATTCAGATCTCTACCTGTAAGTATATTATAATTTCGGAGGCTGATTTTCGCCCTGACAAATGTAGTTGTATATCACAATGATATTCTTGTGCACTTTGAAATTGACCCAGCAAAATATATTAAATTGCTGCATTTTGTATTGAAGAACAAGCATTTTGAACTGCATTAACACTAACTTTAGCAGTTCTTTGTATTGAATTATCTTACGAAAAGTAAAAGGTAGTGATGTTGCAATCCTTTTTTTGTTGTGGTTCTATAGAACTGTGAGTGTTATTTTGTATAGAATGGATGGGGGAGGCTAGACATCCAATTATTGCATCTAACAAAATTTAAGGGAAGCTTAAGGGTGCGAGTTTAATGTAGGAGAGGCTGAGGCAGTGCCAACAGGAACTGAGCAGGAGGAACAAACTCATGTATTGCAGGTTTTTGATGGGATATTTACTGAGGCTATTTGCAGACGCCATCAGACAGAGGCATTGGTTGACACATTGGTGACCCCAACATTATTATCACTTAGATGGTTGGAGTGAGACTGACTCCAAACCGGATTTCTGCCTCTAGTTACTAGTAGTTCAGTAGTGCAAACCACAGAGTTTAGTGGCCATTAGTGTCAAATTATGAGAATGCTTCCTTAAAGAATAAGATAATGAGGTTAGCTGTTCGTGAATGTATAGCGTGGAGGTTATCAGTGAAGAAACTGCAAGTCAGGGGCTTAATTGCCATTTGCACAGAAAGTTGAGTGTGAAAATAACAGGGTGTCATTGGAGAGTTTGACTAACTGTTACAGCTGACAGGATACAATTACTTTGCAGCTCTTTTCTAACAATAAAAAAAATGTGTCACTTCAAGTGATTTTCTTTTCAGTATTGTATATTCATATTCTGCACTTGTCTGGAGGGGAAGATCTTAATCACAGGTTAAAAATCTGCTATTTTTCTCCCCTTCTTTACAGTAGAGTTTCAAAATCAGCTTTTTTTGTGTGTGAATTGCATGCAGACCCTCAAGCTAGAGGAGAGCTTGTAGGTGTTCGAGATCCTGGCAGGGAAGGAGCTTAATGCTTTATTAAAGAAAAGTACAGTGGTACCTTGGGTTACAGACGCTTCAGGTTACAGACGCTTCAGGTTACAGATTCTGCTAACCCAGAAATAGTACCTCAGGTTAAGAACTTTGCTTCAGGGTGAGAACAGAAATCACCCGGCGGCAGCAGGAGGCCCCATTAGCTAAAGTGGTACCTCAGGTTAAGAACAGTTTCAGGTTAAGAATGGACCTCCAGAATGAATTAAGTTCTTAACCTGAGGTACCACTGTATAGACTTACAGCAGAAGCAGCCTGCCCACTCCCCTTGCTCCGACAAACTAGGGACGGACACAACAGTAAGGACCTCAGCAAGGAGATGTCTTGTCCGCATCCAGCCCAAAGTGTGTGCATTCTGTGTACAGTGAAGCAGTATACGTCACATTGTCCAAAGAGATGTGCACACAGGTGGCCAGTCCCCAAAACATTACCAATGGTTCCCCCTTTCTGGGCTCACAGCCCGGAATTTCCAGACTCACAAGCGAACAGTACTTTCAAAGCAAATCAATTAGTGTACATCCAAGCAAGTATACCAGCATATATGAGCTCATTGCTACAGCAACTACCAATTAATTTTGGGGTTATCTTGACGTCCATCATGGCGTAAGCCGTGCTTCTTGAACAGTTCACCTTTGGTTCTACACAGCTATCACTCTCCTCTTTTTAAAAAAAGAAAATTCTATATAATCAGACATTTTAGAAAGTGGAAGTCGAAAGTAATTTGTAACCATTTTAAATATCAATAGTAAAACTCAAATCTGTCGAATTGAGTATAGTTTTTACATAATTGCCTTCATCTTTCTGCAGTACAGAAAATGCCACCCATTCTATCTTCTGTCGTAGAATTAAGTAGATCTGCTTCTGATGATCTGATCTCGGAAGTTTAAAAGCTGCTGATGGAGGTAGCAAGATTTACAATTGAACACACTATTGGATTATCTAAAAACCAGAGAATATGGAGCCTATATAATCCCGATTGCACTGTGGAATACATAAACTGGTAGCCGCTTCAGATTTATATAGCTTTCCCCCCTTTCTTCACTGCATAGTTAGTACTGATCTGTTTTGTAGCCTGTTTGATGGCTTCTCTTTCTTTCTTTCTTTCTTTCTTTCTTTCTTTCTTTCTTTCTTTCTTTTTCTTTTATGTATATCATTGATTTCTAGGCTGCTCATTCTAATTGCAAAGCTGTGAAAAAGGAACCCATTAAGGAGCAATTCCTAGGTTTAATACTTCTTGGATGTCCGTGTTAGAAATACTGAGCTATGTGGACAAATAATAATAATAATAATTTATTATTTGTACCCCGCCCATCTGGCTGGGTTTCCCCAGTCACTCTGAGCGGCTTCCACAGAGACCAAAAATACACTAAAATGTCACACATTAAAAACTTCCCCGAACAGGGCTGCCTTAAGATGTCTTCTGAATGTCAGGTAGTTGTTTATCGCTTTGACATCTGATGAGAGGGCGTCCCACAGGGCGGGTGCCACTACCGAGAAGGCCCTCTGCCTGGTTCCCTGTAGCTTTGCTTCTCGCAATGAGGGAACCGCCAGAAGGCCCCCCCCCCGATTGGTGCGATTGGGTGTTCGGCAGCTCCTTGTCTTGTTCTTGTGTTTAAGAGACTGACCTATGAACAGCAAATCACTAAGGGAGCCATCCTATGCACAACAAGCTGGTGTAAAGCAAGCAGGCGTTAGCTGAGTCGAGTGGAGTGCAAGCTTGGAGCCTTTCTGAATAGATCTGAGGACGAGGTTAATTGCTAAATCCTGGGGGGCAAAACTAATCCATTCCACTCCATTTCTGGCCATTTGCACTCCATTTGCACAATGCAAATGCCTGGTTCTTGCTTTCTTCCAGCCTTTAGTAAGACTCCCTCTTTGCCTTCGCTTTCCCCTTGCCGGTAAGCCAATAAGGAACATTGCTGGGAAGGCACCCGACTGTGATTTTAAGAAAAGAGGGCAGGGTTTTCTGTTTTTCAGCTGCACTGATGGGTTCTGGAAAACCCGGCATATATAAAAGGAGGCTGCTGGAAAGCGGTGCTCTGGTTGGCCTATTCGGCGTCCCAGAGGATTGCTTGAGTCACAGAAGAAAGGGGAGACCACAAACATTGCTTGCTATTCCAGAGGGAGATGCCTAGTTCCGCTTGAAGGCGCTGCTGTCGCATCATCTGCTTATTTTAAGCTACAGTGAAGGAACGCTGCAGGCTCTCCAAATAACCTGGATAGGTAATATTAATGCCTAATTACCTCCCTTTCCCCCCTATTTCCATTTGCTTAGTTTTCCTCCAATCTGGCTATTGTGAGATAAGAATCCTTCTGCTTTGCATGTAATATTTTCCCCTTCCTAGTCCGCTTGCAACCCCATAGCAAGCAGGGTCTTTAAAACTCTGCCTTATAATTCCTTATTAGGCGACTTTGCTGCTTTCCCAGTAACTAAGTAGATGGCATGCATGAATAAGCTTGTCAACACTGATAACTTTCAAGATTTAAAGCTACTCTTGTTTCTAATTCATTTTATATTGGCCATGTTATTGCAGTCGTACCTTGGATTTCGAACAGTTTAGTTCCTGGATATTTTGGCTCCAAAACGCCGCAAGCTCGGAAGTGACTGTTCCGGTTTATGAACTATTTTTGGAAGCCAAACGTCCGCAGGGGCTTCCACGGCTTCGGATTGGCTGCAGGAGCTTCCTGCAGCCAAACAGAAGCCGCGCTTTGGTTTTCGAACATTTTGAAAGTCGAACGGACTTCTGGAATGGATTCTGTTCGACTTCCAAGGTATGACTGTATTTTAAAACCTGTGCTTATTTACAAATAAAAATATTAGAATTGTCGTAGCAGAGTGTGTTTTTGCTAGGCATAGAGAGCGTGTGCAGGAATTTTGGTCCAGGCTAAGTTTTCCCAGGCAAAGCAAAGGGTGTCTAAGGCTCTGAGCCTATGCAGTCCTCTCTATTTGCGTGTCTCCAGTAAAGATCCCAAGGATTGTATTGCTACTTGCTTCCCTCAACACTCAACACTCAAGTAGATGTGAATGCATGCATTCCTGCAAGGGCAAATCTGCTGATCAACAACACTAGGCTTCCTTGTCTGGTACAGCACTGCGCTGTTCTGTGTCAGCGCTAATTTGTTTAAAGGATGAGGTGTGGCTTTATAGGGTGAATTTGAAAATGTCAGTCTCTTCTAGAACAAACATCCAATTCGGGATCCACCGCCTCTCCCTGCTGAGCGGTGGCAAGACCCAAGGCATTCCTGGCACTCACCCTGGGTCTGTGTTTCTTTGGAGAACTGAGTCATGGCAGAGGCTGTCGTAGCTTTCAAAAATACAGTTTATTCACCTATTTGCACCTTCCGTCTTCATGGAGAGAGTCCAGATCTTACAGTGTGGCCATTCCAAGAGGGATGTGTTCCCCCACAGCAGTGCAGCCACAGAGTCCGAGGCATCTCTTCCAGCCAGCCTTCAGCCAGCCTGCCCAAGATGGATCCCAGTCTCTCTTCCTCCTCTTTCTGCCCAGAACACTCTGATACAAAACTCCCTTTTCTTGTCACCTCACACCCTGGCAACCTTCCGAACCCCCAGTCTCTCTGGGGGCAAGGGGGGGGAAGGACAGTTCTCTTGCGTTGCCAATGGCCCTCAGTTGCCCTCTATTGTTTCTTAATGGCCCTAGCTAGGCCAGGTGTTTTGCACAGGCTAGCCCAGGAATTCCTCTGCAGCTGGTATTTCTGCCTTGACATCCCAAATAATCAAAATCCTACAATTTATTACTTCCTAGGTTCTTTTTGGGGGGTCCCCGAAATATATAACAATTATCAAAGGCAACTGTTGGCACTTTGGATTTCACTGGCATTTCAAGCTGAAGAGTATTTTGGGAAAACTTGCTATGTTACCGTATACATGAAAACATTAAACTATGCATAGAATTAAAAAGTAAAACTAGTTTGTCATAGACATACTCTTCATTTGACGTAAGTGCTAACTGTAGTAAACTAAAAGGTGAAGGTTGATTTCCATCCTATGTGATATTCTGTAACCATCTGTTTCTAAAAACCGTCTTGTATCCTTTCCCATGTGTTTCTTTTTGCATTTTCTAACAAATATTCTTTATTTGCTACATTGAGAAGTCTTGGGAATTCTATGTGCTTTGTTTAGGGAGTGCTCTGAGTCTTTTCCCCTCAAAAGGGCCTTCTGTGTTGCAACATGAATGGGAGCTGATACGGAGAACCCCAGAGACTTTGGGATCTTCTGGAGAGATACATTAGATCACTCTTTTCTCATTGCTAAGGCTGGAATCAGCTCTCATAGCCTGAATCAGCCTGCTACACCACGTCTGTGGGGCACAGGTGAAATCCCCCTTACATTCTTCCAATTGTTTTGGATCCAGTGTGCATTTTATTCAGCCTCATGGAAGTTGTTGTGAAACTTTTTGTTGGGGTAGAATGAGAGGGGAGGTCTATTTTAAAGCCCCATATGGCCTAGGACCCTCGTACCTACGGGACCGCCCACAGAGGAACTTACGATCTTCAGACAAAAACATCTTGGAGGTCCCAGGCCACAGAGAGGTTAGGCTGGCCGCAACCAGAGCCAGGGCTTTTTCAGCCGTGGCCCCGATCTGGTGGAACGCTCTGCCACAAGAGACTAGGGCCCTGCGGGACTTGACATCTTTCCGCAGGGCCTGCAAGACAGAGCTGTTCCACCAACTTCAGATATGAAATCAGCACATCGAAATTAGGTTAGAACAATTGCAGGTGTCAATGCAACAAAAAATTTGTTCCCCAGTGTTATGTGGGGTGGGGCTTACCTACCCCCCCTCCATGTTTTATTCAAGTTGGCTCCCCATCTGACGCTACACATTTTATTCAAGTCTGGACCAGCAAATCAAAGACTTGCAGTGCATACGAACAATCATGGGCGTTTCATCCATTAAGTCCCCAAGTCGACTGGGAGACAAGGGGTGTTCTTGGCATGCCAAGTCCAGCAGGCCCCTGGCAGAGCCCCCCATGCCGGCTACAAGGCCCAGGGCAAGCGTACCTGGCTTCCTTCTCTCCGAACAGGTCTGCTGCCTGTCATTTTGTCATCACGCTGGGGTTGATGAACTGCAGCGTGACGAAAGCCTTACTATTTTATGCATATATGAAGAAATAACAAATATGTAGGCATTTTAAGAGTTGTTGTTGTTTAGTCGTTTAGTCGTGTCCGACTCTTCGTGACCCCCTGGACCAGAGCACGCCAGGCACTCCTGTCTTCCACTGCCTCCCGTAGTGGCAGGAGCTGGGGCAGAGCGATGGGGGACGTGGGATTGGTGCCGCGAGCCAGAGATGCTGCGCAGCATGTTATTGGTGTCTGCAGCAAGGGGTGGTGTTGATTTATTAATTTTTAGTCTCCCAAAATGGGAGGCGTCTTATACATGGGGGCGTGTACGGTATATCATATTTAACTGGCATAATGGTCAGTATGTTCTGACGGAACGGTGTAAATTACAGCCAGTGAATCACACCATGTTTCCCAACATTTCCTTGGTCAAAGATTAGGTTTGATCATGATAAGATGAAAGAGGAGACTTTGTGTCATATTTCTTCGTCTTTTCTTCTGGGACCAATTCCATGTGGGCTTCACAAGTTTATCCACTATGGAGTAGAAGTGGATTTATTTATCCGTAAGTGTGCAGCTTATGCAACCACTTGTGAATCTACGCCTGCTGTTGTTTTTTAGAGTGAAGCGTCTGTTTCAGAATAAGCCATAAGGTTACAGTGATCACTGTGACATACTGGATCGGCTTGAGAACTATTAATTCATATAACCATACTGCCACCTTGTGGTAATTGGGTAGAATTCAGTCTTTCTAATTGCCGTATTTTTTGCTCTATAAGACTCACTTTTTCCCTCCTAAAAAGTAAGGGGAAATGTGTGTGCGTCTTATGGAGCGAATGCAGGCTTTGCAGCTATCCCAGAAGCCAGAACAGCAACAGGGATTGCTGCTTTCACTGCGCAGCGATCCCTCTTGCTGTTCTGGCTTCTGAGATTCAGAATATTGTTTTTCTTGTTTTCCGCCTCCAAAAACTAGGTGCGTCTTGTGGTCTGGTGCGTCTTATAGAGCGAAAAATACGGTAAGTCATACTGATAAGATTTTAGTTCAGATCAATGAGTAAAAGGCAGTGCTTTTTAAAAAAAATAGGTTTAGGGTTACTCTCATTTTCCTGCTCATATTGAAATACTGCCCCTCAATGAGGCCAAACGTAGATTCACAAAATGTTTAGGGGTATGCGTACACCTGCGTCCCCCCAGAAAAAAGCACTGGTAAAAGGTAAAGGTAAAGGACCCCGGAAAAGTTAGGTCCAGGTTTCAGTTTTTATAAATAATATACAGTGGTGCCCCGCAAGACGAATGCCTCGCAAGACGGAAAACCCGCTAGACGAAAGGGTTTTCCGTTTTGGAGGTGCTTCGCAAAACGAATTTCCTATGGGCTTGCTTCGCAAGACGAAAATGTCTTGCGAGTTCCTGCGTGGTTTTTTTCCTTTCCCCCCCCCTTTTCCCCAAGCCGCTAAGCCGCTTATCAGCTGATCCGTTAAGCCACTAAGCCGCTTATCAGCTGATCCGCTAAACCGCTTATCAGCTGATCCGCTAAGCCCGCTAAGCCGCTAATAGCGCTAATCCGCTAAACCGCTAATGGGCTTGCTTCGCAAGACGAAAAAACTGCAAGACGAAGAGACTCGCGGAACGGATTCTTTTCGTCTTGCGAGGCACCACTGTAATTATTTTGCAATATATGTAACAATTTTGGCACATGTGTAATTTTGCATTTTCCTTTCTTTTTCTTCCCCCCTCAAGACCAGTATAAAGGAAGGATTACTTCTGAAGCAAACCAGCTCTTTTCAGCGATGGAAAAAACGTTACTTTAAGCTTCGGGGCCGTACCCTTTACTATGCGAAGGATTCAAAGGTAAAGATTCATTCTGGTAGAAATCAATATGCCGTCTCTATAATACTAACTGCGTTTGGGTCTCTCTCTCTCTCTCTCTGCCTATTATGAAAACAGTTTTAAAGGTAGCTCCCCCTGCTTTTGTAAAAATTAGTTGTGTTGCCTGCATAGGTTCCTTGTATTTTTCTAGCACATTTAAAAAATAAATTAGTAGTGGGTTTGATTTCTGCTTTCTGGGATGAAAATGTTAGGTCAGGGGCAGGAACGTCTTGTTTGCAGGCCTAGCGAGCGTTGACTGATTCCCTGGCTTTTACTTTAAAAAACCCCCTGAAAAGATAACGGGCAAGTATCATTCCTGTGTATGTAGAAAATGAAACGCATCCTCTGTGTTCTTTTCACAGTCTTTAATCTTCGATGAAGTTGACTTGTCCGATGCCAGTGTGGCTGAATCAAGCACAAAAAATGTCAACAACAGCTTTACGGTATGCTTCCAATATTCTTGATGTTCTAACAAGTTATAACATGCTTTTGAGTTTTTCGTTTTGCCTTTTAAAAACTTGTGACAGTGGAATTTCTCCTAGTGTTCTTAAGAAGGGTGTGTTTATTGAAACATTTCTTTCATCTGACGAGAGCATGTAACCTATAAACCATCAATTATTCTATAGCATGGACAAAGAGACACACTTAAGGAATTAGGAAGGGAAGGGATGATTTTACAGGAGGGACGTACATATTGACACCTGTCCGCTCACAGAACAAACAGTTAGTTAAGTAATGTCCTAGTCATCAGAACAGTTATTTTATTTCCAGCAGAGAGATTCAGGAACAAGCTATTAGATGTCTCCTGCTCTTTGAGGTCTTGTTTGTTTCTGTGGCTGTCCCACCATGTGACCGGCCTAACGCATGGCAAGGCCACACTCTGGGCAGAAAGAGGTGATCTGAAAGCAGGGGGTATTGACATCAGTTCCTTGTTGTGGCCAGATCACTTCCTGTTGAGATTTAAACTTTCAGGGCCTTTCCCCCCTCTACAGAGGATGGGGATCTCTTAGGATGGTCCACCCTTCGAGGCTGGTGGAGTTCCCAGATGGCTTTAGGAGATTTTCTAGCTGATATGACTGGTGCCCCTGTAGAAGCCCTGGTCGACATCTATTATTTTATTATTATTATTATTATTAATAATAATATTTATATTTATACCCCACCCATCTGGCTGGGTTTCTCCAGCCAGCTTTCAACAGAACTTTAAAAACAGAATAAAACTTCAAACATTAAAAGCTTCCTAAACAGGGTTGCTTTCAGATGTCTTCTAAAAGTCGGGTAGTTGTTTATTTCTTTGACATCTCATGGGAGGGCGTTCCACAGGGCGGGTGCTGCTACTGAGAAGGCCCTCTGTCTGGTTCCCTGTAACCTCACTTCTCACAGTGAGGGAACCACCAGAAGGCCCTCACCGCTGGACCTCAGCGTCTGGGCAGATCGATGGGGGTGGAGACGCCCCTTCAGGTATACTGGACCGAGGCCGTTTAGGGCTTTAAAGGTAAGCACCAACACTGAATTGGGAGCCAATGTAGGTCTTTCAGGACCTTCTGAAACATTTGAATGGCTTGGACCATTGGCATAATCATTCGTGAGCACCTTCTCCTTCTTTGTGGAGCCTGTTTGGCTCCCTGGTATACTCCAGAACTTAAGGTGGGGAAACAAGCTGGGAGACGGCTCAAACGTAAGTGGAGAAAAATGCAAATTGAGGGCTCACCATCGAGTCTACCTTGTGGCAGTGAAGGCAGCAAAGAAGGCATACTCAGCTGCCTCCGTTGCATCCTCAGTTTGTCGTCTGGCAGAGCTCTTCCAGGTAGTGGAAGCCTTTTGCAGTCTGGCCCAGAGGAGGTGGGGAAACCAGCGGTAGCTCACTGTGACTTGTTTGCAAAGCATTTTGAGGACAGAATCGCTTGCATCCACCCAGCTCTTGACTCGGCTGTTACAGCAGATGAATCTCAAGGGATGTCTAGAGCACAGTCTAGTCCCATTATATTGGATGAGTTTCAGTTGTTAAGACTCGAGAATGTGTCCCTCTTGGCTGATAAAAACCACCAGAGAGGGGACAGCTGGCTGGGCCAGGGAGCTCTTTATGAGAGGCAGTGGTAAAACGACTCCTCAAGAAACACTCCCTGTTAGATGTTACAGGTTTCCAGACTAGCTGGTAAATGCTTAGCTTATTTCAAGTTAGTTCACTTCAGTTTCTTAGTTGCATAGATGTTAGAGCTTATTCCCGTATTTTTCACCTCCTAAGACGCACCTGACCATAAGACGCACCTAGTTTTTAGAGGAGGAAAACAAGAAAAAAATATTTTGAATGAAACAGTGGATGTATGATTTTTGTGGTTCATGCTGTGGCCACAGACACGTGATCTGATGGTGAATTTGGGGTGACCCAATGCAAAAATCCTGAGGATCCATGTGGATCCGTGCTTTGTAACCACATTTTTGCACCATTGCAGCCCCAGGAAACAGTGGATGTGTGATTTTTTTGGTGCAGGCTGTAGCCATGGACATGCTATGTGATCTGATGGTGAATTTGGGGTGACCCAATGTAAAAATCCTGAGAATCCATGGGCTTTTACCTCCCCCTCTCCCAGGCAGCCTCTGCTAGTGTCCCTTATCTCTCTTCCGATCCCACCGATCAGCTGCTTCCTTTCAACACTCCCTTCCCTCTTGTTTGCCTTAGTGTCTTTTCCTTAGCTGGAGCAGTTTTTTGCTCCTCCTTTTCTTCTAATTTCTCTCCTTATTGCTTTAGTCTTCCTGTTTTCCCCCTTTGCAAGTTTGCAGTCTTTACCTCCCCCCTCCCAGGCAGCCTCCTTTATCTCTAGCGTCCCTTATCTCTCTCCCCGATCGGCAAATGATCAGCGGCTTTGTTTCAACACCCACTTCCCTCTTTCACAAAAAAAAGCATGATCTGCTTTTTGCCCCTGGGCAATACAGCTCCAGGGACCACACATTTGCTCCATAAGACGCACAGACATTTCCCCTTACTTTTTAGGAAGAAAAAAGTGTGTCTTATGGAGCGAAAAATACGGTACTTTGGTTCTTAAACAAGGTGGTACTTTCTGTCAGATTTCCAGCCTTTTGACAATCCCACTCCTGATGTTTTTCCAAATAGTACAACAGATCCAGGGGATCACCACGCCCCTCCTAACTGGTTTAGGATTCTTCTCTTTCTAGAAGATCTCTCCCCTCTCGACTGACATGCGACCCAAGTCCTCCTCACAGCTTCTACTTCTCCTGCTCAAATCCAGCCCTCCAGTTAACACCTGTCTGAATACACAACACACTGTCTTCTGATCTGAGCTCAGAAACTCCTTTCTCTAGCTGTAGATATTTTTCTTAGAGTGGACGTTGCACATGGATCAGAACCAGCCAGTTGCTCATCTCCCTTTCCTGAGCAAGGTTCTAGAGCAGGTGGTTATGGACCAGATCCAGGCACTTTTGGAGGAAACTGGTTTTCTAGATCCATTTCAATCAGGTTTAAGGCCCGGTTTAGGCTTGGTCATCCTGTGATAACCTTTGTCGGGACAGAGACAGGGGAAACATGTCCTTGTTAATTTTCCTCGACCTCTCAGCGGCTTCTGATACCATCAAGCATGTATTGCATTGTGGGGAGGATTCTGAAGTCTTTTTAATATGTTGCTAACAATTATTGTGTGGTTAAAAACTGTAATTTTTAAGCCACCTCGAGGTTTTGGAACTTGGAAAAACGGGATTTAGATCATGGGAATCAATCAATAAATTGGGTTCCTGTGTGTGAGTTGTGCTACTCCCTGTGCATTTTTGTGGGGTAGATATGTTTGAAAAGGTCAGGAGGTGGAGAAGAGGTTCTTCAGTTCCAGCGGCAGCTTGTATATATAGAACGGCTTGCAAGGGTCTCCCTCTTCCTTGTGACTCACGGATTGTGCTGCTTGTGGTTAGTGAGCGTGTTAGAGACCGAAAAGAGCAGTTTGGCAAAGAGCATCTCGCATGGAAGAAACAAATGGCAGAGACTGCTGGGTAAGTCAGAGAGGAGGAAGTCAGAGGATTTTGTGTGTTGCTATTAGTGGCATTATAAGACAAAAAAATTCATCATTATGTGGAATATGAACTCTGAAACTTGTAGATATTAATTTATTGTGGCCTAACATAATAGCCTATCAGAGAGCACGACAATGGGAAAATAATAACGACTCTGACAAGTAAAGAAAATCTTCTGAATGCCTGCTGCTTAAAGGTTTATGTTGTTTGGCTTTTTAAGTTAAGGGTACCAATATAAACCACAGTTATTGTCTTCACTCACTGCTTTCCCTACGCTTTATGCACACATATCTTATTTTGATTGCAAAGTCATATAAATGCAGCATCATACCAAACATTGGAATATAAAATATGTTAAATATCCTTACAACCTAGGCTTGCTGTTCTCAGAAGGGCAATGAATTTGTAGTATCTGAATTTCCTACTAGAAATAAACAAGAATCTCTCTCTCTCTCTCTCTCTCTCGTGAATTACACAGGAAAACATTTACAACTGATAACAATTTTTTTGTCTTTGGAATTTATTAAGATGATCAGTATTTTACAAGAATTATGAGATCTTGCTTTTTCTGTGTTCTTTGTTACCTTGTCCTCCTTATAGCAATTCGGAGTCATCATATTAAGTGATCTTTCCGCCCCCCCCCAGGTAATCACACCATTCAGGAGATTAATATTGTGTGCAGAAAACAGAAAAGAGATGGAGGATTGGATCAGCTCTCTGAAGTCCGTACAGTCCCGGGAACATTATGAGGTAAGAGGAATGCTGCCCATCTTGCGCTTTTTAAAACTGAAATATTGCCAGTTTTTCAAGATGCAGTAAACGGGGAAGAAAAGGTGTATGTCCCTGATGCGGTGTGAAAAATCCATGAAACTAAAATAGAGATTTGGTTAAGCCTGATAAAGCCATATAGTTCATGTTACTTTTGTTTAAAGAGCCTGGGGAGTATTCTTTTTGGAAGGTGAGTTTTTGAAATGTGAGGTGGTTTTAGCTGCTGCTGTAGTGATGTCCTGTTGCTGCAAATCTCTCTTAACTTCTCCTTCATTAGGCTGCCCAGTTTAATATGGAACATTTCTCAGGGATGCATAACTGGTACGCCTGTTCCCACGCTCGACCCACCTTCTGCAACGTCTGCAGAGAGAGCCTTTCTGGAGTTACTTCTCATGGCCTGTCCTGTGAAGGTAAAGGCGGCGGCAGCCCCCACCCCCCATTTTGTATTATCACATAATTAAGTGGTGACACACAGTAGAAGAACGTATATCATATTAAGCTAAGTAAAGGTAAAGGTAAAGGGACCCCTGACCATTAGGTCCAGTTGTGGCCGACTCTGGGGTTGCAGCGCTCATCTCGCTTTATTGGCCGAGGGAGCCGGTCTACAGCTTCCAGGTCATGTGGCCAGCATGACTAAGCCGCTTCTGGCGAACCAGAGCAGCGCATGGAAATGCCGTTTATCTTCCCGCCGGAGCGGTACCTATTTATCTGCTTGCATTTTGACGTGCTTTCGAACTGCTAGGTTGGCAGGAGCAGGGACCAAGCAATAGGAGCTCACCCCATCGCAGGGATTCGAACCGTTGACCTTCTGATCAGCAAGTCCTAGGCTCTGTGGTTTAACCCACAGCGCCACCCGCGTCCCTATCAAGCTAAGTAATAATTTGCTGTTGAGCTTCAGTGAACATCGTAAAATCATTTAGTCTGACCCCCTGCAATGTCTTTTGTCTTTAAAATATAGGGGTTCCTGAAAAGAACCTTTCAGGATTCTTGTTACCTTTGTTTTCTTCATTGTTAACTTGGTCACGTTGGCCCTCCCTTCCAAATGCCTTCTTTTTGGAAATTCATTTGCTAGGAAAATAACAAGGCAGTTTTGTGTCTAGATATTGTATTGTTTAACTCTTGTGTTGGTGATATAGAGCTGAACTTTTAGCCACATCCGTCATGCCACGTTGTCATCTAGCAGCAGCAGTGCGTTGCATTTCGTTGTTTGTAGATCGACCCAAATGTGTGAGTTGCTACTCACATGTAGGAATTCTGCACATGAGCAGGAGCTTGCAAAGTTGGGTTTTTGTGAAGACAGCTGTTTGCAACAAACACTGGGAAATAAGGATGCAAGACACAAGGCTGAGGAAGCTGGGTCAAATTTGTTAATTTAATGGACCAGATCCACCGTAGAGAACCACGGTGTGAGATATTAACTGATCGTAACCAGCCGTGGGCAGCCACCCGATTCCACATACCCCTTTCCTCAGGCCCTCCTGTTTCAGGTGACTAGAGAGTCCTTCCTGCTTCATCCCCTCCCAGGGCCCCACAACTCTGGTTGATCTAACAGCTTGGCTTCAAAGCTGCCCCCTACATTGCCCTACACAGCCCTGAAGGCAAGTCTCTGGACTGCACTCATCACACTGAAAGGTGCTCACCAAACCTTAATCACCAGATTTTCCTGAAGGACCTCCTACCCCCTCCTACGTGCCACAAGGGTCCTGCATTTGAGGTAGAAAAAAGAGTGGAACACTGTACGTCCCTGTTTAATAATATATTTTAATAATAATTTTATTATTTATACCCCGCCCATCTGGCTGGTTTCCCCAGCCACTCTGGGCGGCTTACAACACATCTAAAAACATAATGAAGACATCAATCCTCAAAACCTTCCCTAAACAGGATTGCCTTCAGATGTCTCCTAAAAGTCAGATAGTTGTTTATTTCCTTGACATCTGAAGGGAGGGCGTTCCACAGGGAGGGTGCCACTACCGAGAAGGCCCTCTTGCAATATGAATTTTTATTACCATCCAAAATGAGAGTTTGTTTCCTAGTATCTTTAATCTACTTCTGGGGGTGGGTGTGTTTAAACCCTGCTGTGCATATTTGTATTCTTAGAAACAAAATAACAGGTTTTGTGTAATCCTACAAGACAGCTATTACGCTGTCTGACAAGTTAAACTGCAAGTCCCAGGACGTGGGTCTTGTCAGATTAGCGCTTTTGCTTTTTTTGGAATCAACCAAGGCATTTGGAGAGAGCAGCTGTTCTTGGAGAGCTACCAACGCAAAGTTTCTGGGATGGTGAGAAGCTTGCAGGCAATATTCTTTAATTATAATAAACAGTAGCTATACTGCTGCAAGGGGTTACATCCATTATCTCTGCAGATCCCATAAGCCATGGGTTTCCTTAGGTGGCTTTCACAAACCACGGTCCATAAGCCTCAGCTTTCCATCTGTGAAGTGGGAACCACTTCCTTACAAACTGGAATAAAGGTTGGGATACATTTTAGGTGCTGACAACATTAAGTAGATGGGCAGCCTGATCCTGTTCAGGAGATTCCTTGCTTCCCATGCAAAGCAGGAACTTTCTGTCCTTCTGACTGTCAGTCTCTTCTAGTTACACCCTTTTGCCAGTGCCTATGCATTGCAGTACTGCGGCAGGAGAAGAGACAGGCTTTTCCATATCCTAGGGGGATCCATGGACAGCCTCGTGCCTGTGTGGTGTAGTGGTTAAGAGCGGTAGTCTCGTAATCTGGTGAACCGGGTTCGCATCCCCGCTCCTCCACATGCAGCTGCTGGGTGGCCTTGGGCTAGTCACACTTCTCTGAAGTCTCTAAGCCCCACTCACCTCACAGAGTGTTTGTTGTGGGGGAGGAAGGGAAAGGAGAATGTTAGCCGCTTTGAGACTCCTTAGGGTAGTGATAAAGCGGGATATCAAATCCAAACTCTTCTTCTTCTTCTCTGACACTGCTCTCAGATCGCACTCAGCCTGGACACTGAGGTCCAGCGCCAAGGGTCTTCTGGAGGTTCCCTCACTGTGAGAAGCCAAGTTACAGGGAACCAGGCAAAGGGCCTTCTCAGTAGTGGCGCCCGCCCTCTGGAATGCCCTCCCATCAGATATCAAGGAAAGAAACCAACTATCTGACTTTTAGAAGACATCTGAAGGCAGCCCTGTTTAAGAGAGTTTTTAATGTTTGACGTTTTACTATGTTTTTATGTGTACTGTAGGTCGCCCAGGGTGGCTGGGGAAACCCAGCCAGATGGGCAGGGTATGTATGTATGTATGTATGTATGTATAAATACAACAACAATAACCGTAGTGTGGTGTAGTGGTTAAGAGCGGTAGACTCGTAATCTGGGGAACCGGTTTGCTTCCCTGCTCCTCCACATGCAGCTGCTGGGTGACCTTGGGCTAGTCACACTTCTCTGAAATATCTCAGCCCCACTCACCTCACAGGGTGTTTGTTGTAGGGGATGAAGGGAAAGGAGATTGTTAGCCGCTTTGAGACTCCTTCGGGTAGTGATAAAGCGGGATATAAAATCCAAACTCTTCTTCTTCTTCTTCTTCTTCTTCTTCTTCTTCTTCTTCTTCTCCACATTAGCCCTTGTGCTGTGAAGCAGGTAATTCCCACAGTGGACTCCTGCAAGCAAGCAAGGCGCCACTTTCTCTTCAATGCTTACTGTGGTGTCTAACCACCCATGGGGATGCAGGTGGTGCTGTGGTCTAAACCACTGAGCCTCTTGGGCTTGCCGATCAGAAGGTTAGTGGTTCGAATCCCCATGATGGGGTGAGCTCTGTCCCAGCTCCTGCCAACCTAGCAGTTCAAAAGCTGCCAGGTAGATAAATGCAAGTGCAAGTAGATAAATAGGTACCACTGCGGCGGGAAGGTAAACAACGTTTCCATGCGCTCTGGCTTCCATCATGGTGTTCCGTTGCAGCGGTTTAGTCATGCTGGCCACATGACCTGGTGTCTGCGGACAAACACCGGCTCCCTCAGGCTGAAAAGCGAGATGAGCGCCGCAACCCCATAGTGGCCTTTGACTGGACTTCACCATCCAGGGGTCCTTTACCTTTACCTTACCTTTAACCACCTATCTACCAAGATACCACAGATGTCTGCTGGTAGTGGACTTGGACTGCCTTGACTGCTATGTATATAAACTGATATGAGGCAGGCGGCTTTGCTGTGTCATCTTATACACCTGCAGAACACTTTTTTGTTTTGTTTTGATAAGCCTGCCCAGCTGTACAGTTTATATTTGATAGTTTTTAAATTGTTTTGTGGATTTTAGCTCTGTTTTATGTACAGTTTTATTTGCATACTGCTTAGAGAGCCTTTTGATTAAGTGGCCTATAAATCTAACTAACTAACTAACTAACTAACTAACTAACTAACTAAATTACCCTGCAGGGTGAGTCAGTAGTTTGGTAGAGTTGGAAAAATTGTGAAATGAACACTCTTCCAGCGCACTGCTGGGAAGGATTCAAACTAAACAGTTACCTTTTGAACAATTTACATTTTTAACACTACCTATTGCGGCTGGCGCTGTGGGTTAAACCACAGAGCCTAGGGCTTGCCGATCAGAAGGTCGGCGGTTCGAATCCCTGCGACGGGGTGAGCTCCCGTTGCTCTGTCCCTGCTCCTGCCAACCTAGCAGTTCGAAAGCACGCCAGTGCAAGTAGATAAATAGGTACCATTGCGGTGGGAAGGTAAATGGCGTTTCCGTGCGCTGCTCTGGTTCGCCAGAAGTGGCTTAGTCATGCTGGCCACATGACCCGGAAGCTGTACGCTGGCTCCCTCGGCCAATAAAGCGAAATGAGCACCGCAACCCCAGAGTCGGTCACGACTGGACCTAATGGTCAGAGGTCCCTTTACCTTTACTTATTTGTGTAATGAAGTGTTTGATTAAGCTTCTGAAAGATGATGTGAATCATTCAAAGATTATGTGTGTCTTTTCATCCAGTGTGCAAGTTTAAGGCTCATAAGAGATGTGCAGTCAGAGCAATAAACAGTTGCAAATGGACTACTTTGACTTCAGTTGGAAAAGATATTATTGAGGATGAAGATGGTGTAAGTATTTCTCAGAAATGCAGGCGGAAACCTGCACATGCTTCGGTTTTATGTAGAAAAATGAAACATTTGCTAATAGGTAGGACGATGCTAATTTTAAGTGATTGTGGATCCTGTCTACATTAGGGGGGGGGATATTTTTAGCACATTTATTTATTTATTTTTAAAATAATATTTATTAAAGGTTTAAAGATTACAGAAAGAAAAAAAGAAAGAAAAAATAAACAATGCAAATCAACACTATACATAAAAAAAGAAAAAACAAAGACACAATACATCAAAACAAAGGCAAAAGCAAAAACAATTAAAAACACATCCAATATTTCCATATCTTTGTCTTTCATTAACTTGTTTCATCGACCTCCTCACACCTCCCTTTTTTGTGTTCTAGTTATTAATTGTTTCAGCAAATCCTTTCCATCTTTCACTATTTTCTATCATATAATTATCATAATTTATTTTAACCTTATCTTACCATTAATACCCTAAAACTTATTTGTACTTAACTCCTTATAACATTTCTACTAAAGCCGTGTAATTTCATTCCAACATTTTTCTAACACTCATTAATTTTACAATGTTTCTATAAATAATTTTTTAAAACTTTTTTCCAATCTTCTTCCACCGTCTCTTCTCCCTGGTCTCGGATTCTGCCAGTCCTTTCTATCAATCCATATGGTCCATCAACCTGGTGATCTTCTGTCCGAGGCTCTTAACTCTTTTCCATGTCCCTTCTGCAGATCTTCTTCATATTTATACATACACTTTACTTTATCTTCTGCTGATCTTATTCTTAATTTCCTTCCTTTAACACTGAGGAGTAGATCTCAGGGAAGCTCCAACCTAACAATGTCTTTATTCCTTCTCGACTGGTCAGCCCATTCTCCATAGTCAAAACTAGAGTCCAAAAGATATTTCAGGACGTGTTTCAATTGGCTTTCTCTAAATTCAAACATAGAAGGCCACAGCTTATATTCATCAAATTGTCTCTGTAAGACTGAGGCTCTCTCCACTTGTATTACTTGAGATTCTATTTTTAGCACATTTAATCTCCTGGAGTGAAGCCTTATTATACAAAGAAACTCATAACACCCAAAGTAATCTCACCTGTGGTCCACTAGAGGAAAGCCAGCCCCTTGCTTTGGGTATTGCGATATAGCTGCTGCCTCTGGGGTTCTGTTGCGTGTCGAGGTCCCCAGGGCCACCCCAATAACTCACACATCACACCAATATTTTTGTTTAAGGTTTTTGGCATAATTTTGGCCACAACTTTATTAAAATACAAACATGTGAGTGGTTGCTTAGGCATTGGTTGTGACTAGCTGCCCCCACTGTGGGGGACAGTCTGACATTCTGCACGCCTGCGAAAGTCAGAAAAGGGGAATACACTTGGGGGTAGCGACGGAGCAGGGAACCTGCCCTCAGCCCTCCCCAAATGCAACCAGGGGCTCTTGCGTGGCCCTAGCCCCTTGACAGGATTCAGATAAAAGCAATAGTGAGCCCCTGTATTCCTTTAACGGAATCCCTCGCAGCAGCAGCATTAGAGGGGCAGGCACAGCCAATCCATGCCCCTCAACCAACCAAACCAAAAACCAATGCCTAACCGCAACCTTACAACCTTACCTTGTGACGATTTGCTACGCAGTAGGCAAAAACCAAATGGCCCCAGCCAATCAGCCAGATGGACAAAATTCCTACCGGGCCCCTGCCCCAAGAGCAGACAACCCCATGACAGGCATAGCAAGGTCAAAGCGACCAACCCTAATTCTTAGGGAGGGGGGGACGGGCAATCCGATGCACGGGCGAAAAGAGGAAGCCCTAGCCTCGTGCAAGGAGTTTTAGCATTTCTGGCTGTCAGTCAACAAATGGCAACATTAACTGCTTCCCAACGGCAAGGGAAGCCCAATCGCATCAGTGGCCAACGGTCAATTAGCCCGCCCCACAACTTTGGAGTGTCCTGGCGGCCCCCACTGCAACACGTGCTCTCCATGAAGGAGAACACGCTTTGCTCTCCTCACTTCCCAACACAGTGGGCTGCTTGCCAAGGGGGATTGGGGAAGCAAGGGGTGCTGCGCCAAGGTCCCTGCACCTCAGCGCTTCCTGCAGCGACCTGTTCTGTTGGCGTGCTTGACACAAGTTAATCTACACTGGCAGCGAAGTGTAGTTGAGGGCGGGGGGCGGTATTGATAATGGCAGTTGTCCAAAAGGGTTGACGCAGCTGTGCCAAATTCTCCCCTCCCAGCAACAGCACCCTGACCCTAAAAAGCCAGTTCTGAAACTCGGGGGTGTGTGTGCGTCCCCTGTGAAACAGGGATTTCATTAGGCGACTGGAAGGGGAACCTTCTGTACCACGGCATATACGTACTCAGATCTCTTTGGTTCAGAACCTCAGGGGTTGTATCCAGCATTAAGTCTTCTTCAGAGTAAACCCATTGAAAATAATGGCTAACTTAGATCCATTAATTTCTGTGGCTATTTTGAGTGCAACTTCGTTTGATATGACCGTAATAGTTTTCAAAATGGGTTGTGTGGGTGGGGAAGCAGTGAATATGGTACAGTCAAACCTCAGTTCCTGAAAGCCTTCATTTTGGAACGTTTCGACTCCCAAACGCCGAAAACCCGGAAGTAAGTGTTCCGGTTTTCGAACATTTTTCGGAAGCCGAACGCGGCTTCTGCTTGAGTACAGAAAGCTCCTGCAGCCGCTCAGACGCCATGTCTTGGTTGTCGAACATTTTGAAAGTCAAACGGGCTTCTGGAATGGATTACATTCAACAACCAAGGTTTGACTGTAGTGAATTTGGAAGAAAAGTGACATGCTTATTTCCCTGTCTCCGTTGCCCCCATTTTGACCTTTGAAACACTCCGCTGCAGGTAGCTATGCCTCACCAGTGGTTAGAAGGAAATCTTCCTGTCAGTGCCAAATGTGCAGTTTGTGACAAGACCTGTGGCAGCGTCCTGCGACTGCAAGATTGGAAGTGCCTTTGGTGTAAAACGATGGTGAGTTCAGATTGTACAAGTCTCTTTCCCTCAAAACAGTCTCCTAGAATGTTCTCATAATTTTTGGTTTGCGTTTGTCTGTTTCGAGAGACAATGGAGTTCGCCTCCGGAGGGTGAAGCCAAATCACTGCGTTCTCAGTATCGAAGTGGCTTCCCCTGGGCGCAAGCGTGTGCAGTGTGTCTGGAGACCCTGGGCTGCCCAGGCGACAAGACCCCCCCCCCCTTTCAGCCTTGCTGATGGGGTCCAAAGGAAACCAGAGCAAGACGTTTGACACCAACTTGGCTGCTGGAAGGAGGCGTACAAGGCTCCATCCAACCCTAGGGACTCCTGACTCATATTGACAAATAATTTTTACTATAAAAAATGAAACTCTGAATATTTTTAAAATATCAGAATAAGCTGTTATTTAGAAAGTGTACGTCAAACTGCGCAATTTGTGACACAGAAAGGTCAACATATTCCATTAGCCATTTGTTTTTTCTTTGTAGTTTCTGTGCAGTCCTGTGATTTTGATTTATTCTTTTGACCTCACTTTTCTGCCCCCATGGATAGACAAAGCAGTATACATGTTTAATGAAAGATGTTAAGATATAAATACAAACCATCATCATAGAAGAAGAAGAAGAAGAAGAAGAGTTTGCATTTGATATCCTGCTTTATCACTACCCGAAGGAGTCTCAAAGTGGCTGCATATAAAACACCTAAAGCCAAAAACATTCTACAGCGGTATTCCCCAACTTGGTGCCCTCCAGGGATCAAGTTGGGAAAGCCCGCTTTAGGCATTCTACTAAGGAACTTGTCCCGCCCTCACTCATCTGCTTCCAGAGAAGAGTCTTCACTATCTGAATGTGGGTAGAGCATTGGGGCGGCTTTTGGCTCAGTTCTCTACCGACCACAGTGGAAGCCACAGATCTGCAAAGTTTAGCTTGTTCCACTGCATCCATTTTCTCAGTGCCCAACCCTCTCCCTAGGATCTGATGGAAGCGAGTAAGAGCCAGCGTCATCCGTGTAGCCATGCTGCTTCAGCCGAAACCTCCAGATAACTTATCTGAGCAGCTTCATGGAGATGTTAAGAAACATGTCACGCAGGATAGAGTTCTGTGGAACCCCCTGGGCCAATACACTTATGTATGCACAAGGATTAGGTGGTGGAACACTCGCGTTTTGCATTCCTTCCTAAAATTGACTTTAGAAAGTCCTTGTGGTACTTCTTGCCTTCTTCCCGGAACATAAAAACTGTAGGAATGGCTTGGCATACCTCAGGAAAGAACATCAAGTGTTTCCATGGAAGGTCTCACTTTGATGCCAACCTTCACTCTTTTCTATGAATTAGCTAAGCAGGGAGAGTGGAAAGGGTCATTCCTTGGCATCTCCAATTAGGGTGGGAAAGACTCCTGGAAAGCCACTTACATTATATGTAGACAGTCCTGAGCCAGATTTACCCAATGGTTTGAATAGGTAGAAGAAGAAGAAGAAGAAGAAGAGGAAGAAGAAGAAGAAGAAAAAGAAGAAGAAGAAGAATTTACTGCTTACAATATTTTTCGCTCTATAAGACGCACCAGACCACAAGACGCACCTAGTTTTTGGAGGAGGGAAACAAGAAAAAAAATATTCTGAATCTCAGAAGCCAGAACAGCAAGAGGGATCGTTGCACAGTGAAAGCAGCAATCCCTCTTGCTGTTCTGGCTTCTGGGATAGCTGCACAGCCTGCATTCGCTCCATAAGACACACACACATTTCCCCTTACTTTTTAGGAGGGAAAAAGTGAGTCTTATAGAGCAAAAAATACGATATATGTAAGCCCAGCCACTCTGGGCAGCTTCCAACAAATCAAAACATTAAACCCAGTAAAACATCAAACATTAAAAACTTCCTCATTTCACCTGTATTATTTGATATTTTACAACTTGCCCTTTTCTTGCTTTTAAAATGCATGCGTTATTTGTAGTCTCGCCTCCAGGCCGGCATGTAAGTGACAGCGCTCTTCTCAAGGGCTCCCTAATTAGACCTCTGAAATGTTCCCAGAGGGTCCTCTGTGCAGGGGCAGAACCCGTCTGTGATGATGCTCAGACGGCCACTCCAGACCAGCAGTGACTAGTTAGCAATCTGTTTTTGCACTGAGTTTTCATGATGCTCCGACTGGACTGCTATACATACATGGAAGGCTTGATGGGCCAGAAATTATCCAGGCCTGGTGTGGCTTTGTCACTTGGGAATAGAGCACACCTTTATTTTTATATCTTTCCTTGAAAAATGAGTGTTTCTGTTACAATACTCAGGAGTATGCTTGCTGCCATAACGTTAAGGCTGCATGTACTATATTGACGGACCATTGCTTGTTCATTTTTTCCCCTCCAGGTGCACACGGCATGCAGAGATTTGTTTCCTCGCAAGTGTCCACTTGGCCAGTGCAAAGTATCCATTATTCCACCTACAGCACTGAACAGCATAGACTCTGATGGTATGCAGGTCCTTTAATATATTTCTTCGTGACACGCTTTGCAAATAAGATTGAGTGTAAAGGCTTCGCACAAGGCAGTTGTGCTGATTGGGACTGGAGAGAGGAGGCTGCTGCCTATTGCAATTTTATAAGGTCTACGAATAGGACCAGGGACTCTTCTCCTTGTGTTAGCTCAGCACAAGTACAGAATATTAAAATGATGCTGAGGTTGTTCTCCGTCAACAGACATGCATACAGCTTTGCTTTCTCACCCAGCCACCATGGAATTCCCTGGCAAAACTGGGCAGTTCTTGAGATCTCTTTCCAATTATGCGCTCAGGTCCATTATTATTATTATTATTATTATTATTATTATTATTATTATTTATATGTACCCCGCCCATCTGGCTGGGTTTCCCCAGCCACTCTGGGCGACTTCCAACAAAGATTTAAAAATACATTAAAATGTCACACATTAAAAACTTCCCTAAACAGGGCTGCCTTCAGATGTCTTCTAAATGTCAGGTAGTTGTTTATCTCTTTGACATCTGATGGGAGGGCGTTCCACAGGGCAGGCGCCACTACCGAGAAGGCCCTCTGCCTGGTTCCCTGTAGCTTTACTTCTCACAGTGAAGGAACCGCTAGAAGGCCCTCGGTGCTGGACCTCAGTGTCTGGGCAGAACGATGGGGGTGGAGACTCTCCTTCAGGTATACTGGGCAGAGGCTGTTTAGAGCTTTAAAGGTCAGCACCAACACTTTGAATTGTGCTCGGAAACGTACTAGGAACCAATGTAGGTCTTTCAGGACCGGTGTTTATGGTCTCGGCAGCCGCTCCCAGTCACCAGTCTAGCTGCCGCATTCTGGTCCATAGTCAGAAAGGGAAAAGAAGAGAAAAAGGACAGTGAGTTGGATCCAGTGATTCAACTGGTATGTTTCTACTCACAGAAAGGGCACTCCGTGCTAAGGAAGCGGGAGAATTTTTGCTGGTTTCCTCTGCCCACCCCCTTCTGCTCCAGAGAGCAGCTTGGGAAGACCAAAAGATACAGACTTAAGAAGGTGATGCTGACTATCTAGCCAGGACCATGAGGTGGGGCGATTGTCTCAGGTGGCAGATCTGCTCACCACCTGCCCACAGAGCCGCCCACTGCTGCCACTGCCAGCTGCCTCTTTTTACTCCCTGTGACCGTAATAAATCAATTCATTCATTTATTCAGTCCCTGGGCTGCCTCACGAGGTGTGCATTTGTAATACTTATTGACACGAAGGGTAATCATGGCTCGTGTTCTTTTATTTAGGAGGAGTTTTAAGCTGAGAAAAACTGGCGGGCTTTCAGTTCAAGCAACAAATCTAAATATTTGCTAAAATTTTCAAACCTCCCATTCATAGAGTGGGGAGGTGATTTTTCACGGAGTCTGCCTGTTTCATTTTCATTCCCTCAGTCTGTTCTGGAGGACTGGAGGTTGAAGGGTATAAGAAGATGGCACAGGGGGAAAGAGGAATCTGTGAAAATCATTTCTCTTCCTCTCTATTTAGTGGGCACATCATTCTGCAATTGGAAGAGCCTACTCCCTTTATTAACCACTTACAAACTCAACGCTACAGTACAATAAAAGCAACACAACCCTGCCCACAGACATGTAGTCTAAGCGACCTCCAAGTTTACTTGGGAATAAACGCAATAGCGTTTAATTCTGAGTAGACGGTGCTTTTAGTGGGTTAGCTGAATCTTGAAGAATAAGTGGGGGGTGGCTGTCATTGGACTTTGTGTAGTACATTGCAAATATATGCATCACCTATTACGTTTTGAAGGCTTCACAATGCAGATGTTTCCAGCAGATGTTCACTTTCTGTTTGTAATTACAATTTGAAATTGATAGCTAAATTAGCAGAAATATCACCATTATTATATTGTAAGAAAATGACTCCCATCGTTAGGGCTGCCGGCCTATTGGCACATTTCAGAACATGCACAAATACCAAGCGGAATTATATATAATTCCTTACCCTTTTAGTGTCATAATTTTTTGGGGGGGGGGGTATAATAGGATTCACGAGCACTTGGGATCTCATAGGTCCATTATACACTTGGATTTAGTCATTCTTTCTTTAAATGGATTTTGGAATTTAGTCATGAACAGCTGAGCGTGTTGTATGTCCATTGGGACCTGAATGTGATTTTCATGGCAATAATGTCCATTAGCATGATTTAACAAGAGCTTTTTGCTCAGGTTGCTGGAGCTATTTAGATAATCACAATCTTTGGGAGCTTTAATGAAGGTTAACAAAGGCTGTTTTCCCCATCTCTGGCTGCTTTTTGGTGCCAAAAACGGCTATTTAGTAGTTGCCAGAGGCTGGCATGGCTATACTTGTTTCCCAACATCCTTTGCTTTTTACTGGAAAGAAACCAGAAATAAAAATCTCCCTCTGCCCCCCCCATTGGTGAGTTTTCATCATGACCCAGATGACTTCTGGATTTAAATACAACAAAAGGAGTTCTTTTAAAATATCAACAATGCCTTTCTAGTCTTAATCTAATGTGCACCAGATACAATCTCGCTTAAAATGTATAAGAAGTGCAGTGTAAACGATGGAAGTCAATCAATGAAGTTTTATTAGTATTTTCATATTGAGATATTTGTAGAATAAATTTGGGAGAAATTCTTCCAACTTTTCTTCTTCTTTTTCTCTCTTTTTTTTCTTTCTTTTCTTCTTTTTTCTTTTTTGTTCCTTTTTTCATGTATATGTGCTTATTTGAAATATGTATGTATGTATTTGCAATATTTTGCTTATATTTTGTAACAATTATGTTAAATAAACAATTTTTTTTAAAAAAATGATGTGCACCACCACCCAGTTCAACAAAAGAGGTCCAAAATCAGTTGTCTAGAGGCATCTCTGGCACAGTGAGAGTGCAGGAAGTGTCTCTCCTGACTTCTCTATGCTTCTGCCACTGTCTGAACCCACAGCAAATCTGCAGGCTCTTCTTCGATACAAGAGCTAACAGAACAAAAGGTTGCTGCTCTTGCCTCTCAGATGCTCTGCAGTAGAGTAATTTACTTCTGTCTCACTTGGGGCTTTCACTTGTGCACTTACCCTGAACACTTTAATCAGCTAATTCCCAACCCTCCTATTGTCTTTAATTAGTATGGGGACAATTAGACCTTTTCAAAGTCAGAGCTAAGTGAGAATTGGCTTTTTAGAGTGGATATTTGTTTGTTTGTTTTGTCCGCTAAAGCAGTAACTGGTGATCCTGTTGGAAGAATAGGAGCCACTTGGTTCCTTCAACCATATTTACATCATTTTATTCCTTCCTTTGTTTACAGGATTCTGGAAAGCCACCTGTCCACCATCTTGTGCCAGTCCTCTGTTGGTTTTTGTCAATTCAAAGAGCGGCGACAATCAGGGTGTAAAATTTCTCCGACGATTCAAGCAGTCACTAAATCCAGCTCAGGTGTTTGATCTAATGAATGGAGGGCCTCATTTAGGGTAAGGAGTTTTGCTTTCTACCCACTGTTAGTCCTGGACAGGGTCATTGCAAAATTGGTACATTTAAATCGAACTTTATTCTGCTAGAGTTCACCATATCAGATTGCTGTATTATTGGAGAATTACAAAGCATCCAGTAGTTTCTTCTTCTGAGAAACATGCAGGTTGCCTAGAGAAGTTACCAGACAAGAATCATAGAATCATAGAATAGAATCATAGAGTTGGAAGAGACGACAAGGGCCATCGAGTCCAACCCCCTGCCAAGCAGGAAGCACCATCAGAGCACTCCTGACATATGGTTGTCAAGCCTCTGCTTAAAGACCTCCAAAGAAGGAGACTCCACCACACTCCTTGGCAGCAAATTCCACTGTCAAACAGCTCTTACTGTCAGGAAGTTCTTCCTAATGTTTAGGTGGAATCTTCTTTCTTGTAGTTTGGATCCATTGCTCCGTGTCCGCTTCTCTGGAGCAGCAGAAAACAACCTTCCTCCTTCCTCTATGTGACATCCTTTTATATATTTGAACATGGCTATCATATCACCCCTTAACCTCCTCTTCTCCAGGCTAAACATGCCCAGCTCCCTTAGCCGTTCCTCATAAGGCATTGTTTCCAGGCCTTTGACCATTTTGGTTGCCCTCCTCTGGACACGTTCCAGTTTGTCAGTGTCCTTCTTGAACTGTGGTGCCCAGAACTGGACACAGTACTCCAGGTGAGGTCTGACCAGAGCAGAATACAGTGGCACTATTACTTCCCTTGATCTAGATGCTATACTCCTATTGATGCAGCCCAGAATTGCATTGGCTTTTTTAGCTGCCGCATCACAGAACTTTCTCCAAGGAACAGACTCTCCTTCCTTGGAAGTTTTTAAGCAGAACTTGGATGGCCACCTGTCATTGGTGTTTGAGGCTTTAGCTCCCTGTTACAAGTTTGGCTTTGGTTTGCTAAATTACTTTTGGGGAGCTGTCCGAGCCATTTAGGTAGATAGCCACTGGCACCCAATGACCCTTGCAAATTTTAAGCAGGGGTGGGTGGGAATACAACCGGTTTCACTTGCAAAGAAAAGAAGCAGAGAGGCCCTGTGCATATATCACATCAGCTCATTGTATTTCCATCCCATGTCCATGCACCGCTTCCTCAGTCCCTTCTGCCTCTTGCTGATGACCTCATGCTATCTAATCACATGTGCGCCATACCTGTTAGGGGTCACCTGTTTCATTCTTCTAAAATGTCTATTGAGCTGCTATTCAACTGGCAAACTAATATTCTGTGTTCTTGTGCAGAGAATTATTATTATTATTTGTTGAATTTATATACCACCCTATACCCAGGGACACGGGTGGTGCTGTGGGTTAAACCACAGAGCCTAGAACTTGCCAATCAGAAGGTCGGCGGTTCGAATCCCCGCAACGGGGTGAGCTCCCGTTGCTCGGTCCCAGCTCCTGCCCACCTAGCAGTTTGAAAGCACCTCAAAGTGCAAGTAGATAAATAGGTACCGCTCCAGCGGAAAGGTAAATGCCATTTCCGTGCACTGCTCTGGTTCGCCAGAAGCGGCTTAGTCATGCTGGCCACATGACCCGGAAGCGGCACGCCGGCTACCTCGGCCACTAAAGCAAGATGAGCGCCACAACCCCAGAGTCGGTCACGACTGGACCTAATGGTCAGGGGCCCTTTACCTTTACCTTTCATACCCGGGGGTCTCAGGGCAGTTCACAGAAGGGAGTGGCCCCTCCAATAATTCACCAGTGCCTTTAAGGGCTTCCTAGAGTTTAATCACCTCTGAAGGGGACTGGTTATTCTGGCTTGTGGATAATTCTGCAGAGAACAGAGTGCCCCCTCCAAAGATACAGAATGTGACCAGTTAGCCAGCTAAATAGCACTTCAACAGATGCTGTTTTCTGGAAGATAGCTGGTATCAGCAAATCTGTGGGTGGTAAAGGTAAAGGGACCCCTGACCATTAGGTCCAGTCACAGACGACTCTGGGCTTGTGGCGCTCATCTCGCTTTATTGGCCAAGGGAACCCGCGTACAGCTTCTGGGTCATGTGGCCAGCATGACTAAGCCGCTTCTGGCAAACCAGAGCAGCACACGGAAACGCCGTTTACCTTCCCACCAGAGTGGTACCTATTGATCTACTTGCACTTTGACGTGCTTTCGAACTGCTGGGTTGGCAGGGAGCTCACCCCATCGCGGGGATTCGAACCGCCGACCTTCTGATCGGCAAGCCCTAGGCTCTGGGGTTTAACCCACAGTGCCACCCGCGTCCCTTCCTATGGATGGTACCCATCCTTAATCCTACCCTGAATACACCCAGTGACGATAATGGGCATGACTAACTTGGGGTCGTTAAGAATATGAGAGAACCAAGGCAGTCAAAATCTCCTTGTTTGCATGGGGGTTGCATTCTGGGTCATTGTTCGTGTCAGCAGTTGTGCGTAAACCCGTTCTGCCACCGCTCTGTTCCGCCCCCTTCCGGGGCGAAAAAAGGGGTGGTGTTGGTGGGCAAAACAATCACTGCCTGTACTGAGGATCCAGCAATAGAGCAGAATAGCACGTTTACCCTGTTTGCAACGACGCACTTCAGGTCCAGTATACCTGAAGGAGCGTCTCCACCCCCATTGTTCTGCCCGGACACTGAGGTCCAGCGCTGAGGGCTTTCTGGTGGGTCCCTCACTGTGAGAAGCCAAGTTACAGGGAACCAGGCAGAGGGCCTTCTCGGTAGTGGCGCTTAACCTGTGGAATGCCCTCCCAGCAGATGTCAAGGCAATAAGCAACTATTTTACTTTTAAAAGAGAACTGAAGGAGGCCCTGTTTAGGGAAGTTTTTAATGTTTGATGCTGTATTGTTTTTAACATTTGGTTGGAAGCTGCTCAGAGTGGCCGAGGAAACCCAGCCAGATGGGTGGGGTATAAATAATAAATTATTGTTATTATTATTATTAAAGTCCATGCTTTCTTCACATGAAGAGGGATTGCCACAGGAGGAATCCTATTTTGAGGGGTTTGGCCTTGGAGCAGACCTCACTTTCATTGCAATAATGCCACCACCATATTTGGTTAGTACTTGTAGACCAAAAACTGTTGGTTTGGATCTGTTATTTAGCAGTTTCTGCTAAATGCCAGAACTTTGAAAAAGGGAAAGCAATCAGGTTTTGCCACCTGAATTATTTTTTTAAAGCAACAAGTTATTTCCCATAAAATTTCCAGAAGGATAGACATGATTGCAGGAAAATCAATTGAAGACAAACAGATTTGTAATGGCAGCTTTTGTGGGCTTGAGTCCACGAAAACTTGTGCTAATAACAAATACTTAGTCATTGGCGCTCTTGGTTGTTCCCCTCTTCTGAAAATCTGCATAATTTACTGTCAACAGCTAACACTGTCATTGTTGTGAATGTTTATATTGTACCTCCTTGTGGATTTGAACACGGACAATGCATTCTCTTTCAGTCTACGATTATTTCAGAAGTTTGACAATTTCCGAATCCTAGTGTGTGGAGGAGATGGAAGCGTTGGCTGGGTATTGTCTGAAATTGATAAACTCAACTTACACAAACAGGCGAGTATCAGTTTCTTCTTATTGAGGAGGAAAGAAAGAGTGAGGTGGGTTTTTAAGAAACTAGGAAATAGAACAAAAGTGAAGAAAAACAAAACCCCACAAATATAGGTCTGTAAGTTGACTTTAAACAGAATATTTCTTATTTCGTTTAGTGTCATTTGGGAGTGTTACCCCTGGGTACAGGAAATGACCTTGCCCGTGTCCTTGGCTGGGGTGGGTCTTGTGATGACGACACACAGCTTCCTCAAATTTTGGAGAAGTTGGAACGAGCTAGCACCAAAATGTTAGACAGGTAAGTAAGCATCTCTTTCCTCTCCCCTACCCCAATTAATGTTATTCATAAGCAGTGCCGGATTTACATATAAACTAAACAAGCTATAGCTTAGGGCCCCACTCTCTTCCCCAAAAAAATTAAAGGGAAAAAAACCTGGATGTACATTTCCAAAATAAAAATAAAAATAAAACCTACAGTGTTTTGTGTTGTGTTGGCTCCTATGATGTAATAGCTATGATGTAATAGGCTCCTGCTAGCCCGCTCCCTAAAATATCAGTGGTTTGCTCATTTCTGTATATAGAGTGCCTACATTCTGCATGTGCAAATGGCTTTAGATACCTATTAAAGGTAAAGGTACCCCTGCCCGTACGGGCCAGTCTTGACAGACTCTGGGGTTGTGCGCTCATCTCACTCTAGAGGCCCGGAGCCAGCGCTGTCCGCAGACACTTCCGGGTCACGTGGCCAGCATGATGAAGCTGCTCTGGCGAACCGGTACCAGAGCAGCACACGGAAACGCCGTTTACCTTCCCGCTATAAAGAGGTACCTATTTATCTACTTGCACTTAAGGGTGCTTTCGAACTGCTAGGTGGGCAGGAGCTGGGACCGAACGACGGGAGCTCACCCCACCGCGGGGATTCGAACCGCCGACCATGCGATCGGCAAATCCTAGGCACTGAGGTTTTACCCACAGCGCCACCCGCGTCCCTTTAGATACCTATTAGGTCCATAAATTACCATACAGTGGTACCTCGGGTTACATACGCTTCAGGTTACATACACTTCAGGTTACAGACTCCGCTAACACAGAAATATTGCTTCAGGTTAAGAACTTTGCTTCAGGATGAGAACAGAAATCGTGCTCCGGCGACGCTGCGGCAGCAGGAGGCCCCATTAGCTAAAGTGGTGCCTCAGGTGAAGAACAGTTTCAGGTTAAGAACGGACCTCCGGAATGAATTAAGTACTTAACCCGAGGTACCACTGTATAGCATATATTCAACACAAAAAACAGCAACAATTTGCTGTTGACGAAGGACAGCTGGACATATAAAGGGCCCCATTACCTTCAGTAGCTTAGGGCCTCATCAAACCTAAATCCGGCCCTGTTCATAAGGGTTGAATTACCTTTGAGTGACTATTTCTTCTTCTTCCAATGCGAATACAAATTGATTTTGCTGGGTGAATTTGGTCCTTTGCATGTTGTTTGATCACCTGGATATATGGCACTTTTTTCAGGTGGAGCATAATGTCTTACGAATTGAAACTGCCATCAAAGCAGTCTATTCTTCCTGTTACGCCAGAAGAGGAGTCTGAGGAATGTCAGGTGAATATAGGTTTTGGGATGTGATTAAATTGTAGAGCTGGAAAAAATGAAATATAATTAACAAAGCAATCCTAGGCATGTCTACTCAGAAGTAAAATCCCATTGCGTTCACCAGGGCTTAATTTCAGATAAGTCTGCAAAGGATTGCTTAAAAAAAACTAGGCTCGTATGTAGCAGCTTATTTCAATAGAGTTTTGTTTAAAAAATACATTGGTGTAACATGGATAGTCATTGTTAGCAACTATGAGAGATGTTTCTTACCGATAGTTGGGAATCCACATGCACTAATTAATTGAAATTTTAGGCTGTCCTTCATTGAAGGAGTACATATGACTTTCCTCTCCTGCATTTACCATCCCAGTAACCGTGTGAAGTAGAGTCAGGGACTGGCAGGTTGCTGGCGAGTACACATCGGTGGCAGGGGGGCTGGAGGCTGGCTCAGCAGAGGGGGGCAGTGATTTGCATGTCGAGGTCCCCAAACCACCCCCAAATGAATTCACACTACACACAGGAATTTTTGTTTAAGGTTTTTGGCATAATTTTGGCCACAACTTTATTAAAATACAAAATGTGAGTGGTTGCTTAGGCATTGGTTGCGACTATCTGTCCCCGCCCAGGGACAGAACTGACACCCGCAAACCTGCGAAGTCAGTAAGGGAAAACATTTTGGGGGAGAGAATAGAGCTGGGTGCCAGACCCTCACCTCTCCCCAAATGCTTCCAGGGGCTCTTGCGTGGCCCAAGCCCCTTGACAGGGGTGCGGACAAGAGCATGGCAAACCCCTGGATTCCTTTAACGGAATACCCTTGCAGCAGCAGCATTGGAGGGGCAGGCACTGCCAATCCTTACCCTTCCACCAACCAATTTTCTAAAACCAATGCCTAACCGCAACCTTACAAGTTGTGTCGATTTGCTACGCAGTAGGCAAAAAACCAAATGGCACCAGCCAATCAGCCAAATGGACAAAATTCCTACCAGGCCCCTGCCCCAAAAGCAGACGACCCCATGACAGGCATAGCAAGGTCAAACGCAAAAGCCCTAAAATTAGGGAGGGTGGGAGGGTGATCAGATGTGCGCAGCGAAAAGAGAAACTCAACGCTGCACACAGAGAAGATATAACCTAAGGCTGTCGATCAATAATTGGCAACATCAAACTCCACCCAACAACCAGAGGAGCCCAATCACAACAGTGACCATCCAAACTAACTCGCCCAGCAACCGAGGGGTGTCTTGTGAACCCCACCACAACCCGTGCTCTCCATGAAGGAGAACACGCTTTGTGGGGACCTGTGCCAGCCAGGAGGCAAGAGTCAGACGCAGGGGAAGCTTCAGAGCTGGAAGATGGAGCACAGGAGGAAGAGGGGAAAGAAGCAGGTCAGGCAGGTGAAGGGCTGAGTGCTCCCTCGCCCTTTCCTCCATCACCATCTCCCTGAACCAGGAAAGAATTGAAACGGGAAGAACAGATGCAGCTTCCACACAGGCTTAGTCTTTGACTGCATGCATGCAGCCTGTCAGGAGAAGATACATAACCTGGTGGAGGCGGAGTGGTCCCCTGTTGCACCAGCCGCTCCTGTGTGTGGTATTTGGAGCCATGGAAACTCCTGTGTCAGCTTTGACAATAAAGAGCAAACTATCTGCCCTGTGCCTCCCTTGACCAAGAGGTTAGTCTGGGGCACGTTTAATGGGTGTGCACCAATTTGAACCAAGGTAGTCCCTTCGTCTAACCACTACCTATACAATGCCTGCTTTACATTTGTTGCAAAAACAAAAGCTGCTTATTTGAAGTGTCTGTCAGTTCATTTTGAGAAAGTCTACAATACAACCACGTATTAGAATCGGACTGTAATCTGAAGACTTCCCATAATCCTCAATTGCTCAGTAGTTTGACTGATTAAATCATTACAAACAAACAAACAAACAAACAAACAAACAAACGGATGTATACATACAGGCAGGTATTAAGTGTTCGGAATTAAACTCTCTCTCTCTCTCTGAATATCTCTTTCATTTTTTATTTACACGGCTCTATGGGGTTTCATCTATGAATCTATGGAATAGTCTTAGGTGATCATACTATAATCATAAAATTGATGTATTACATTGTTCTGTATATTAATAGAACAGTATTAAAATAATAAGTGCTAATACCTCAAACTGAGATTAGCTTTTCTCAGCATGGTAGAAACTTCATCAGACAGGCAGGAACGCTTGGTGGTGATAGAATCATCAGAGGGTGTGACATTGAATTCCTCCTTTGCCTATGCCTCACTAGATTGTGGCTTTCATATTTTTTCCAACCGATCTATTATAATTTTCCCTAGTTCACCATTTTATGTTGGAGTTAAGACTGAGAGCGTTCTTAGGCTAAGAAAATCAATAACCGCAGATACATCTAGCATTACTGTATAGAAGGCATCTTTGGTGGATGCAGAAAGGGATCCTGCCTGTGTGATATTTGTTTTTTTACTTCAACACAATCACAGGTAGAACGTGAATAATTATTTCTTAATTTTTAGATGTCTATGTATGAAGATTCAGTTGCTGCTCACCTGGCTAAGATCCTGGATTCTGATCAGCACTCTGTTGTCATATCATCGGCCAAGTAAGTTAAAAAAAAAAGTGCACGTCACAATATAGCGTAGAGCAGTTTTGTGTTACATCTTTTTTAATACGCATGCAAGCATGAACGTTTACTTGCACACTCAAATTTGGACTCTTGCCCGATTCAGATGTTACATGCAAGGGTGCTGCAGGCGCGAGAGCAAAGTTATGTCTCAGTGACGCTTCAGGGTGGATGTGGAACTGTGATTTCTGCTTGTGGCAGAGTGCTTGTACAACAATGCTTCACAACAAGCTGTGATGAACCTCGGCTGACAAAAGAATGTCAGGCTCATTAGAACTGTGGGTTAAACCACAGAGTCTAGGACTTGCTGATCAGAAGGTCGGCAGTTCGAATCCCCGCGACGGGGTGAGCTCCCGTTGCTCGGTCCCTGCTCCTGCCAACCTAGCAGTTCAAAAGCACGTCAAAGTGCAAGTAGATAAATAGGTACCACTCCGGCGGGAAGGTAAACAGCGTTTCTGTGCGCTGCTCTGGTTCGCCAGAAGTGGCTTAGTCATGCTGGCCACATGACCCAGGAGCTGTACACCGGCTCCCTTGGCCAGTAAAGCGAGATGATCACCACAACCCCAGAGTCGGTCACGACTGGACCTTATGGTCAGGGGTCCCTTTACCTTTACCTATATGCCCCAAAGAGGATTCCTTAGGCCTCAGTTGTGTACAGTTGTGGTTCCAGCATCACCTACCGATCTTGAGTTTTACCTTTTCTGTATTCTCTTACACACACACACACACACACACACACACACACACACTGCCTCTAATTCTCATGCTGCCACTGTGCAGGGAGAAGGGGCATTTGAGAAGGTGGCAGTGTCTGGAGTCTTCCCTTTGCTCATTCTTGTGTGGTGTCCTTGTGAAGACAAAGGAACCCCTTCATTCTTCTCCCTGGCTCCCCACCACAATGGGTCCGGCCGCAAGAAATATGGCAAGAAGATAAGGGAGCATGAACCCAGATGCGCATGGGCTGTGAAATCTAGGGGCCGTTGCTTGTGTGATAGAAAATGCATGGCTGCTAGGCTCTAAATGGATGTTCATTGGGAACAGTGAAACTATATTACTGCCTCAAACAGAATTGATATTCCAACATCACCACTTCCCTTTCTCTTTACCTTGGCGTTTCTGTCTCTTTCATAAAAGGATATTGTGTGAAACTGTAAAAGGCTTTGTGGCTAAAATAGGAAAGAGCTGTGACAGACCCATGGAGAACACAGAAGCTGGTGCTATGGCCATTAAAGTAAGAATTAAGCTTTCCTTCCTTAAAAAAACCCTCACTTCAAATGTATCCGTGTTAGAAATTTCCCAGTGTTAAGAGTTGCTTCTTTGTATAAATTCTCAAAACGATTTTAGTAAAACACTTTTTAGTAAACTCTTGTGTGAAGTCAAGAATTGGTTAAATCTGTATTGTATTTTAAATTGGTTTTACTTTTGGTTTCCCTAAGTTTCCTTGTGAAGTTCATTCAGAAGGCAGAGTAAACATTTCTGTCCCAAGTTCTAAAATAGCTTTAATGAATACCGATGTTGTACAGTTTATTATGTCTGTGCCCTGACTTTGGCCTCCTAGAATGAAACAACAACAACAACATCTTGAGATCCATATTCTTCATGACAGAAGATTTATGAAGGGAAAGAGAGCAGGAAATATCAAAGCTCCTAGTAGGCAGCCTTTTGGATGCCTTAGCAAAGTCCCCTTATGGAGGGACCAGTTGTGTGGGGCAGGACAAGCCATGCCACCTAAGGGGACATTTGGTTACTCTTTGGGCAGTGACAGAGAAGCGGAAACGTTAATCTGCTGGATGGGGGAGCCTGAAGACCAACCGGCTGTGTAGTCTTAGACCTAGGCTTCTCTCTTAACAGAAGCCCTGCTTGCTCCCAATGGAGGTGGCCGCCGTGATTCATTCAGACCTAAGTAATGAGTGCCACACCAATTTTCCAGTGCTCGTCTCTAATAAAACCGGTGTGGCGGTCAAGATAGGGCAGGGCGGGGACACTGTTACAGGCCTGCAGACATGAAGACCCAAATCTCACTCGTGTGAGGAGGTTTCGTAACAGGAGAACCTTCCTTTAAACCAGGGGTGGCCTTTTCGAGCCTAAAGGATGCATTGACCGTTGGGTCAGCTCTACAAGGGCCTTACGCCAGCACTCATACCACAACAGATGTACGCACACAGAGAGACGCACACAGAAACACACGCACAGCATAAACAGTGTCCACACATACAGGGTGCCACATGCACGCGCACACACTTCCCAGTCCTACCCACACTGAGTGACTATGGTTTTAGGAGTGGCTCTCGCATAAGTGTATTTTCACCCCCCCTGACTCTAGATAGTTGGGTTCCTGGAGGGTTTCAGCAGTGGCTCCTGCAGCCACCATTGACGGCTGGTCAGTGTTCTCTGAGAAGCTCTGATGCTTCACCATTGGTCACGAAACATCTTGGAGTTGGAGCCCACTTTCTGGAGTGCTCCAACCAATTCAAAATGGCGGTGGCTCGCTCGGTGATGCTGCAGAAGCCAATGACGTTGCTTCCAAAAAACATTGCTTTGAGGTTTCCCATCCAAAGAAGATTGGCAAGTTAGACTAATGGACTATACTGAAATGGCAAAGTTGATGATAAAATTAAGAGGAAGAGACGGCAATGAATTTAAGGAATAGTGGAAGGTGTTTATTGCATATATACAGAAGCAATGTACACAGGTTAATACATTAGCAGGGTTTTAAGTTTACTTGTGATTTTACAATGAATGGCTAATAGGTGATTTAAATATGTTATAAATTTAACAACGGACATGCAACATGTTGACAAATAATGGAACCAGGGAAGGGATTAGAGGGAAGTCAATTTGTTTTGTTTTGTTTTTGTATTGTTGTTGTTTTCTTATTTTTCTTACTTTTGGAAAATCAATAAAATACTATTAAAACAAAACAAAAAACATTGCTTTAAAAATGAGAAAACTGTAGTAGAATCGTTGGCATTTGTCAGGGAGCTGGTGGGCTGCTTTATTGTCAAAACAATTGCTTAGTGTTTATTTAGCCTTACGTACGAATGCGCATTTCTTTTTGTGTATATTTCTTTCCGTTTGTCTGTGACGTCGTTAGTGTTCAGAGCTGAACGAGAAGCTCAACCTGTTGCTTCAGGCCCTTCACTCTGAAGCCCAGGTTGCCCCTGTGTTGCCGCGAAGCGCTTCCCCCATTGCAGAGGAAGCAGCCGAAGAGTCATCAAGCGAAGAGTCTCTGTCCGATGCCAAGGAGCCGCTGACAGAGAGCAACAGAACATCTGTCCCACACCAGATCTTCAAGCCCCGAGAACAGCTCATGCTCAGAGCAAATAGTCTGAAGAAGGCTCTGAGGCAAATTATTGAGCAAGCAGAGAAAGGTGTGCTTCTGGAAGACAATCTTGCTTATTAACTTTACTTGTGACACTTTCTGGTTCATTTTTTTTAAAAAATCCCACTTACTACAACACTAACTACTTGTACAGTGGTACCTCAGATTACATACGCTTCAGGTTACAGACGCTTCAGGTTACAGACTCCGCTAACCCAGAAATAGTGCTTTAGGTTAAGAACTTTGCTTCAGGATAAGAACAGAAATTGTGCTCCGGCGGCATGGCAGCAGCAGGAGGCCCCATTAGCTAAAGTGGTGCTTCAGGTTAAGAACAATTTCAGGTTAAGAACGGACCTCCGGAACGAATTAAGTACTTAACCTGAGGTACCACTGTATGTTTGATTTTTTGTTGTGGCACTTATAACATGAATAAAGTATCAAACAGAATGAGGAGGGAGTACTCAGGTCTCAGGTAGATGGCAAACTACTATTTAGTCGCAAATGCCTCTTTGGGAAAGGTGTTTGTGAGGGTGGTGTCAGTCCAGATGCAGAAACTTTGGGGGGGAACTATAGCAGATGCCTTCTGAAAATTTAATAGTGCTTTGCTTATCTCTCTTTTACTGAGAGGGAGTACAATAATACAGTGGTACCTTGGGATGCAAATGGGATCCATTCCGGAGCCCTGTTCGCAGCCTGAACAGAATGTAAGACACAGTGGCGCATCTGCATGTGCGCGGGTTGCGTTTTGCCGCTTCCGCGCATGCACGTGACGTAATTTTGAGCGTCTGCGCATGCGCGAGAGGTGAAACCCGGAAGTAACGTCCTCTGTTACTTCCGGGTTGCTGTGGAGCGCAACCCAAACATGCTCAACCTGAAGCACATTCAACCAGAGGTATGACTGTAATAGTAAATGCACATGAAAAGAATGCACAAATTTCCCATAGTGTTTTCCAGTAAAAACCAAATGTGTAAATCCACCTTAACATTCAGGAGATATTATTGGGAGTCTAGCAGTACATTTCCTTTATATTTTTTACTTGCATACTTAACTCTTATTTAGTGAGACACGATAGATTTCAGAAATTTGAATAATAACATGGACAAGTACTTGCCTTCTCTTGTAGTTGTAGATGAACAGAATGCCCATTCAGAAGTGCAAATAAATCAGTCGTTGGTGAAGTATAGTAAGGAATTGGATGAATCCAAAGAAGAAGATACAAAGGAATCTGAAGCTCACCCAGGTCAGTAGCCAAAAAAGTAGCCATTGCTTAAGGATTCTAAATAAGTCTGCAATGAGTCTTTTTCAGTAAGGCTTACACAGGGAGTGAAGCTCATACTTCCATACTTATGTTCAAGCTCTGTTTGTTATTTCTATGTGGAGTTCCCACTCCTCTTTTATCTTAGCCCAAGTATGTGCATGAATATTCTTGATGGAAGCTCCAAGACTCTAGGGCCTCGTATAGAAGATGTCCTTTGCTCAGGCTCTTTCCATCTCATTCATCAGCTGGAACCTTCAGTGGGATAAACCAATTGCTATTCACCCCTTTGCTTTCCTTCCCACCTTTCCCCCACTGCCCATTTATTTAAACCTCAACAAACAATACACAGGGCAGTGATATAAAAGCCAAATGCAAAGGCACGCAAAAATATACCACCAAGGGCGACTGCTCCACAATAAACAAGCAAACTAATAAATCGCAGGCGGAGCCTTTTTTGAATAAAGAAAACATACACGTATGGCTTATTTATTCGTTTTATAGGTAAAAAACTCGATTTATTTCTACTTAGGGATATGTATATATATTTCTGTCTCTCTGAATAGTTAAAACTGCCCCCAAATCTCCAGTTGGACGCAGAAGTCGCATTCCTTCACATGCAAGTTCTTTTTCAGCAACAACCTGCACAGCCAGCAAAGAAAACCTTCCAGTGCTGAACACAAGGATAATTTGCCCAGGTAATAAGGATTTTAAAATTCTCTAGTCCATTGCCTCGAGTTTCCAAATATATACTAGTGCAGTTTTTCTAAGGACCTGTCAAAAGAAGCTTGGTTGTTAACATCTTTCTCCCATTTTCAAAAGAGCTTACACATTGCTCAGGGACGCGGGTGGCGCTGTCGGTTAAACCACAGAGCCTAGGACTTGCCGATCAGGTTGGCGGTTCGAATCCCCGCGACGGGGTGAGCTCCCGTTGCTCGGTCCCTGCTCCTGCCAACCTAGCAGTTCGAAAGCCCGTCAAGTGCAAGTAGATAAATAGGTACCTCTCCGGCGGGAAGGTAAATGGCATTTCTGTGCGCTGCTCTGGTTCGCCAGAAGCAGCTTAGTCATGCTGGCCACATGACCCGGAAGCTGTCTGTGGACAAACGCCGGCTCCCTCGGCCAATAAAGCAAGATGAGCGCCGCAACCCCAGAGTCGGTCACGACTGGACCTAATGGTCAGGGGTCCCTTTACCTTTGCACATTGCTCAAGCCTGAGACTTCAAGCTATGACTTTGAGATATGGAGTTCACCTGGAGTCTTAAAATAATAGAATCAAAGAATGGTAGAGTTGGAAGGGACCCAAAGGCCATTTAGTCCAACCTCCTGCAGAAAGGAAACTCTGAAATGATGGCCCAGAGAGGTTGGGGATGGAAAAATAGCGGGGGGTTTGTATAGTTTTGCTGCTTCCCATCTTCCACAGATCCCATTTCTCCCCAAGTCCTTTTATTTCCAATGTTTCCCGTAGAAAAATGAACACCCTGAAAAACATTCAAAACCAAAACAACCTCCGCTTTTTATTTTATTTTATTTCCGCTTTTAGAATGAGTGAAATGCTTTTCAGGGTAAGGTTTTAGCTACCCACTTCTCGTCCTCCCTCAAAATGATTTCTAACAGCTAAGATAAAACTACAGTATTGGCTAATTGTAACATGCATTTCCCTGTTTTCCCATCAGGTCTAAGAGCCGGTCTGGCGGCTTCTATCGCAGGGAGTTCTATTATCAGCAAAATGTTACTAGCCAACATTGATCCATTTGGTGCTACGCCATTTATTGATCCTGATCCAGAATCACTGTAAGAAGGAAAAAATGTTTTGCTTAATCCTTATAGTTTTCTGTTTCACATTTACTTGGCAATCCTATTTCTCTCTCTACACCAAATTAATATCCAGAAAGTCATGCCGCAAACGAAGGAAAGTTTGAGTGGTTTTAATGGATTCAAAAGTCCAGAACTCTTAAGTGAGAAATTCTTTCTTAAAAATAAAAACAGCAGACCTACACAATTGTAGTTCCCAAATGAGGTCATTAGGTAGTCAGCTGTTCTATCCAGTGTGGTGTATTGGTTAAGAGCAGTAGACTCGTAATCTGGTGAACCGGGTTCGCTTCCCTGCTCCTCCACATGCAGCTGCTGGGTGACCTTGGGCCAGTCACACTTCTCTGAAGTCTCTCAGCCCCACTCACCTCACAGAGTGTTTGTTGTGGGGGAGGAAGGGAAAGGAGAATGTTAGCCGCGTTGAGACTCCTTCGGGTAGTGATAAAGCGGGATATCAAATCCAGACTCTTCTTCTTCTTCTTCACATTGTCCTAGGAAGACCTGATAAGTGATGTGCTACATCACTTGAGTTTTGGACTTGAGTTAGAACTTCAGCTGCAGCTACCTTGTTCCTCCTTCACACACCTTCCTCCGAAAACAGTTTTAAGAGCAAGGGGGGAGACAGGATTAACAAGAGCAGTAGGTCTCCTCAAGCTGTGCAGCCATCCACGCTCTGTTTTTCTCCTCTCCCCTCAAGAAAGGAATGGAAGGGGTTGGGCGTGGAGGGACAAAAAAAAAAGAGAATCTTCACATCTGTTCCGTGAGCAGTTGTGTAAATCAAAACACCTTCCCGGTGGACTGCCCCAACTCTGCATCACCTCTGTCATCGTGGGGGATTGCAGTGGGCAGGGGGTTCATTGACAATCAGGTTCACCACCTTATGCAAGAAGATGTATTTTCCAGTGGCAGAAACCCAAGGTATTCTTCCCAAAAGATGAAGAAGGAGGAATGGCCAAATATTTATGTAACACACAATTCTGTTGCTGTCTCATGGTGTGTGTATGTTTGTGTGTGTGTGTGTGTGTGTGAGAGAGAGAGAGAGAGAGAGAGAGAGAGAGAGAGAGAAATGTGGGAAATTAGTGTAGAATCGGTTGAAAAATTATAAATGTGTCATTGTATACTTGTACATACAGTTGTTGCAATCGACCATCACTATGATAAGGTTATAATGCAGTTGCACATTTGTCTACAGGGAAGGATATTCAGAGAAGTGCGTCATGAACAATTATTTTGGCATTGGATTAGATGCAAAGATTTCATTAGAATTTAATAATAAACGAGAAGAACACCCTGAAAAATGCAGGTAATTGAGTCAGAACCAAGACTTTAAATAGAAATATTTTCTGCAAACATGTATTTTTTTAAAAAATGCTTCTTAGCAGTGGTTAGTGTGTGAACTATACGCCTGGGCATGATCATTTTTCCTTTTCCTTTTAGAAGCAGGACAAAGAACATGATGTGGTATGGTGTACTTGGTACTAAAGAATTACTGCAACGGACCTACAAGAACTTAGAACAAAAAGTTCAGCTTGAGGTAATATTTATATATCCCTAAGTGTATCCCTGTCAGAGTTGGGCTGCAGGAACAGAAGGCTCCCTCCCCTTCCCCAATCCCTACAGGCCAGTCCCTTCATACTTACTTGTTTTATTTATTTATCCATTTCATTAAAAAAATTACATGTCTTGATTGGAAAAAAAGCACTCACAGCAATTTTTAAAAAAGATTAAATCGTAAATTCAGGGAAAATTCACAATACATAAAGAAGTTAAAATACTAAAACAGATTAAAATTCACATCAGCGTTTCTAAGTGTTTGAAACAAAATAAAAAAATTCCTTCCAGTAGCACCTTAAGAGACCAACTAAGTTTGTTATTGGTATGAGCTTTCGTGTGCATGCACACTTCTTCAGATACACAGAAACACAAGTCACCAGACCCTTATATATAGTGAGAGGGTGGGGAGGGATATTATTCAGAAGGGTGGTGGGAATGGGTGATAGACTTAATGGGTATGGTAAACCTGTTGACGACTGTTAACGACTGCAATTGGTCTTACAGGAAAAAGCAAGGGGTGAGATGGCTAAAAATAGCTTTATCATGTATAATGAGATAAGAATCCAATGTCTCTATTCAGACCAGGTCTCTCCATGGTTTTAAGTTTGGTAAAAAAGGTAAAGGGACCCCTGACCATTTGGTCCAGTCGTGACCAACTCTGGGGTTGCAGCGCTCATCTTGCTTTATTGGCCGAGGGAGCCGGCGTACAGCTTCCGGGTCGTGTGGCCAGCATGACCGCGAACCAGAGCAGTGCGCGGAAATGGCATTTACCTTCCCGCCGGAGCGGTACCTATTTATCAACTTGCACTTTGAGGTGCTTTCAAACTGCTAGGTGGGCAGGAGCAGGGACCGAGCAATGGGAGCTCACCCCGTTGCGGGGATTCGAACCGCCGACCTTCTGATCGGCAAGTCCTAGGCTCTGTGGTTTAACCCACAGGGCCACCTGCGTCCTTTTTAAGTTTGGTAATAAGTTGCAATTCAGCAACTTCTCTTTCCAGTCTATTTCTGAAATTCTTTTGTAATAAGACATCTACTTTGAGATCTTGTGTAGAATGTCCTGGAAGACTGAAGTGCTCTCCTACTGGTTTCTAAGTGTATGGGTAGCCTTGCCGACCCAGCCACCCAAAATAGTACAGGGAGGGTGCCTGCTTTATTCCAACAGTCAGGGAGTTCCAATGTGCAGCCGCTGCCACAGTAAACGGTTTAATGGGTATAGAAAATCTGTGCTACATAAACTCAATGACCTTTAGGTCCAATATGTGATTAAAGGATACAGCAAATTATTTCAGGGATCATTTATACAGTTGTTGTTTTTATGCATTTCAGTGTGATGGACAATACATCCCCCTCCCCAGTCTTCAAGGCATAGCTGTTTTGAATATCCCAAGCTACGCTGGCGGGACTAATTTCTGGGGCGGAACCAAGGAGGATGATGTAAGCAGGGTGAAGGGGGTTGTTTCTAAAAGTGTTTTTGCCGCCAATGTCCTGTGAAGCAGGATTTCTGCTGGTTCTATTGACAGTATGTTCAGGTTTGACATCTCCAGAAAAGCAATGACAAACCTAGACAGCATCTTAAAAAGCAGAGACATCACCTTGCCAACAAAGGTCCGTATAGTTAAAGCTATGGTTTTCCCAGTAGTGATGTATGGAAGTGAGAGATGGACCATAAAGAAGGCTGATCATTGAAGAATGGATGCTTTTGAATTATGGTGCTGGAGGAGATTCTTGAGAGTCCCATGGACTGCAAGAAGATCAAACCGATCCATTCTTAAGGAAATCAGCCTTGAGTGCTCACTGGAAGGACAGATCGTGAAGCTGAGGCTCCAAGACTTTGGGCACCTCGTGAGAAGAGAAGACTCCCTGGAAAAGACCCTGATGTTGGGAAAGATGGAGGGCACAAGGAGAAGGGGACGACAGAGGACGAGATGGTTGGACAGTGTTCTTGAAGCTACCAGCATGAGTTTGACCAAACTGCGAGAGGCAGTGGAAGACAGGAGTGCCTGGCGTGCTCTGGTCCAGGGGGTCACAAAGAGTCGGACACGACTAAACGACTAAACAACAACAACTCTTAAAATGCCTACATATTTGTTATTTCTTCATATATGCATAAAATAGTAAGGCTTTCGTCACGCTGCAGTTCATCAACCCCAGCGTGATGACAGAATGACAGGCAGCAGACCTGTTAGGAGAGAAGGAAGCCGGGTACGCTTGCCCTGGGCCTTGATGCTGGCATGGGGGGGGGGGGGCTCTGCAGGGGCCTGCTGGACTTGGCATGCCAAGAACACCCCTTGTCTCCCAGTCGACTTGGGGACTTAATGGATGAAACGCCCATGTTTGTTTGTATGCACTGCAAGTCTTTGATTTGCGTTGCTGGTCCAGACTTGAATAAAATGTGTAGCGTCAGACGGGGGGCCAACTTGAATAAAACATGGGGGGGAGGGGAGCAGGTAAGCCCCACCCCACATAACACTGGGGAACAAATTTTTTGTTGCATTGACACCTGCAATTGTTCTAACCTAATTTCGATGTGCTGATTTCATATCTGAAGTTGGATTTGTTCTGTAAGCTCTAGGTTTGTTTTTTTTTGCAATTCATGTTTTTCACTTTTCACCATAATCTTTGTTTTTCACAACGCAAGAATTCAATATTTTATTAAACACATAGCCAAAGTGGTACAATATGAGTATAAATGTATATACTATACTCATAGTGTATATAGCACTATGAGTATAGTATATAGCATTGAACATGACATGTATAGCATTGAAGATGACATGTATATCTATGTACAGTTGGAGGTATGCAAAAAAATGTATTCACTTGGGATACACAGTATACTGGGGAACCAATTTTTTCCCCATTTTCTTTTGCATGAGATTTTTCAACTGTTCTAATCAATCATATGACATGGTGCCCACGCACAATCAACTTTGGGGAGGCCCAGCCCCCTCAAACCTTATACTATGGGATCGAAGACCCCTTGGCCCCTGGGAGTTGGCTCCTATGGGGTCAGTTCAGATTAGGCGTTGACATTGTGGTGCATCTGATGAGCAAGACTCCCGCCCAGGGACCCAGAGAAGCTCTGCATTGGCCTGGCAGGCAGCCTAGGTGAGCAGCTTAATGATGGTGAAGTGCTCCCTGCCTCGTTTAAAAGAGGGTATGGCTTGGGGAAAGCTGTGGGGGGATAGGCAAAGGAGCAGGCGAGGTGTAAAGAAAGCAGGGAGGGTTGGTCAGGTGTAAAGGGAGGAGGGCTGGGCCAGGTTGGTGGGTAGGCCGGGTTGGTAAACAGGAGCGTGGCAGTCCCTAAGCGCCTAATATAAACGCTGTCAGAACTTTTGCTGTTTTAAAATTGGAAAAGTTACAAAATATATAACAGTAGGGTTCTTTCAGCCACAGGAAAACTGGGTGAAGGGGCTGCCCCAACTGTTGATGGTCAGGAATCATGGAACTGTAGGGTTGGAAGGGACTATGATGGTCCAACCCCCTGGAATGGCAGGGGGCAATGGCTGTATAGTGCCCCAAGGAATGGGGGGTGGGGTTGCCCCCAACAGAGTGCACCTGAATTGTGTCCCAAATGCTTAACCTCTTCATTGAGGTTTGGGGGATGCTGATTTATATGCTGGAGTGCATGGTCGCACCAGTTCTCGATGAGTTACAGAGCATAACAGACAAAAGAGCAGATGTAAGTTGCTGGTAGGCTTCCATCAAAAGTGTAAGCGCAGACTTGTGTTTCCTTTCTGTCCACCAGATATTTGGGGCACCATCATTTGATGATAAGATTTTGGAGGTTGTTGCAGTATTTGGCAGCATGCAGATGGCCGTTTCTCGTGTTATCAAGCTACAGCACCACAGGATAGCCCAGGTATGTGTGTCTTACCGGGAGAGAAGAAACATAGCCCGCGAATGTGCTCAAGCGCACACGAATCAAGCGTTGACTTTTCATTTCCATTTTAAGCGTGTTGAGCACCATAAATGCCAAAATGCAGTAGCTTTTTGCCCATGAGTTGTACCTGGATGCACAGAAGCCACAGCTGTTAATGACCACACTTCTTTTTGGGAATCATCATGAACATCTCAGAGTGGTTTGATATTCTGGGGGTGTTATGTACTGAAGTTCTCACTCTGGGCCAGCAGGGGGGATACTGTAGGATAGTTCAGGTCCACATATGCAAATAAGGGATCGAAAGTGACGTTCAGTGATTGGATAGTTACAGAAAGTGGTTACTGTTGTGTTCTAGTGGAGCTCTATATAAGCAGGCTGGCTGAACCCTTCAGTTCAGTTCTGTTCTGGCCTGTGAATAAACAAGAGCTGTTTGAAGAATCGCTGTGTCGTCTGATATGTTCACCCACAACATAACAGGGGGTTCCAGGAGCTTACCCAGGGTTCAGTGTCCTTGGAAGGAAGGACAGTGGAGATTATGGTGTATTTATGATAAATGGTTTATTTACATGGTTTGATCTAGGTTGGTGTCCTCACACCAGCATTCCCTGTCCAGGCAGCGCATTCTCTGAGCAGCACTGGTCGCTGATTTTACGTGCGCCTTAGCAGTTTCCTCTACCCTCCCTTCAATGACATTTCCCGTAGTTCTATGGTATATGAAAATGGGGGGGGGGGGAGAGGAGTCTGCAGGTTGACATTTTCATGAAATCACCCTTTATTAAAATCCATTTACTCTCTTCCAGTGCCGGTCGGTAAAGATCACCATACTAGGAGAGGAAGGAGTCCCTGTTCAGGTGGATGGAGAGGCATGGATCCAACCTCCAGGAATTATTAAAATTGTGCATAAAAACAGAGCACAGATGCTAACCCGAGACAGGGTAGGTGATAGAAAGGATATTATAATGGTATAGGGTTGCTCGTGCGTAAGTTGCCGCCTCTCCTGGCTATGTTGCCTTGTTAAACCTTTCTGTCTGGACAGCCCTTCAATTCGTGGCTGCCTCAGTCGCTAGCAGAATCCGTCAGTGGGCGTTTCTTAAACCTTTTCCAACATAAAAGTTGTTTGACACCCAGTCTCCTCCTACTTTCTCTGCGTGGAAGTCTTCTGCGCAGGGAGGGCGTGGGTAGCGGGGGACCAGTGCTCTCCCCGCTGGTGTCCGGTGAAGAGTCTGGGAGCCCTCTCGCCGATTCCCCCATCTGCCCCTCCTTATTCCTGGTGTTGCACTGAATTGCTTCCCCATCTGCTGAGCTGCCTCTCTCCCTGCTGGGCCCTTCTCCAGCATCATTGGAGAGCCTTCCCTCCACCTCTAGCTCCGATGTCAGTTCCCTGACAGATAATTTGTCTAATATATAATGGGTTGCCTTCAAGTCCCACCTAGGGTAGACTCACTGAAAGGAATAAACTTGTTAGTTATGTCTATTACCTTCAATGGGACTATGCTGAGGATTATTATTTATTATTATTATTAGAATTTATATACCGCCCTATACCCGGGGGTCTCATTGAATACCACTTACTGTCTCCTGTATAAATCCCTTTGTGAGGAATTTGATTTTTCTGTGCATTAAGAAACATAAGTAACATGCAACAATAAGGTTAGTGTAAGTATGTGCTTCAAATACCTTAATCTTTTTAATGGGGAAAAGGTAAACATCCAGCCAGCCTCACGTGTACATTCACATGTGTGTATTTACACACGTGCCGTATTTACTATACAGCAGTACTCTGCAGTATTTTGTGTTTGTCTTTGGTTTTTTCACCAGGGATTGTATGCTCCCACCCCCTAAATGCAGCCACAAATATTAAGCTTATTTTTGGCATTAGTTTTCATTGTAAAAATTAATAGTGAAGTATGGTATGAATTATTGTGTATAACGATCCTACATGGAAGTATTGGTATTAATGTCAAACAACTTCCTCGATTCTGAACAGGCCTTTGAGAGTACGCTGAAATCCTGGGAAGACAAACAGAAGTGTGATTCCTGCAAACCGATCCTGAGATCCCCTTTGTACCCTCAACAGGCTGTGGAACTGGCCACTGAAGAGGAGACTTTGCAGATCCAGTCGTCTTCTCAGGCCGCAGAGGAACTGATTAGCAGGTACCTTCGCCTTGCTTTCTTCACGAGGCCTTAAACTTGACAAGATCCAGGTCTGACAATGTCTTTGCATCTAATGTGCCGTAACTTAGGCCAAATATTGTGCTGAAATATCATGTCAGTGGACAGATTCTGAAAATTTTGCTTACCCAGTTAGTCCCTCTGTCATGTTTTTGTGCCTTATGTGGCTTCCCTGGAACGGAACCTCTGCCCTAGTTGCGAGTGACCTGTATCTCTTTTCTTCCTGTTTGGGCAGCTGTTTATCGACGCAGAATGCTTTTCTCATTTCCTTTCTCTTTTTCCACCCACAACATTTGTTGCAGAATCTGTGAAGCTGCAAAGATACACAGCTTGTTGGAACAAGAACTGGCTCACGCAGTAAATGCATGCTCTCATGCGTTAAACAAAGCCAGTCCAAGTTTTTCGGAGGTAAAGGAAATCTATGGTGCTAGTTGAATATGATTATTTTGTTATTTATTTCATTTGTCGTTTGCTTCCTATGAGGTATTTTGAAGTTACAGTGGTACCTCAGGTTATATACGCTTCAGGTTACATATGCTTCATGTTACAGACTCCGCTAACCCAGAAATAGTACCTTGGGTTAAGAAATTTGCTTCAGGATGAGAACAGAAATTGTGCTCTGGCGGTGCAGTGGCAGCGGGAGGCCCCATTAGCTAAAGTGGTGCTTCAGGTTAAGAACAGTTTCATGTTAAGAACGGACCTCCGGAACGAATTAAGTACTTAACCCGAGGTACCACTGTATTTACAACACAGTCAATGCATATATGAAAAACATCCCTATATAAAAACAGTTTTAAAACAAAAACCATCCATTACCAAAACAATTAAGACAATGATTACATACAGAACAAGGTGTACATATATATATAATCCATTTCAAATCCAATAGCAACAGCTCCACTTAGAAGGCTTGTGAAGGAAAGTCTTCAGCAATTGCCTCAAAAGAAGATGGCACTTGTCTGATATATCGCAAAAGGGAGTTCCAAAAGTTAGGTGTCATCATCCCTAAGGCCCAGTTACAACATGGTACAGAATGGACCTGCAGACTGCCCTCTCCTCAACATACTTGTCCCAGATCTCCTCATGACCATCTCATGTACATGCTAAATGGCAATGGGGGCAGGATGGGACCCTGTGGCATTCCACAGCACAACTGCGAGGGAGCTGAGAAATCACCACCCAGTGCTATTCTCTGAAACCAACCCTGGAGATAGGATAGAAAATACCGAATTTTTTGCTCTATAAGACTCACTTTTTCCCTCATAAAAAGTAAGGGGAAATGTGTGTGCGTCTTATGGAGTGAATGCAGGCTGCGCAGCTATCCCAGAAGCCAGAACAGCAAGAGGGATTGCTGCTTTCACTGCGCAGCGATCCCTCTTGCTGTTCTGGCTTCTGAGATTCAGAATATTTTTTTCTTGTTTTCCTCCTCCAAAAACTAGGTGCGTCTTGTGGTCTGGTGCATCTTATAGAGTGAAAAATACGGTACATTTTAATGTATTTTTAATCTTTGTTGGAAGCCGCCCAGAGTGGCTGGGGAAACCCAGCCAGATGGGCGGGGTACAAATATATTATTATTATTATTATTATTATTATTATTATTATTATTAAAAACCGTGTCCCCAATACCCATCACTCTGTTCAGGAGGATACTATGGTTGACGGTACTGAAAGCTACCAACAAGTCAAGTAAGAATAACAGGGTCATTGAATTGCAGAGTTCTCCCTGCAATGCAGGAATCTCAGTTAAAGCATCCATGACAGATAGACATCCAACCTCTTATTATGTCATCACCAGTTTAGACATTGTTTTTCTTTTGGGTGAAGACAGGGTCAAAGTAGGGGTTGAGTAGTTCCCCCTTCTCTCTGACACCCAAGAGCATTTCTCTGTCTTCTCCACGTAGAGGACCAACCACTTGCTTCGGACATAGCCGAGGGAAACCGCCCGCATTATTTTTAACCTCTCTTGCACTGATGGCATCACACTTCCCCATTCTTCTGTAATAAAGGCCATCCATCAGGGCGACCAAGGAAGATTCAGTCCCCCAAGCAGCCCTGAGCCTCGACTGGAAAGGTAGCCTGTTTCATCCAAGAATATCTGCAAATTTCGCACAACCGTTCTCCAAAATGGGGGTGTTTGCAACTGGGCAAGAGATGTCACGAACTAGTGGGCCTCCTTTAGGCTTTTTCCGGAATCACTGAATCACCACCTCTTTCAGGATAGCTTGGAATATTCCCTCCTGCCAATTGATGTGTATTGATCACACTGTAGACATATCAGGTCCTGCCTCCCTCCCCATGCAAGGTTTAATAAGCCTCGAGGGGGCAATGGTCAAGGGAGGACATGGTTGGCTGCATCCTTGCAAGCCATTCAGGTTTTTTTTTAATGGGGGGAAAGCAACAACACCCGCACAGGGGAACGTTTTAAACCAGGCACCCCCAACCTCCAGCCCTCCAGATGTTTTTGGACTACAGTTCCCATTATCCCTGACCACTGGTCCTGTTGGCTAGGGATCATGGCAGTTGTAGGCCAAAACATCTGGAGGGCCGCAGGTTGGGGATGCCTGTTTTAAACCAAATGCATCTTTATGATGGCTGATCAGTCTGAAATGAAGCCTTGTTATGTATAATGTTTTAAATACTCTCTATCTGCACGCTGCACCTCAAGTTTGATTAGAATTCCGGCTGTGGAGGAATGATCCTGTCACTTATCATTTCCGGGTACAGTGGTACCTCAGGTTACATACGCTTCATGTTACAGACTCCGCTAACCCAGAAATAGTGCTTCAGGTTAAGAACTTTGCTTCAGGATGAGAACAGCAGGCAGCAGCAGGAGGCCCCATTAGCTGAAGTGGTGCTTCAGGTCAAGAACAGTTTCAGGTTAAGAACGGACCTCCGGAACGAATTAAGTACTTAACCCGAGGTACCACTGTATTGAGAATGGATTACTGAGGCCGTTGACTTTAGGACTGTGTCAGGCAGCTGACAAGGGGAAAAAGGTTCCCCGTGATCTTTCTTTCTCAGTGCCGCAAGTAGAGAACAAGGACGTTTGCAGAGCAAGTAGCACAATATGACGCCAGCAGGTGATCCCAAAACAGGCACTGCATGAACCTCCCTAGTCCTGGAGGAGATTTCCTTCCTGACCCTTAATACAGCATTTAAAAAGGTAAAGGTACCCCTGACCGTTAGGTCCAGTCACGAACCACTCTGGGGTGGTGGTCTCATCTCGCTTTACTGGCTGAAGGAGCCGGTATACAGCTTCCAGGTCATGTGGCCAGCATGACTGAGCCACTTCTGGTGAACCAGAGCAGCGCACGGAAACACCGTTCACCTTCCCGCCAGAGTGGTACCTATTTATCTACTTGCACTTTGATGTGTTTTCAAACTGCTAGGTTGGCAGGAGCTGGGACCAAGCAACGGGAGCTCACCCCGTCGTGGGGTTTCGAACTGCCGACCTTCTTACATTATAGTGGTACCTTGGATTACAAACATTTCAGGTTGCAAACACCTCGGGTTACAAACACTTCGGGTTACAGACTCCGCTAACCCGGAAGTAGTGCCTTGGGTTAAGAACTTTACCTCAGGATGAGAACAGAAATTGTGTGCCGGCAGCCCGGTGGCAGTGGGAGCCCCCTTTAGCTAAAGTGGTACCTCAGGTTAAAAACGGTTTCTGGTTAAGAATGGACCTCCGGAACAAATTAAGTTCTTAACCCGAGGTACCACTGTATTTCAGCACAGCCTTTCAACAAACGTGGTCAAAAGAGTTCAGGACCCTGTTAAGATTTGGAAAGGAAAAGCCAGCTGCGTTTATTTGATTTTTCAACTATTATAAACTGTTTACGAGTAAATGTGCTCCTTGGTTTTCTTCCCACAGAGCCTTACCAGAAACACTGCCCTGGAAGTCGCTGTCAACATGAAGGTTCTGCATGATGAAACCAAATCCTTGCTAGTAGGAAGAGCTCCTTTGGTAAGTGAACTTTTTCTCCCTGTTCAAATTCAGGCACTGGACAGAGACTTTTCTAATTTTTTAAGGAACCTCTTGGTTTGTGTGATTAATTCTAATTGATTTTAGCCATTGCCTGCTTTTTGAAAGTTTTATGTACGTTGCTTAGAAATTCCTGTGATTGAGTGGTGTATTAATAGCTCAAATAAATAGATAATAAATACATAAATAAACTTGGAGGACTGGGCACTTTTGGAGCAGAACTTCAGTATATATTTTTTTGTGTTATCTCAGCCCCTCATTTCTTCATCTGTGTGGTGGCTATAGTTGCTCCTGACAACACATGTAATCAGTAGTTTACAGCACATGTACCCAGCATTGGTTGGGAATAATAAGAAATGGAAAATCAGTGCAATTTTGAAAGGTGCAGTCTCCATGTTATTCAAAATGGCATCCAATTGCAATTTAAAAAATAAAAATGGTAGTACATACGGCACGTCTATTTAATTGTAAAAGTTGGGAAATTACCGTATTTTTCGCTCTATAGGACGCACCTTTCCCCCCTCCAAAAATTAAGGGGAAATGTGTGTGCGTCCTATGTAGTGAATGCAGGCTCCTTGGTGTCAGCGATAGCAACGCGAAGCCTCCGAAGCGCAGAGGGAGCGCTCCCTCCACGCTACGCGTTGCTTTCGCTGAAGCCTGGAGCGCACCGACCCCTCTCACTCTCCAGGCTTCAGGGATAGCTGCCTGAAGCCTTTGGAGCGCAGCGGGAACTCGCGCTGCGCTCCGAAGGCTTCGGGTTCCTTTTGCTGAAGCCTGGAGAGCGAGAGTGGTTGGTTTCAGGTTCCAGAGAGAGCAAGACTCTCCTGGCTTCAGCAGAGAGGGAGAGCTGCGCAGCGCCCCTTCAGCGAAGCGGGAGCAGAAATGGAAGGGGCTCCGTTTCTCCTGCCGCTTCGCTGAAGGGGCGCTGTGCAGAGAGGGGGAGAAATTTTTTTTCTTGTTCCCCCCCTCTAAAACAAGGCGCGTCCTATGGTCGGGTGCGTCCTATAGAGCGAAAAATATGGTAGATGCTCCCCTTTAAAGGACACAGGCCCCGTAACATTTTGTGATTTGTTTCTGCAGCAGTTAGAATCCCCTCATGAAGAACTGCTCTCAACAGCTGTGCACAATTTAGAGAGTGAATTAAGGAAGGTGGCTGAGATTCCCTGGCTCTTGTATGTTCTGCAATTAAATGACGATGAGGTGGGTGAAATTCACACTTGCAAGCCTGCTTTCATTTCATTTCATTTTTAAAATATATGTATATATCTTTATTAATTTAAAATAAATACAGTTATGAAAAACAGACTTACATACAAGTAAACAAACATAGAATCAAACAAATAACAGAAGAATCAAACAAACCACCACACTATAAGATATAAGAAGATTAATATAATTATCTTCATATATACTCCTGGTATTGAACACAATTATAAAACTTATAGAGAATAAATTTAACACTGACTTCCAATTAATCTCACTTAACTTTGTCTATCCATTACTTTATACCGCACAGTTACATATTTCTTATATAATTTCTTTTTACTTCCCTACAAACTTACATTTATACAATACAGGGATCAGTCTAATTCTGCCAAGATGTTTCCTTTTATTCCATAGTTTTATAAATATTCTTTAAATATTCTTTTCATTAAATCAGTAAATTGAATCATGCTGGCATCCAAAAACTCCGTTGTGCATTATATCCATCTTTGCTATTGCTTTTTTTTGGTCAAGTACAGTGGTACCTCCGGTTGTGAACGGCATCCGTTCTGGAGCTCCAGCCGCATCCTGAGGAATTTGCAACCGGAGGTGCCACTTCTGCGCATGCGGTGCGTAGCGTGCTTCTGCGCATGCGCACACGGCGAAACCTGGAAAATTACTTCCGGGTTTGCCGCGTTCGCATCCTGAAAGATATGCAACCAGAGGTGTGCGTATCTAGAGGTACGATACTATACGATAATCTTTATTGTCATTGTCCCATACAGAACAACAAAATTGAAAATCTACATCAGACATTTGGAAACCAACAAGTCTGCTATCCCAGCCTGATTAGCCCCCTAAAAACTCTGATACCCCATAATTAAATACAATATGCTCCCATAGAGACTACCTTACACTGCATTTAAAACCAAAATCGCATTTGAATAGAATTTCTCAAGCGGCTAGTCCTAGTCTTTATAACCCTGCACCTTCTTCCAGAAGGCAGAAGCTGAAAGAGATCATTTCCAGGGTGCGCACTATCCTGCACTATCTCTGCAGCTTTCTTATGGCACCTGGAAGCGTAGATTTGATCCAAGGTGGGAAGAGTGCACCCAGTTATTCTCTCCGCAGTTTTCACAACCCTGGATAACATTGTTTTTCCCCTGACTGTGCAGCTCCCAAACCACACACACAGACCATAAGTTAATACACTCTCAACAGTAGAATGGTAAAATGCCATCAACAGGTACTTTGAGAGATTATTTTTCTGGAGGATTCTCAGGAAATATACCACTGTAAAGTATCTACATTTGCTCCCAGTGCATTTCTGAGCACAATTTAAAGTGTTGGTGCTGACCTTTAAAGCCCTAAATGGCCTCAGCCCAGAATATCTGCCTGTTCAGCCTGGACACTGAGACGTCTTCTGGTGGTTCCCTCCCTATGAAAAGTGAGGTTACAGGGAACCAGGCAGAGGGCCTTCTTGGCAGTGGCGCCTGCCCTGTGGAACGCCCTCCCATCAGATGTCAAGGAGATAAAGAACTGCACAACTTTTAGAAGACATCTGAAGGCAGCCCTGTTTAGGGATGCTTTTAATGTCTGAGGTTTTATTGTGTTTTAAATGTTTTGTTGGGAGCCGCCCAGAGTGGCTGGGGAAACTCAGTCAGATGGGCGGGGTACAAATAATGAAATCTTAATCATTCTTGTTATTGGGAAGGGTTTGTACCAACACCTGACCAATGAGGAATTTGTCAGCAAATGGCAGAAAACCATGGCTAAAAAAGCCACCTCTATTGGTCTGTCACCCCCCAACTGTATTACCTGGGTTATGAAGGTGCCCAAAATATGTTAAAGCAAGGATTATGGGATAATGCACACAGTGACTTGCGATCTCGATCACACGCAGTCTGTAGTCCGCTGGCAGTAGGAGTACAATATGGGTATGTCTTTAAGTTAACATCTTACATTTAAAAACCTGACAGTACCAAACTATCAAAGGCTTTTCACCAAAGCCAGACTAAACGTCTTTCCTTCTGCAGTGTTGGATGTCAGGTTGAGAGGAGTTCCCTACCAGGACAGACTTTGCTCGTGTGCTCAAGACATCGATTCCATAAAACATATTTTGTTGCATTGTGCAAAATATGAGCAAGCCAGGGCTGAACTGATACTACCCTTGCTGGTACCTTTCCTGGGAAAATCAGAGGCTCACTATGTCAGGTTCCTATTGGAAGACCGGACAAATGCTAGAACATTAGCAGTGGCAAAGTTTTTGTCGGTGGTTGCAAGAACCAATGATCCCTATATTCTGAACAAATCCTTGTTTAACCTGGAGGTAGGCTGTATGAATTGTGTATTGCTTTGTAATGATTTGTTGGGTCTCTGGACTGTAATAAAGATTGATGATGATGTTATTGCTTACACCTACAATAAAGCAGCCACAAATGGGAAGCCTTGAAAATATTTTTCCTTCTTCCAGCTGTCTCTCCCCTGCCCCATCCCATCTTAAGTATGTTTTCAAGCCCAATTTAGCTCCTCCGTTTGGGGTGGATTGGAGTAGGTTAGGAAGGGGAATCTTCTGCATTTTTTCCCTTCTCTTGGCCAGACAGATAACATGTACTGGACATTAAAACTGCTGCCTGGGTGGTCACATTTGCCTATGTGCTGACATCATGGTGGAGAAATGAAGCTGGTTTATAATAAGGACTGTGCTTTTTGAACTGTTCTTGTGACTTTCACCCCCTTTTATTCTGTCTTCCCATTTTTAAAATCCAAGTTCTGTCCTTGAAATTGCCATTCTCCCCCCCCCCCCGAATTTTTTAAGTTTTGCTTCTCAACATTGTTTTTCCCTCTCTTTTGTTTTTAGGATCCTCCTTTGGAATATGCTAAAAGAAACAACAGAAGCACTGTATTCCGCATAGTGCCAAAGTTTAAAAAGGAAAAGGTTCAGAGACAAAAGACTAGCCCTCAGCTTGGTATGCTTTATAAAAATAATAATACTGTAATAATAATGTGGCTATGGGGGAGATGTGGTTCAAATCTTTCATTACATGCTCAGATGATGAATCGTTATCTGACTCAGCTTTGAGCTGAAAGGAACCTTGACCCATGTCCTTGCATAAACGACCTGTGGTCTGTTTTTGGAGGATGTGAAATATCTCTCACTGGTTTGACTGTCCTGGGATTAGCTAGCCCTTAAAATCTAATATAGCCATACCTTGGTGGTCAAACGCCCTGGAACGCGGACATTTTGGCTCCTCAATGCCGCAAACCCGGAAGCAACTGTTCCGGTTTGTGAACGTTCTTTTGGAACCCGAATGTCCAATGGGGCTTCCGCGGCTTTCGGTTGGTTGCAGGAGCTTCCTGCAGCCAATCAGAAGCCGCAATTTGGTTTTTAATGTTTTGGAAGTCGAACAGACTTCTGAAACGGATACCCTTCGACTTCCGAGGTACGACTGTATTAGTTTTCAAACGGTGTCCCAGGAAATCCTTGGGATTCATCCTCATTTCAGCAATGGCCAGCAAGCATCCCTTGTCCTCTTGTCCTGTTCCTCCTCTGTACTGTACAGTTGCAGGCAAGTGTTTGGTATGTTCTGGGGTGCGCGCTCAGTTTATGCCAGAAAGCAGTGTATTTCAGAAGCCTGGTCCAGTGTAGTTTTTGAGTTTAAACAAACTTTCCAACCCTCTTCTCCCATTGTTACAGAACGTGTACAGGGTACCCCTTCACTATTGATTATAGAGATCTCAGACTAGGGTCCTTTAGCAGAGAACATTTCTTTGAAAAAAAGAAGAAGAAGAATAGCGAGCACATAATTCTTAATAAATGTAAGAGGCTCACAAAGTACTCATAACCCACCTACTTTCAGCAGCCAGAAACACCATAACCAGACACTGGAGAGACCTGTCAGGAGTAAACATGGACCAATGGTACCAAATAGTGTGGGAAACAGCCCTACTAGAAAAATTAACTAATAAACTGAAACTGACACGGGGACAAACAGAAGAAGACGCCTTCACCCCTGTATGGCTCCCCTTTATCACATACACAGCCCAACAGGACAATGACAATAATCCACCAACAGCATACAAATCAATATGGCTAACCTGATCCAAAACACCCACCCACCTCACTCACACACGAAAACAAAGATCACCATAGCCAATCACAAGCAAACAATCACACCCTAGGCCAACCCCAACCTCTCTCACCACCAAAGGAACACAAGTGAACAACACAAGCAACGCTGACACCAAACTCTACATACATTAAACATAATAGAAACACCGCCGACCCCACCCCATCCATCTTCCTCTCACCCCCCTTTCTTTTTCCTTTTTTCTTCTCCCCTAATGCCTCAACAAATGAAACGGATTTGTAAAAATGTTACATGGGGGAAAAAAATACGAGGCATTACACTTACTTCTGTAAAACAAGAAAATCCTTAATAAAATATTTTAAAAATAAAAATAAAATAAATGTAAGAGGCTTCATTGAAATAATTGGTTAGCTGTTGCTTACACTTCAGAGGCATCGTGTGTCACATCCAGCTTCTGAAACGAAATAGCACTGCGTAAAACACATGAAAATTGAAACAATGGCTTATGTACTCATTCTTCTTTATTAAATTCCTTTCTTAGTTTAATGTGGGCAACTAACCTTGGAGAACAATGTTGACAGAACTTTTAAATGTGCTCTTTTGCCTGATATGGCTAATAGATAATTTTCTGAATTAAGGACTGTAGTTGTTTATGTTTTAATGAGTACTGATTTTTTCCCTACTAACATGGAAGCCAATAAATCATCATTTGTGTGCAGCAGAACATGCACAGACCTTGTAGTACATCTTCTAATATGGTTACAAGTTAATTAGTTGGTGTTCAGGAAGCTTGGTAGCTTTGATGCTGAAGCTGAAAGCATGGCTGCAATACAGAATGCCCTGTCTTTTTTTTTTTTTAATTTAACATACATTCACAGGTTTTGTTTAACTGCATGGAAAAAAACGAAGCTGCCAATTTTTTCAAGACTATATTTGACTTTTGCTATCACTGCCGTGTTCTAGTCTGTTTTTCACCCTCTGTGGCCTAACCTTTGCTTGTGATGCGAGTTGAGCATGTAGAAATTAAGGGGGTTTTGCTCTTAACTTTGGTAGTTCAAAAATGGGGCACAGATGAAGTTGCTGCTTGGCTGGATCTGCTCAGTTTGGGAGAGTACAAAGAAATCTTCATCAGCCATGACATCCGAGGCTCTGAGCTTTTACATCTGGAAAGGCGAGATCTGAAGGTATTTTCTATGTGCTACTTTTCTGCTTATGATCATTTTTCTTTGATAGAAATTAATTACAAACTTTCCTCTGTCCCTATTCCAGCTGCGTGCTTGTAGCTTGGCTTTTAGTGTGCAAACTTGCAAAACAACAAACCAACCAACCCCAAACTAACTAACTAACTAACTAACATGCGGTCAGTTAGGCCAGACTCTCATCTTCTTATTAATAGGAATATTGGGAATTTGCTTCTTTTAATGATTTATACAGAGTAATGGTGGAACCGGGCTTTGAGAAATCGCTAAATGTATTGGCTGTATTGATTTATATGAAAATAACTACATTAACATTAAAAGGGCTTATGTTGGAGATAGTTAGTAATCCATCAGCTGGCCGTTATCAAGATACATGTGATACAAGATTTTAAAATACACCCATCCCTCACTCTGGGTCATAATCCCTTTCTATTTGAGGCATTCTGAGGTAACCTCTAAGTAGGCGTTCTGCATTTTGTATCTGTCACTGCTGCTAGTCAGACCAGCTTTGTGGATTAGATAGACAGTTCTTTCTGCTCCAAACAGAATTGTCTGCAGAAGCAGCTTGACAGGTGAGGTCGAAACACTGTGTGAGCTTCCTGGCCGGTAGGTTGCTGTGGCTTGCTGGAAGGGAGAGGGGCAAGGCTGTGGGGAGCATACCACCTGGAGCGCTGGATTGGCTCCACGGATGTGTTTGCACCACGTCTGTCTCCCCACCCCACCCCACCCCGTCTCCCCCTTCTCCCTGTCCCTCCCACTGTGCAACAGTGTCCCACCTGCTAGCCACTTCTGTGTGTACATTTCCAGGAGATTTTCTCCACTCTTCCACCACCACCGCTCCTGTTCTACGTCTGTCTTTCATTTTAGGCTATCATCGTTGATGCTTGGGGCAACAAAGAAATCTTAATAGTGAGTAGAGAGGCCAGGAGTTGTCTGTGGATGTAATTTAGCTTAATTCCTGACATCTCCTGAACAGGAGGAAAATTGTCTTAGGCATAATGTTTAGTTTCTGTTTTTAATTATCAGTTAACTCAATTGTGTTCATAGTTCTAGATTCCAATCCTGTCTGGCATGTCTAACACTAGCTGTATGAGGAACCGTATTATGGAAACTTGTGTCCTGAAACAGCTGGCTTCCTTCTGCTTGTTTTCTGGCATTTAGCAGGTTTCTGTAGCACCACCTCAGTTTCCTGGGCATCAGTGAAGCTGTTTTTCCTAGTTCCAGATGTTTTTCTGGTATACCTATAGTGTGCTGCTGTGCATTTTGCATCTGCGTGTGTTAAATTTTCATTAATCTTTTTCCTGGAGAAGGTGAATGGAGGTGTATCGCTTTCTCAAATTAATAGCGTCTTAGGGAAGGTGTAGACAATTGCCTTAATTGATTGAGCGTTAAATGCAACAGGTTCGGCAGAAGAATTGTGCAGCTGCAATTTGCAAGTTTGCAATGAGCCCACAATGCCTTAGTTTACACGCATTTATACAAACAAGGAAGGTGATTCACGGGAATCGCAATGTAGTATGAATTGGCTCTGTTGAAATTTGCAGTGAAATATTCAGACTTATTTGAAAATTTATAATCCTCTCTTTCATAAAATATGACAAGGCAGCCTATAACATATAAAATGCAACAAAACCAGTCTATTAATATCTATAAAGCTATAAAATCTATAATCTATAATTAAAAGCATCAGTAAAATGTCAGTAAATACTGGTTGTTTTAAAGAAAAATCATATCGTGAAGACCTGCCTGAACTGTGCCATTTTCAGAAGACATCAGAAAGGAGGCAGGGACTGTTCCTGTTGAACCTCTATAGGCAGGGAGTTCCACAGGAAAGAGAAGGGCTTGCACCCTAAAGGCTCAATTCCTAGGGGAGGCCATCCAAACCTCAGAGGCCTGGGAGAAATGAAAAAAATGATATAACTCTTGATACTACTAATAATTGGTTAATTTAATCATATTTCTTTCCTATTGGTTATGAACATATCTAGAATTACTTCTGATTATCGTGTCATTTTCCAATTTCACTATTTTAGTGGAAATGCCTAGTTTCTCTTAAGAAACTAATACTCATTTGTTAAGTACGAGAAAGGTAGTTTACATGTGTATTTTTATATAATAAATCCTGACATTAGAGAGTAGCTGAGACATTTCCCTCTGTTAGTAAGCTGTCCAGTTTTTAACTAGTTATGAAAAGTACCCCCCCATTATATTTTGGGTAAAGGTAAAGTTAAAGGGACCCCTGACCATTAGGTCCAGTCGTGGCCGACTCTGGAGTTGCGGCGCTCATCTCGCTTTATTGGCTGAGGGAGCCGGCGTACAGCTTCCTGGTCATGTGGCCAGCATGGCTAAGCTGCTTCTGGCAAACCAGAGCAGTGCATGGAAATGCTGTTTACCTTCCCGCCGGAGCGGTACCTATTTATCTACTTGCACTTTGATGTGCTTTCAAACTGCTAGGTTGGCAGGAGCAGGGACTGAGCAACGGGAGCTCACCCCGTCGCGGGGATTCGAACCGCCGACCTTCTGATCGGCAAGTCCTAGGCTCTGTGGTTTAACCCATAGCGCCACCCGCTTCCATATTTTGGTTACCGTACTTCTAAAGTTAATGGACTGCTTTGCATGACATGGTAAGCCATGTGTCTGTGCGGGATCCCAGAGATGGGGTTGGCAGGAGGACAAAGAAATCTTGAGAACAGGCCCCAAGGGGAGGGGACCCATAGAACAGGGTCACCAGGACTGAGTCTTGGAAGAAGAAGAAGAAGAAGAAGAGTTTGGATTTGATACCCCGCTTTATCACTACCCGAAGGAGTCTCAAAGCGGCTAACATTCTCCTTTCCCTTCCTCCCCCACAACAAACACTCTGTGAGTTGAGTGGGGCTGAGAGACTTCAAAGAAGTGTGACTGGCCCAAGGTCACCCAGCAGCTGCATGTGGAGGAGCGGGGAAGCGAACCCAGTTCCCCAGATTACGTGACTACCGCTCTTAACCACTACACCATATGCTTCAGGCTGTTACAGGTCCTCTTTGTTCCAAAATACATGTTCAAGAAAATGGCATGGCACAGTCATCCCTGAACTGTACCCCACTGCCATTCAAGTCAGGGTGAACATAAAGGATAATTCAGTAATGGGAAGTAGCCTCAATTGCAAGGGAGAATTTTTGTGCAAGCCCTCTCTGTGAGAGACTCGCTTTTCCTGTGTTGGGTAGTAGGTTAATGAGAAGAAGCATTCAAATACTGTAGATATGATTGTTTCCTTTTTCCATCCCACAAACCTAGTTCAATTTGTTGCACTATTTTTATGGAAAGGATCCCATCTGCAATTTCTGAAAAGGCCATAATTGTGTATGGTCAAAACACACTAGGAGGGATTGCCAATTAGGAGGGATTGCCAACAATAATTTCCTGGACACCTGCCCCCTTTCTACCCCTGTTTTGATTTGATTTGATTTGATTTGATTTGATTGCAAGATGTGTAAAGCAGAATGCAGATGGGTTAAATGCATGCAAGTGGTGGCCATACTGTATAAATTTCATTGTTGCTGATCATTACAAAATATTTGATTAGGGGGATTATTCGGAGCACTTCCTTAAAAAAGACTGGCCTTGGAAGTTGAGTTGAAGGAACTAATTTCTGGAGTAATCTTACTGCAGCTTCTGTGTTAATCAGGCAAGATTTTGGGTAGACATTTTGTAACGACTTCTTCTCAGAAGGAAACTTTTCTCCATATCCTCTGCTTACCACCTGCATCCCTTGTTAGGATACTTGTTTAATCCCAGCAGCTTCGTGACGATCTCCACGTAATGACAAAGTGACACTTATCATTCTGAAATGTGGGCGTGCAGTGGTTTTCCAACTTGGGTGTTCACAGCGCAATAAACACATCAAAGTCTCTGTGCTTTTCCCACACGTAGAGGAAAACCTATTGTTCTCTGAAGGGACCTTGTCATTTCTGCCAGTCAAGAGATTCATTCTACCAGATATTAAAAGAGAGGGACCTAAACTGGGCTTGGGGGGGGGGTGGACATACACATAACAGAAGACAAATCTGAGATGTCTTGGGCAGAAAAATCTGTTGTGGGTCATCACATTTAGGATACAGTGGAGGTAGAATGTAGGAATCTGCCTTGTACTATCAGACCATTCATCCATCTAGCTCACTGTTGTCTAAATGGACTGCCCCACCTGGAGGTGTGGGGGGTCTGAGCCTCTGTACAAAGCACGTTCTCTAATGCTGAGATGCAGCCCTTCCCCCAGAGGCTGACATTTTCTGGATATATCGAGAAACCTCCTGTTTAAATGTCCCATGAGTTTATTAGAATTTTTTTGCATTATTGCTGCAGGTAAGTAACGTTATCTAAATCTGTTAGGAATAAATTACAAAAATTGTCTTTACATCTTAATACAGTGGTACCTCGGGTTACATACGCTTCAGGTTACATACTCCGCTAACCCAGAAATAGTGCTTCAGGTTAAGAACTTTGCTTCAGGATGAGAACAGAAATTGTGCTCTGGCGGTGTGGCAGCAGCAGGAGGCCCCATTAGCTAAAGTGGTGCTTCAGGTTAAGAACAGTTTCAGGTTAAGTACGGACCTCTGGAACGAATTAAGTACTTAACCCAAGGTACCACTGTATTTAGAAATACACCTTGTTCAGGAAATTACATTAGTAGTAGTAGTAATAGTAGTAGTAATAGTAATAGTATAGTGGTACCTTGGTTTACAAACTTAATCCATTCTGGAAGTCCGTTCTTAAACCAAAGCGTTCTTAAACCAAGGCGTGCTTTCCCATAGCAGCGGGGGACTCAATTTACAAATGGAACACACTCAACGTGTTCTGCTTCCAAGGCAAAGTTCACCAACCAAAACACCTACTTCTGGGTTTGCAGTGTTCTTAATCCAAGTTGTTCATAAACGAAGCTGTTCTTAAACCACTGTATTCGTAATATTAGTATCATCACTATTATTTGCATGGCTGCAGGAATTGCTTTTAAGAACCATGTGTCATCGGTCATGGGAACTGGTGCTTATTACACGATTAGCACAGTAGCAATGGTTGGGGGGATTTTTTTATTATGGGTTCCTTGCTCTCTCCCCGTGCTTTTGACTAGAGGTAGGATCATTCCTGCAAACCTGCCCCCTTTGCTGGCCATCTGAACCGGTCCTCATTGTTAAAGGTTAAAAGATCATTGGGTGCCTGTGGGCGAACTCTTGTGACTGACCTTTCCATTCTCCTTATCTTGTAGGACCTGGGGATCACGAAGGTGGGTCATATGAAGCGAATCCTTCAGGGAATTAAAGAACTCGGCCGGACCTTGCCTTTGACTGAAGTATAGTTCTCTTGCTGGCCTCTGAAGAAGAAAGGCTGTTTATGCAAAGCCGTGGAGGCGCATTGCCTTCTCTGTAGGTTTCTGCACGGATGTGTGAGTGTCAGTATGTGGCGTGCGAGGGATTGTGTTGGGGGCATTGCTTGAAAAAAGAGCCTAATGGGAGTCCTTGGAAGGTTTTGTGGGGCCTAACGTTGCTGTGAAGTACATTGCGAAGAGCAGCTCTTAAAAAGTCAAAGCTTTTGACCGAAATCTGGGCTGGGTAGCTTATGGGTGATCTAGCAAAGGGCAATCAAGATCGGATGGCTTTCCTTACATACGTGGGATTTCTCAGTACTGCAACAAATAACTTAATGCAGGGAGAGTATTAGGTTTGAAAAATTCCTGAGGCCTGGAAACACTTCCCAATGTGTTGGAGGGACTGATTACCGGTGGGTTTTTCAGGCAATGCTGATAACCTCAGCAACCTCCCTCCTCTTCTGTCTCTGACCAAGAAATCAAGCTGGAGCCATCATGCTGTATACCGTGAGTGCAAACTGTAATACTTGGTTTGCCTTCCTGAACTGTCTTTTTTTGTTGCATGACACACCTGACACTTTACAGACTTGAACAACTTTTATATCGGTTTGGAATAAGGTTTAATTTATTACTATTCTGTGTCTTGTGTTGGTTGAAGGCTTTTTTCTGACGTCGTTCGTACCCTAAACGTGCTGTGAACATCTCTGCTATTCTCCAGCATGGGATGTATATTAAATATAATGGAGAGTTTATGTCCTCTGGCTGCAAGTAACTTAATAGTATTTTTAAAAGGCTGGTACCTCACAATATTATGAGTTTACTCCCAAGAAAACAGAATTATCTGAATATTTTCTTATCGGCTATAAAATATGCAATGTTTATCTCTTACAGCCTCTCTTAAGGCAACTGCTAGCTTACTTTGAGTATTTAAACTTCAAAGCATGGCAGTATTGTGACTCATAGCAAGGTGGATGTTTGCTAATTCAGTGGTAGCAACCTGATTATGTTCACAGAACTAAAATTACTTCATATTGAAGGCACACGTGGACCAATTATTTGAATATCAGGGCTTGATTATGTATTTTTTAATGGAATCAGTAAAAATTACCGAGCATATCAAATATTCAGTTTACCAACACAAGGCATGTCTTTCCTGTAAATATTAAGCAAATACTTCTTTTAGTTCAGAAATTATCCTCTTTAGAAATACTTAATTCCTGGGATATGCGTGAAGCCTGTTTATCGGTGTATTTGTTAAAATGGATTAGTAAAATGGATTAAGAATTGTCTGTCTTAAAAATTCTAATCCCTTTATTAAAATAATATAAAACGCATTTCTATTTGTTTCTCAGCTGAGGCAGAGCTCTTTCAGGTGAATGCTTAAGCTTTTCATGTTAAAAATAACCAGTGTCAAGTACTAGGTCCTAAATTGACTGGTTTGATATAATTAAAGATTGTCCAGCAATGAAGAGCATAAAGACAGTACCTAATAGAAGACAAAATATCTATTCTGATACATGTCATGATTTCCCCTTCTGCTTAAGTGGCAGTGAGCAACAACGGGGAATCCTGAGCGATGCTACAATTGAATGTGATCCATCATAGCTTCTGAAAGAAATTTGATCAGCTCAGATAGCAACTATTGCTCATCAGAATTATGGTAGCATTTTATCACTCCAAATAAGTTGGACTTTCTACCAAGCTTAGGTGGAGCTCCACAAAAACAGCGTTCAGCATCCAGTTTTCAAAATGATGTTGTGCTTTTGTGCTAACAGTGTATGGACAAATTCTTTGTTGCACATACTTTTAAAAGGAGAAGTACTTGAAGCATCCTTTTATATTAAGATGAAACTTGTTATTTCTTCATTGTTGTGAAATTTTAGCTATTTTTTTAATAAACCTTATAGCTCAAAAGTACAGACACTAACGATTTTCTAGTTTTACGGTGGTCAACGTAAGATTCACCATTAATGTTATGTACTGAATTACGATAACTTACAGCAGGAATTTGTTTACTTTTCCAATGATAGCACTGGTTCTCTCAAACTTTGTCTTACCTGTCCACAAAGGCACGTAAGGGATTAAATGTGAACTCTTAACACAGATGCCCTTGCAGAGAGCCAGCCTATTTGGCAGAGATCCACAACTCTGACATTACTACATCTTTTTATAGTTTCACTGATTTCTTTCTTTTAGACTCTTAAAAGACGACAACATTTTCAGCAGGTGACTACAATTACAATGGTAGATTTCTAACACAGAAATTTTTCTAGGCTTTTTATATTGGCTCTGCTCCAAAGATCTCTGTGGTAACTTGGATGTCCACACAGACTAACACATGAAAAGCTTTCTTTATTCACTTTAACTTTGGGAAGTAGCGTCAGTGTCATGTGATGGATACAGAGGGAGAGCAATCTTTGCTAATGAAGTGAATTGATTACCACCCAAATAGGAAGGAAGTCTGTAAAGCCTAGATTAAAATTATATAAAACAGGACTTGGCTAACTATCACATACCAAAGATGAAATCTTGTGGAACAGGATGACTATCGCCAATACTAAATATTTCCCTTAAGGACGTAGAGTTAGGAGGACATTGTAGGCACATGCATAGTAAAAGAGAGTTATGGAAAGATGGTTTGCAAAGTGACAGGATTGATGTCTTGATGAAGCAGAAACTGATGTGCATTTTTCTCAACATCTGTACCAATTGTCAGATAGTATTGCTGCCTATAAGGACATTCTGATTTAGAATTAATCTGTTGTAACATTATTTGCTCAAAATGTTGCATCTATTGCCTTTAAAATGTACAATGCCTTCTTTTGATTCTGAACAAAAGTGAAACGCAAATTTTCAACAGTACAGTGGTGCCCCGCAAGACGAATGCCTCGCAAGACGGAAAACCCGCTAGACGAAAGGGTTTTCCGTTTTGGAGGTGCTTCGCAAAACGAATTTCCTATGGGCTTGCTTCGCAAGACGAAAATGTCTTGCGAGTTCCTGCGGGGTTTTTTCCCTCCCCCCCTTTTTCCCAAGCCGCTAAGCCGCTTAGCTGATCAGCTGATCCGCTAAGCCGCTAAGCCGCTTAACAGCTGATCGCTAAGCCACTTATCAACTGATCCGCTAAGCCGCTTAACAGCTGATCCGTTAAGCCACTAAGCCGCTTATCAGCTGATCCGCTAAGCCGCTAATAGCGCTAATCCGCTAAACCACTAATGGGCTTGCTTCGCAAGACGAAAAAAACCGCAAGACGAAGAGACTCCCGGAACGGATTCTTTTCGTCTTGCGAGGCACCACTGTATCTGAAAGGGTTACACAGAAACACCACACAGAAAGGAAAGGTTTAGTTATGATCAATCTGGTCATGACAATTTGGTTATAATAACCCCCATGCCTTCTGGATGGAACATCAATATACAATTTTAGGGAAGCAAAGAATGCATGGGCATTGAATACAGAAAGGCATTTAAAAAATAAATTTAAAAAAATGAATGTTCAGTACAGTATTTGAAATACAATGTCCCCATTGTTTGCAGTTTGACACTTTATTTTAAAATTCTCACAAAACATGGTTTTCCCCTCATTCCATGTATTCATTCCACCGTTGCCAGCAGATAGCTGAATCTTTTATATACTTTTTGCTTTTCAACTGGAAATAAATATCAAGCCGCTTCATGAAAGCTGCACTAAATCCTCACCCTATGTACATTCTCTCTTCTTAGATATCTAGATAAAAATTTGTTCGGGTTGCCTTCTATTTTGTCTAAGAGGCAGGTGGCCAGTTTAACATTTAACATATCCCTTTAATGTATTGGTGAATGATAAAATACAGAATTATTCTTTCATTTAAACTATACCTTGAAAACAAGAGTTTATATTGTATGTCATAGGAGATAAAAAGTTAGAATTAATATTGATTTCAGTTGTTAATATTTATAGTTGCACTGTGAAGGTCCATCACTCTTTATAGCTGTATATGCATCATTTTTATATAGGCAAAAGATGGCTGACAGGTCTGTCAACTAGTTACGTTAAAAGGCTTGTGTGTGTTGGTGTGCATTCAGACTTTATGGAATACATGGTTGGGGCAAATGGCTAAGATAGAACTATATATTAAAATTGCAACCAATGAAATGCTGAGCAGGGTCTGGTCATGGCGTGTCCAGTGGGTCAGAGCTGCCCTCCTGACACTGCTACTTACTTGGATGGGATTGATGTGGGGCAGCAGTGAGGTTGGGGCAAGGTGGGTTCTTTTCGGGTGCACCTATGAGGCCACAGTGTTGCTGCTGCCCAGTTAGGCAAACAGGACTTGCGCCAGTGTTGGCACGGCAGATCCAGGGCCCCACCTCACTGCTGGAGGGTTCTGTTGATGTTTGGCAATCAGATCCCATTGATTTCATGTGCTGAAATTAAATAGGTGTAGTGCTTCAGCAGGGACGCGGGTGGCGCTGTGGTCGAAATCACTGAGCCTAGGACTTGCCGATAAGAAGGTTGGCAGTTCGAATCCCTGCGATGGGGTGAGTTCCATTGTTCAGTCCCAGCTCCTGCCAACCTAGCAGTCTGAAAGGAGGTCAAAGTGCAAGTAGATCAATAGGTACCGCTCCGGCGGGAAGGTAAACGGCGTTTCCGTGCGCTGCTCTGGTTCGCCAAAAGCAGCTTAGTCATGCTGGCCACATGACCCGGAAAGCTGTCTGCGGACAAACGCCGGCTCCCTTGGCCTATAGAGCGAGATGAGCGTGCTACCCTGGAGTTGTCCGCGACTGGACCTAACGGTCAGGGGTACCTTTTAGTGCATCAGCACTAGTTTCTTGTGTATTAACACTTGTACACTAAGCACTTTGTATACTGAGATTTGATACTACAAATATTTGTTATGGCATTGAGACCAAGAAAGATCCGTGCTCTTAATCCACTACAGAACTTTTAAAGACCAAAAGAATGATATTTTTTACAGACCTGTATCCTTGATAAGGAGCCCATTTTATCTTTGGTTGCGTCTTGAGTGAGTTAAGAACTTAATAAATAGTTAGTGGGTGCTCCATTACACGTGGAAACAATGCATTACCATGTAAGTAAAAAAACCCAACAGCTTCTGGATTATAGCATCACTAAGAAATGGAACCCAATCTTAGGCAATGTATGCCGAAAGGTTTGGGCTTCATTTTCAGGGCTCTCCTTAAATTCTGCGAGAGAAATCGTGTCCGCTTCACAGAGGTTGCGGTGAGATCACTAAGACCGACCTCACTGTTTGTGTGGGTAGGAGTGATTAGATAGCCATAACAACCTGATTGGGTCCCTCGGTTGCTGGGGTAATTCTGGCCAATGGGTTGAGAGAATTTGCAGCCGGGGGACCTATTTATACCGCTGCACGTTGCGTCGAGCTTCCTCTTAGCCCTTCATGCATCGGATCACCCGCCCACCCTCCCTGTATGTAGGGTCTTGCCATGACCTTGCTATGCCGTTGTGGGTCGTCTGCTTTTGGAGCAGGGGCCTGGTAGGAATTTTCCCATTCGGCTGATTGGCTGGTGCCACTTGGGTTTCGCCTGCCGCGTAGCAAATCGTCACAACTTTGTACGGTTTGGCGGTTAAGCATTGGTTCAAGGTGTGGTGGAGGGGAGGTTGTCACACCTCTCAATGTGTGATAGGGTATTCCGTTAAAGGAATCTAGGTGCTCGCCATGCTTTTGTCCGATCCCCTTCCAGGGGTTAGGGCCACGCCAGGGCACCTGGGAGCATTTTGGGGTGAGGTTGCGTCTGTGGTAGGACCAATGCGCCCCCAGTATGTTTACTCTTACTGACTTCTGCTGTTGTCAGTGCTGCCCTGCTGGACCAAGTCGAACCAATGCCTTAAGCAAACCACTCACATTCTGTAATCAATAAAATTGTGGCCTAAATTAGGCCAATAACCTTAAACCAGGCATCCCCAAACTCAATTCCCATCGCCCCTGACCACTGGCCCTGTTAGCTAGGGATGATGGAAGTTGTAGTCCCAAAACATCTGGAGGGTCGAGTTTGGGGGTGCCTGCCTTAAACTAATATTGGTGTCAACTGTGTCTTTCTTTGGGAGGTCTTGGGGGTCTTCACACGCAAAGTAAACAGATTTCAACCATCAAAACTAAAAGTGGCACAGCCTCCTCCCTTGAAGAGTGTGGGTTTGGGTTGTAGCCAACTAAGTTCTAGTCAGAGTAGACTCATTGTAATGGACCTTTTAGTTGTGGCCATTAATTTAAATGGGTCCACTTGGAGTAGGATTAACATTGGAGACAATCCACTTATATCTCCAGGGACAGACGACATGTTTCTTCTGCTAGCCTAGTGCCGTTTGCTCCTGATTATATTCCTTATATTCCCCAGATAAGTCCATGGCTGCTATTCTCTCTTTTGAGAAAAAGTAACCACCACCACAATTTTGTTGTGCGGTCAGTGTATACCCTTGACAATCAATGCTTTTGTCTTCACCAAGATGTAATTGTCAATCACATTGACAGGTGTTTTGCTGAAAGAGGGTCTTCAAAGATTATAGTCACATTTTTACTTTTTGAAATACCGAAACCCTAAGAAACTTACCTTATTTTTCCGTGTATAAGACGCCCCCATGTATAAGACAACCCCTGTTTTTTGAGCCCAAAATTAAGATATAAATAATTTCAACGTTCCATGTATAAGACAACCTCCAATTTTAAACTTAAAAAAATATTTTGGGGGGGAATACAGTCTTATACATGGAAAAATGCAGTAATTTGGAATTTTATTTTATTTTTTCTGCTTTTTAAAATAAAGAAATAGTTCTGTGTTTTAAAAGGACAGATATGTGACTTTTACGTATAGGAAAGCTAGTGGACTTTCCCATAAAATTGGGAAATGAAGAACACTGATTTTAACGCTATGTCTTAAAATGCCATTAGTATTGTGAAAGGGTTTGTTCCGAATTGTCACAGTGGTTGGAAAATAACTTAAAAATCATAGCCTGTAAGTAAAACAGAAAGCAACCAGCTATATTGATGTTGTTCTCAGTTGTCAAGTAGCAGTTTAGAGGAAAAAGAAATGTTGTTTCAGGACAGAGTTGTAGTTTACTTATGCTTTGTGGTGGTTGCAGCATGTATGTATTTGTGGTGATAACTTTATATATCTGCATATATCCAGTTCTTCAACTTGCTCTGAAGAAAACAAGTAGGCTCTGGTAAACAAGTGAATGCTTGAGTTCTTTATAATTAAGTATTAATTTCTTTCTGGGCTACGTATGATGTGGAAGGGGCTGGTGTAAATAAATCTTGGTTCTCTAGGTAGCTACCCTCCAAACACAGTGGTACCTCACGAGACGAATGCCTTGCAAGACGAAAAACTCGCAAGACAAAAGAGTTTTTCGTTTTTCGAGTTGCTTCGCAAGAAGAATTTCCCTATGGGCTTGCTTTGCAAGCCGAAAAACGAAAACGTCTTGCAAGTTTGTTTTGATTGCAATGATTTTCAGTGCATTCCTATGGGAAACCGTGCTTTGCAAGACGAAAAATTCGCAAGACGAAAAAACTCGCAGAACGAATTAATTTCGTCTTGCGAGGCACCACTGCAGTTTAAGTAAATCACCATACATTTATTTAAATGAAAATTTGCACAATGGAGTGTAAATTTCTGCTGCAAAGGCCCCATATGCACGGCTTCGTGGCGGTGAGGGGAAGCAGTCCAGGCTGAGGGGACATTTTGCCTGAGGTGATGCCTGCAGGCCTTCCTATCGAAAGGCTCTTGCAGGTAAAAACCAGCTGACTAAGAGTCGAAGATAAGGACAAATATTCCCAAGTCACTCTCTGTTGTCAGGGTCAAATAACTGCACTAATTTGTCAGTTGAAAAGCAACTGTTGTTCACATAAATTTTTTTTGCCTCTGAACTTTGAATTAATTATATGGAAGATTACTTGTACTCAATTCCCCTAGAACAGATATTTGCGGTGGGAAAAACTGTCAAACCTCGGTTGTTGAATCCATTCCGTAAGCCCGTTCGGCTTCTGAAACGTTCCACAACCGAATCACGGCTTCCGATGGGCTGCAAGAACTTCTTGCATTCAAGCGGAAGCTGCGTCAAATGTTTGGCTTCCGAAAAACGTTCAAAAACCGGAACACTTACTTCCGGGTTTTCAGTGTTCGGGAGCCGAAATGTACTATAACGGAGGCGTTCAGGAACTGAGGTTTGACTGTAGCAGTTTAAGCTTTTGTTGCACGTGTGCAATGTAGTATGCTGATTTCTTATATAATTTGGATGGGTACTCAACTATGTTTTACACAGAGTAAATCCAATGAAAGGAATGAACATGGTTAAGTTTGGTCTATTAATTCCAGCAGCTCCACTCTGCATTAAATATCACCCTAGTTTATAATAGTAGAATAATAACAACTACTACAAAATAATAACAACAACAACATTATAAGAGTAAAAAGACAGTAACAGCAGTCAGATCCTTATTGGAAACGATATTCTGAAAGTCTGCTGAAATGAAACCGTATAGTTTTGTCAACGTTAAACATATTGCTTTGCAGTTACTCCAGTCCTTTAAAGACATTGTGCACCTGGTTAGCTTTAAACATGAGTCTCATCAATTAGTCTATTAAAAAACGGAAACAGTATTTGCTCCTTAAGACAGATATAGTACAGATAAAAAATGGAAGCTGCAACTTTAAAATAGGTGTGAGGAACCCCACTGGTTTTACCCTCTCCTCCCAGCCACAAGCTATTTATAAGAAAATAACTGAAAGGGGAAAGGGCTTTGATGGCGTGCAAAATGTACATTGGCTGGCTTCTTCTTCTACAAGAAGTTCAGATGTCTCAGTAGATGGATTTGTGTTCCTGACAAATACGCAAACAGTGTGCATGAATTTTGCATTTGCCAAATATGCACTTGCCTTTTGAAGGGTCTGGGCTGAGCGATGGAGGTGGAGACGCTCCTTCAGGTCTACATTATTTGGGGTTGGAAGTCTTTTTGCTTTTTAGCACAGGGAGAGGTAAAAGGGTATTGGACAGTTTTGTTGTTGTTTTTTAACCCATTTTGATACAAAACATCATTGGAGAAAATGGTGAGATTTGAGTGGAGTTACTAAGGATTAAGTACATGCCTCTGTTTCCAAGTGAAATAGTTCTCTGTGCATGTCTGTGAAGGTTGTAGAATTGTGGGAGGGGCCCTTGCTACCTCGGATTGGGTCCCCCACAGCTTCCCACTGGGATTTTGTTGTTGTTTAGTCGTTTAGACGTGTCCGACTCTTCGTGACCCCCTGGACCAGAGCATGCCAGGCACTCCTGTCTTCCATTGCCTCCCGCAGTTTGGTCAAACTCATGCTGGTAGCTTCGAGAACTCTGTCCAACCATCTTGTCCTCTGTCGTCCCCTTCTCCTTGTGCCCTCCATCTTTCCCAGCATCAGGGTCTTTTCCAGGGAGTCTTCTCTTCTCATGAGGTGGCCAAAGTATTGGAGTCTCAGCTTCAGGATCTGACCTTCCAGTGAGCACTCAGGACTGATTTCCTTAAGAATGGATAGGTTTGATTTTCTTGCAGTCCATGGGACTCTCAAGAGTCTCCTCCAGCACCATAATTCAAAAGCATCAATTCTTCGGCAATCAGCCTTCTTTATGGTCCAGCTCTCACTTCCATACATCACTACTGGGAAAACCATAGCTTTTACTATACGGACCTTTGTTGTCAAGGTGATGTCTCTGCTTTTTAAGATGCTGTCTAGGTTTGTCATTGCTTTTCTCCCAAGAAGCAGGTGTCTTTTAATTTCGCGGCTGCTGTCACCATCTGCAGTGATCATGGAGCCCAAGAAAGTAAAATCTCTCACTGCCTCCATTTCTTCCCCTTCTATTTGCCAGGAGGTGATGTGCCCAGTGGCCATGATCTTCATTTTTTTGATGTTGAGCTTCAAACCATATTTTGCGCTCTCCTCTTTCACCCTCATTAAAAGGTTCTTTAATTCCTCCTCACTTTCTGCCATCAATGTTGTGTCATCTGCATATTTGAGGTTGTTGATATTTCTTCCGGCAATCTTAATTCCGGCTAGGGATTCATCCAGCCCAGCCACAACCCTCAACCAGTCTGAAAAAGTTTACTCATTCCTGTGCATAAATAAGTAAACGTAAATAAGTAACCATAGCCATTTGTCCCTGTGTGTGTGATTCCACATATGTGGGGAAAATTAATCCAGTTCCAGAGATATAAACGTACAAGATGGATAGCTTTTATCATAGTTGCTTTTTGTGTCAAGGTAAATGGTAGGAAATGGGTGGACTGGGTTTACAAAATCTTACGTGTCCCGAATCCTGCATGGGATTGCAGCCTCAACCCTTTATTTTCAGTGGAGTTGGTCACAGCATAGGATCAGGCTGTTAATATTTTGAATACTTATAACTTAACATAGCTCAAGGGGAGAATGCGTTTGACTGTTTCCGTGAGGGATTCCTACAGGCTTCGATTCTATTGAAAAGACTTCGGCTTTTCCCAGTGTGCAACTATCATTTACTATAAAATAGTGGGGAGCCTCTGGCCTGCACATGATGCTGGGGACGTTAAAGCTGTGGCTGCGAAAGAACAGCCAGCAGCTTGCTTCTTATTATTATCCATCGTTGTTGTTATAATTATTAACTGCAAGGCTTCTTAGTTGTTCCTTTGCAGTTGCAGCTTGAACCCAGTTGAATGCTCTCCTCTTTGAATTGTGTGCTGTTGAGGTTTTTAAAGCTGTTTTCCGCACGGATCCCATTCATTTTGGCCCTCCCCAAGATATCTGATTCCCACCAAAAGCAGAGATATTTCTATAGTAGAAGGTTGAGTGTGTGTGTTTCATGGCTAAGACTCAGCAGGAAGAAGAGGAGATACTCTGCCTACAATTAGAAGAGCTGAGCTACCTCTGTGAGTTCAGTTTTCAAACCTTGCATTTCTTCAAAATATACTTCCAGGCTTCTCTCTTTCTCAACCTTATTTTTTATATGTTTTCATTGGAATTGGAAGGTTAGCCGCTTTTTAATCCAACGAGGTTACCAGCCCTTCTTTAGGGTATATGTTCTTCGCAGCACAAGTGTTTTGTCCAATGTAACCCGAGGAATTTTAAACCCAAGAAACAGTAAGAAAGTATAGTACAGCCATACCTTGGGTTGCGAACGTGATCCTTGCGGGAGGCACTTTCGCAACCTGCAGCGCCGCGTCTGCACATGCGCGTGTGTGTGATGCAATTTGGTGTTTTTGCGCATGCGCGAGCGCCGAAACCCGGAAGTAACCTGTTCTGGTACTTCCGGGCTTGGCGCGGTCCGCAACCCAAACATGCACAACCCACAGTGTTGACTGTACCTGCAACTAAAACACACCATTTCTTGCTGTGTTCTCCCCTGAATCCCCCAGAAAAAAAAGCACTGGTTTTGTATCTTAAATGACGTTGCTTCTGCCGATGTCTGTGTATTTCAGGGTGTGCCAATCACCGACAAGGTCAGACATTTAGAGCCTCTAAGGTGACTTTGTTCTCAGTTAAATGTGCATATATTCCTTATGCGACCAAATGTTTAAAAGTACTAATGAGCTAGTCCTGCTGGTTAACGGCAATTTTGCAAAGTATTGCATGCTAAAAAAATTCCTTCAGCAACATGTACTTCTTTTATTCATTCATTCAAACAAACAAACAAACAAACCCAAAATTTCAGCTTGTTAGCCAGATATTTGAATTTTGTGTTTTTCAAAACCATATGAAGCTATCCATAATTATCAGATAGCAGCACTATTGCCAAAGTGTCTAATTTACATATTTTTTGTATTGACAATTGTCTGAAAATTCCCACTGGCTTTAATAGGAAGCTGCACAGGGTCTTGCGTGCCATTTCCCTCACTCCTCTTGCTGCTCTGCATTATAGCTAAGCCAGGAATATTGAGCTAATAAGAACTATGAAGCAGGTGCATATTTCTTACCTTTCATCTTTCGGGTTGCCTGGATTCCGTTTCTTGTCCAAGGCATTTGATAACTCTCTTACTTTTCTAAATGCCAGCGTATGTGAGATCAGAAAGTAGCTATGTGAAGCCAACTCGTGTCGAACTGGAAGAACATTTATTTTCGTTTATTAAAACTTGTGCATACTGCCTTTCCTCTTGTTAGATCAGGATGGCATCTGACATAAAATCAATACAAACAAACACAAAACAATCGTAAAAGCCACAGGAGAGAAGTGAAACAGATTGAGATTTTCTCAAATTTAAGTGTTTAAATTCCTGGGTGGAGGAAAAATGTTTTTGTCTAGCGCAGGGGTAGTTAATCTCCAGCGGATTAACTCCAATGTTCATCTGCCCGTCAGCCTAGCCAGTGGTCAGGAATGATGGGAGTTGTCATATGATGTGGAGGGGCCCAGGGAAGCCAGCCCTGGTCTAGCGCTGACATTTTCCCTTGGGGTGGCCATTTTACAACCTGGGCACTGGATCCATTCAAGGGACAGCTTCTTCCCCTAATGTGCAATTGTGAACAATTTAACCTTTCTGTGCCTATGTTTTCCCATTTGGAGAATGGAAATCCTGCCTAGCAGCTTATTTGCAAAACATAGTCTGAAGATATCTAAATGACAAGTGCTATGCAAGTGATTAATGGTTTCCTTATTATCACAAATCCGAGTTTTATTTTCGTAGAGTTGGAAGGGAACCCCAGGGTCATCTAGTCCAACCCCCTGCAATGCAGGAATCTCAGCTAAAGCATCCATGACAGATGGTCATCCAACCTTAGTGATTATTGATACTGATGACGCTTTCATAGTTCAGATCTTTACCTATGGGGTGGTGCATCCTTCTTGCAGCAGGGATAGCCTCCTCCCATTGAGAGCGTCAACCTTAGTGCATGGGTTGTGTGCCTTGCCCCCTGAGAGTTTAGCCATTCCCTGACCCCTGGACCAGGCCATGGGCACTGAGATGCTCTGCAGGTGAGCCTAGCTGTCGTCTTCGTATGCTGTAAAAAGACTCCGATTTTTCAGTGTGTCAGCAAACTTGCCCATGAAATCTGTTGAGCAGAGAATGTTGTAAGTTTGGGCTTTATTTACTTGTATTTGTTTTTAAGAAACAGTGAGTTTTTGTTTGTTTACATACTGTTTACAATGACACAGGTTTATTTTTAATATATACAACGGTTGAGATATTTATTGCATATGCTATTTGAAAGATGTTTTATGTGTTTTGCACCTTTGGGATATATTGTTACATTTCTGTATTCAGAATATTTGGGTGGTTCTGTTAATAGTAATTTTATGACTTCTAAGTGACCAGTTTTTTGTGCCTTTTTATTACTGGATGCATGATTGCCTATTTATTATTGTATGGAAGTCATGGAGATGTGTATTTTTGTATGCTGCTGGATGCAATGGTTGATTTTATTGTACATTTATGAGATATGCCTCCCTTAAAGGGCACTCAATGGATCTTCCTTCTGAAATAAACCAATACATACAATCTCAATAATTTATTTGAAATTTTTTTTAGTGAGAAATGGGTTTAATGAGCAGACTGACTTCTGAATAGACAAGATTGGGATTGCCCTGGACAAGAACATCTAACGCTCTGGATATTGTGTCCATTGCTCCAGGACTCCTTTGTCCATTGCACAACAAAAGATGGAGGGCGGTTGTCTCCGAACATTGGATGGATGCCTGGCTCCTCATTCCTTTTATTTGTGTGCCGCTTTTCCGCACACACAAAAAACATGCTTACGACAAAGAAAACAATAACATTTCAAAAACAGTGGAAAAGAATTTCCTAATAACATAGCAAAACAACACAATAGCAAATATAATAACATACAAAAAAAACCCTTTCAGAACTGTAAATATAGTAAGATTGTATAAACAACACCTAGCATGCAATAACAAAAATAACAAGGGAGCTTGACCGTTGCACCTTGGTTGTAGAAACGCCCCTCCCATGATGTGGCTTACAGTTCCTTTCCTTCAGCAGCTTCATAGAAGGCTTCAAAGTGCAGGGGGCGAGGTAATAATAATAATAATAATAATAATAATAATATATTATTTGTACCCCGCACATCTGGCTGGGTTTCCCCAGCCACTCTGGGCGGTTTCCACAAAGACCAAAAATACACTAATATGTCATACATTAAAAACTTCCCTGAACAGGGCTGCCTTAAGATGTCTTCTGAATGTCAGGTAGTTGTTTATCGCTTTGACATCTGCTGGAAGGGCATTCCACAGGGCGGGTGCCACTACCGAGAAGGCCCTCTGCCTGGTTCCCTGTAGCTTTGCTTCTCGCAATGAGGGAACCGCCAGAAGACCCTCGGCGCTGGATCTCAGTGTCCAGGCTGAACGGTGGGGGTGGAGACGCTCCTTCAGATATACTGGACCAAGGCCATTTAGGGCTTTAAAGGTCAACACCAACACTTTGAATTGTGCTTGGAAACGTACTGGGAGCCAATGTAGGTCTTTCAAGACCGGTGTTATGTGGTCTCAGCGGCCGCCCCCAGTCACCAGTCTAGCTGCCGCATTCTGGATTAGTTGTAGTTTCCAGGTCACCTTCAAAGGTAGCCCCACGTAGAGCGCATTGCAGTAGTTCAGGTAGCTGAAAACACCCCTCCCATGGTGTTCCTCGTAGGAGATAAAGATGCATAGATGCATAGCACCCAGTGACTTGCAGTTCCAGTGGGCAATTTCTCTAAAATGAAATGCTCCCTCCACGTTGTGGTGGTGAATACGTCCAAGTTCTTCCATCTTTACCACTCCAGAGACTGCTGGCTGCCTCTTCTCACCCAAGAACGCACTTGCAGTAGCAGGTGCTCTTGAATTTGCTGCAGGACACACCTTTACTTTGGCTGTGTTAGGTGGCGTTACACAGTTATCTCCCTAAATTTATATTTAAGTTTTCAGTGCTTGTGTGAACACACAAACATCATGTAGCTGTTACCTGTTCTGCTTCTCATGCTGTTCATTTGAAGGTACCTTTATTGGGGGCTGATGATCATCCCAACTGAGTCTGTAAGCTGAAGGGTATGTAACCTGAAGCGTATGTAACCTGAGGTACCACTGTATATTCTAGTACAGTGGTACCTCGGGTTACATACGCTTCAGGTTACAGACTCCACTAGCCCAGAAATAGTACCTCAGGTTAAGAACTTTGCTTCAGGATAAGAACAGAAATCGTGCTCTGGCGGCGCAGCGGCAGCAGGAGGCCCCATTAGCTAAAGTGGTGCTTCAGGTTAAGAACAGTTTCAGGTTAAGAACAGACCTCTGGAACGAATTAAGTACTTAACTCGAGGTATATTGTGGGGGTGGGGGGAAAGAACCACAAGCACCAGCCCAACGACCAGTGTGAGGGCTGGACTGAAGTGTAACAGTAGTAATTTTACATTTATTTATAGCCCGCCTTTTCCCCTGACAGGGACGCCAGGCGGCTTACGTAAGAGCAGGCCGGGGCGGGCAGACGGGGGGAGGGCACGAGCGTCACGCGGCGGCTTCGTTCGCGGCTACTGCGCATGCGGGGTGTGTGGCAGCGGGGGGCGGGGGGCGAACGTTAGCGGCGGCGGCGGCGGCGAACGCGTCCCTGTGTGTGTTCTCGCGAGAAGGAGGAGGCGGAGAAGGAGGCGGAGGAGGCGGCGGCGAAGGCGATGGGAGTCCGCGAGTTGTGGGGGGAAGGAAGGAAACGCCTCAGGTGAGGAGGGCGGGGCGGGCGGAATTGAGCCGGGCGAGGGGGCGTCGAGACCCCCTCGAAAGGGACAGGTGACTCCGGGGACGGGGGGGGAAGGGCTGCGCGCGCCCCCCGCCCTCCCCCTCAGAGCAACGGTCCGGCGCGCCCCCTCCCCCCGCCCGGCTCTCGGCCTTCCTCCCCCCCCCCCTCCTTCCTGCCACTCGTGACGCCACTCCGGACCCCTCCCCCCTTTCCCTCATTCCGGCCGGGGGGGGGCAGGAAGAGGAGCAGCGGCCACGACACCCATCATGATGATGAGGATGCTCCGCGGGATCCTCGCAGCAGCTGCACCGGGGGGAAGGGGGGTCTCTAGGTCACCGGGGGGGGGAGGGGGAGAGACCCTTCCGAGCGCGCCGCCGCCCCCGCTTTGCCCGCTGCTTTTCTTATTCTTAGTAGGAGCAGTGAATTAGCTCAGTGCTCAGGTGGCTTCGGAGCCCTTTACAAAACTGTTATTTTTTATATATAAATGGGGTATGTGTGTGTGTGGATATATATGTAACTTTTGTATATTTAATAAATCATCACTATAATTGTAATGAATATTATGTATTATCCACTTGGGGCAATCATTATTATTTATAATAAATGTTATTTATTATTATAAATAATTATAGATATAAACACACACACACACACACATATATACACAGTGGTACCTTGGGTTAAGTACTTAATTCGTTCCGCAGGTCCGTTCTTAACCTGAAACTGTTCTTAACCTGAAGCACCACTTTAGCTAATGGGGCCTGCCGCGCCGCCGGAGCACGATTTCTGTTCTCATCCTGAAGCAAAGTTCTTAACCCGAGGTACTATTTCTGGGTTAGCAGAGTCTAATCTGAAGCATCTGTAACCTGAAGTACCACTGTATATACACACACACACACACACAATCACAATCACATAACATTATTAAAATACAGAGTAATTAAAGATGCACCACAATTAAAACACACTGGGAACGTACACAGCAAAACAATCCACTTTGGGATTGCACAGCCGTTCGAACAGGAGAGTGGCCAAGAGGTCAAGTCGAGGCCTTTGTCAGACCTGGCAGGAAGGCAGTAAAGATGGGGCTTCTCCTGTTCCAGCACAGCAAGGGTTTCTCGGCACCCCAGCCTGCCTCTGCTGTGCAAGCCAGTCATCCTCAGGCCAGGACGCAACTCACAGGGGTCCGTTGGTGCCCTTACTGGGCATTGCATTGGAAGTCAGCCTTTTAGGTAACCTGCTCCAGAGTCGTTCAGTGCCTCCTGTGCAAGTAACAAGGCCTCAGAACGGACACAGTGGCTAATAATTTTGTTCTGTGAACCACCCTGAGACCTCTGGGTATACAGTGGTATATAAATTCAATAAATGTTAATAAAAAGAAAGCCATGCACATCCCTTTAAGGGGCTCTGCTTGCCACCCAGTAGGTAAAGGTAAAGGACCCCTGGATGGTTAAGTCTAGTCAAAGGCGACTGGGGTGCGGCACTCATCTCTCTTTTCAGGCTGAGGGAGCTGGCGTTTGTCCACAGACAGATTTCCAGGTCATGTGGCCAGCATGACTAAACCGCTTCTGGTGCAACAGGACACCATGACAAGTGCCAGAGCACATGGAAACGTCATTTGCATTCCCACCGCAGCGGTACCTATTTACCTACTTGCACTGGTGTGCTTTCGAACTTCTAGGTTGGTAGGAGCTGGGACAGAGCAATGGGAGCTCACCCTGTTGCCCGGATTCTAACCGCCAACCTTCCAATCGGCAAGCCCAAGAGGCTCAGTGGTTTAGACCACAGCACCACCCAGTACTGTGCCACCCAGTAGAAGTCCATGTGCACCTTAGGTAGCCATAGCCGTTCATATATTAAAAGAGTGGGAGATAATGGCTTGTCTGAAGCCACCTAAAAGGTAAAGCCACCTGGTAAGTTGGTGGCAGAAAACATAAACGTGCCCCTTCTCCCTACCACCTGCATAAAGTCATCTCATCTGGACTGAGACTGCAGCATAAGAGGAAGACCTTAATTTGTTTCCCCACATCCCCTTTTAGCAACACCCCCCCAATCTCCAAAGTTGCAGTTTGTCCCTGAAGGTGCCCCATGGCATCTTTGGGGCAAATAACAATGGGGGGAGAGAGAAAATGGGACAAATTTTCCTGCAATCCCGGACTGTGCATGTCTTTGGTGAGGCCCTGAGGCTTTGGCAACAAGGAAAATAATTGTGCCTGCCTGGTCCAGCATGTGTCTCTACAGCACCAGGCCATTAAAAAATACAAAACTTTTTTTTCAGTGGACGCTGGCATTTGCTCCACCATGCCAGGTGCTAGTTCAGTGCCTAAAGACAACTTCTACAAGCCACATTCTGCTTAGATTTTTGCTATATATTACTTGTTTATGCACTGTATAATGTTATGGTAGTAAAAAAAGAAAAAGGATTGAATTCAAACCATATGATGAAGCTATTATAAATTGAGCTAAACTGGGTTCACAAGAGTATAGAGTCAGTCAGCTTGGTGTCAGCTCTTTCAGCCTGTTGTGTACCTTATGCCTTTAAAAACTGAGGTGCCTTTATTGCTGGGATGACTAGATGTAAAGAGGAATGGGGTTTCTGTATCTTGAAATACTTGTAGAATATAAAATCTCAGCAACTATGGTTGTTCTTACCCTGTACAGGCAATGACCAATTTATGCACATTTGATGTGTGCGCAACTGTGCATGCATGCAGAAGTTGGTGGAATGGGGGGGGCATTATGGGCTTATGCATGCTCTGCCATCGTGCACGATGACCTGGCACACAAACCCCACGTAAATTGGGGGTTGTCTATATCAAAATTCACCATCAATATATAGAACGCAAAAGGACAAGTAGGGTTTGTCAATCAATGTTGGTGCCTATTTGTTGAAAATACATAATTGCTCCTATTTCACTTCGTTTTCTGGTGGCCATCCTGATAGATGTAATATCTCAGTGGTATAGGACTTACTTTTAAGTATAGAATTGCACTGTGCAACACACCATGAAAATATTAGTAAGGTTATAACTTACTGAGCCAGCTATTGCTAGTGAATATGTATGTATGTATGTATGTATGTATGCAATTCAAGTTATATTTAACTGCCTGTTGGGCCTGGTTGCACCCTTGGAAACTCTCTTAGTACAAGACCTCTGTCCCAGTAGACATGGAGTAATAAAAAGACTAAAAGTAATAAAAAGACTAAAAGGAACTGGACAGAGTACGTTTTTCTCATTGCCAGGTAACAACAGCCTCCCACACTCATTTGAAATGCAGGGGATGGGGAGGAGATTTCAAGGTGACAGAGTGCAGTTTCTAACCAGACCAGAGCCATCTAACCTGTTTTGAAAATTAAGCATTCTTTGCAGACTTCTGTGTAATGAGAAAACTCTTAATTTTAAAAATTGGCCTTACAAAAGATGGTAATTTACCTGACATGTGCACAGCAGTTGCAAACTGCTCATTTATTCCTGGTACCTCTTCTCCTCTGCCAGGTATTTTGCTAAATAGCCGTTGCCCACAATTTTCAGTCAGGTATATTGTCACCACTCAGTCTGGGGATGGAACTGGCTATTGCTTGTGTGCCAAGTGGATCAAGCCTGAGTAACATCATTCAGGAATCTTTCTTTGCTAAAATGAATGAAAGGATAGCAGATGAACAGAACACAACCTGTGGTCTTCCATTGCAAAGGAATATGAGGACAAATAACCAGCCTAAAAATGAAGGTCCAAAGGTTCCTTGTGAAGAATAAGTCCTGGAAAAGGGGGATAGAGTTCAGAGGGAAGGAATTACCCTATTTAGTTAACTAACCCTAATCCGCACGCTAAGGGGGGGGGGATACTCACAAATAGGATCTTGGCCAGGGAGCCTTGGAAAAAAAAATAGTAAGATGGGAGAATGAAGTGCTGCCCTCAAGTGCTCCCTTTCAAAACCTCTGCTGTGCAGTACCCTCAAAAACCGTGGTTCTTTTTGTGGATTGGTTCTCTGAAATGACATTGAGAGTCAGCTTTGTTTATATACACATGGGCTGATGAGGCACTGCCTCAGTCAGAAATCCAAATGGCTTGGCAGTTCTTCCCTGCCAAGATTCAAGTTTGAATTGTCTCAATATTGTTCTCTGCACCTGCATGGGAACATCTTCCATTTGTATAGGCCCCAAATTTCTGCATGTTTAAGTAGTGAAAGTCTAGATTGCTGGCATTGCTCACCTGCTTCTTAACTCCCCGCCCCCTCGTAAGCAAAAACCTGTTTACACACAAACTCATGTAAGTGTTCTGTTCTGGTTGCTATGCAGTTGCTAAGGTTGAAGACCCAGGTTCCCCCACACTCTCTCTGCTGGCCACTGGCGAATGTCATTTGTGTTTCAGCCTGACCATACAGACTAGGAATTTCATAGCAGGCGCAATAGTCAAACTAGGAACTTTGTGATTCTTAGCCACCACATTATACCAGTTGTTTATTTACTTTTTCTATACCAGTTGTTTATTTTTCATCAAAGTATTATAATCAGATTAGTTAGTGCACTGAAGCTCTGTTCATACATCTAAAATTTAAGTGCTCTCTAGCGCCTTTTATAGTTTAATAATTACAGTTGCGGGACGCGGGTGGCGCTGTGGGTAAAACCTTGCCGATCATATGGTCGGCGGTTCGAATCCCCGCGGCGGGGTGAGCTCCCAGCTCCTGCCCACCTAGCAGTTTGAAAGCACCCTGAAGTACAAGTAGATAAATAGGTACCGCTTTATAGCGGGAAGGTAAACGGCGTTTCCGTGTGCTGCGCTGGTGCTGGCTCACCAGAGCAGCTTCGTCATGCTGGCCACGTGACCTGGAAGTGTCTCTGGACAGCGCTTGCCCCCGGCCTCTTAAGCGAGATGGGCGCGCAACCCCAGAGTCAGACACGACTGGCCCATACGGGCAGGGGTACCTTTACCTTTAATTACAGTTGCATTATGAATAAATGTGTTTATAGAAGGCATTAACAATACAAAAAAGCTTATTTGTTTTGTCCTCTAGAAGCCAACTCCAAATCCCACCCCAAATTTTGATTTGGTTCAAGTTTCTGGCAGGGGAACACATTTTTTTGGCTTGCAGTTATACTATTCATGTTACTCATATTCAGTCAGGAAGTAAACACAACCAGCTGGGGAATGGCAGTTCTAGACTGGTCAGATATTATTTTGTTTGGCACTGAATTATTGCAATTTTATTACTCATAGCCAATGCATTGGGAGGAATAAAACCTGGTAAAATCTCCAGTTGCAAGTGGAGGTTTTTCCATCTTCTAAAGGTACAGTATTTAGGTTACCTTAGAAACCCAGATTTTTCAGAGTTACACTTTCTTTCTTACTGTATTTGAAATGGGGAGCTTTCCTCTCCTAGACAAAAATGAGGGTTTGAGTTGTTGCTGCTAACAAATCGTACCCTTTTAAGTATCTTCCTCCTAAGCTGTTAGTTTCTCTAAGCATATTCTCTCTGAGTTTCTTTGAGTAATATGGACTCTGTCTCCTGAGTTTTCTAAAAACAGCTTTCAGCTATTGCAAAATAAAACAAGGGATTCTCTGCATCTGGTACAAAAAAAGTATATGATCCGAGAGATGTGTTCCTGTGTTATCTGCAACACCAGAACCTTTCCTGTAGTGAGTCTCTCCCATAGTGAGGATCATATCCCTAGTCAAATAATCCTGACTATTTGCTAATGGCAAAGCTGTCTGGCTAGTATGCCGTTTATATTCATTTAATTTTCTGCTATTCACACCCTTCATTGTTTTTAGCAAAATGATTATTAAAAAATGTAAACAGCAGTTGATTTCGTAAAGTTATCCTATTGCTATCTCCTTTTGTTTTTCTTTAGAAGTTGTTGGATTCATCATTAGAAACAAAAAGTAAGCAATGGATGGTCATATCAGGATCCGAAGCAGTCATAGGATGTCAAGGGTACCAGTGAGAAAGGTGAAGTCTTGTTCTTTTGGCTATCCTGTTGTTGAATAAATCTATCTTGTACTGTCTTGTAGCCATGATAAAGGTTTGACATAATATTTCATATTATGTTACATTCTTGGCTTTTCAAATATCCATTCATCTGCAACTAGACCTAACAGTCAGGAGTACCTTTACCTTTACCTTTAGACTGAATTGAGTGTATGTACACATCTAGTTACCTGGCGTAAAACCTGAATCTTAAAAGGCTAGAAAAATATATGGTGTGTTTTCATTTCCTGTTTTCTTTTTCCAGAGCTTTGGTGAATGTTCAATGCCTCCCATGAAGGCATTGTTGCAAAGTGAAAAAGAATTATGCACAGTATCAGCAGAAGAGTTGAAGGCAGAGAAAGACAATTTCAATGAGGTTTGGCTTTGTTTTTACACATCAGGTTTTTAAAAAATAAATTTGAAAAATGCTTTTCACTTACATCCATGCTAGCAAATATTGATTTTATGCTCACTATAAAGACATCATAAATGCGTGCTGCTTGAGTATACTACTAGCAGTGGAGGCTTGTGGTATGTTTTGTATAATTAACTAGCAACCTTGTAACTGATGTTGCTTGGGAATTCTAAGAAGCAAAAAATCAGTGTAGTTTTGAAAGGTGTGGCCTGCTATCTTGATTCAAAATGATATCTATATAGAATTGTAGAGATGTGCAACTAACCTCTGCTTAAAAATCTCAAATGAAGGAGAGTGTACCACCATATGAGATAATCCATTCCACCGTCAGATGGCTCTTACTGTCAGAAAGTTCTTCCTAATACTTATTCAGAATCTTCCTTCTTATAACTTGAATCCATTGGTTTGTATCCTACTCTCTGGAGCAGGAGAAAAGAAGATTGCTCCATCGTCCATGTAATAACCCATTGCTATTTGAAGATGCCTATCATATCTCTACTCAGTCTCCTCTTTTCCAGGCTAAACATACCCAACCCCCTCAACTACTCCTTATAATGCTTGGTTTCCAGACCCTTAATCATCTTGGTCAGCCTCCTCTGCACATGTTCCAGCTTGTCAATACCCTTCTTAAATTGTGCCCAGAAATGGACACAGGACTCCAGGTGTGGTCTGACCAAGGCAGAATAGAGTGGTACCATTAATTCCCTTTATCAGGACTACACTTCTGTTGATGCAGCTTAGCATAGCATTTTGTAGATCTTATATTCTTGGTGGACTACATGGAGGAATTTAGTAGACCTTACATACTTGGCAATGTTTGAGTTCCAACAGATATTCAACAGATATCATTCTGAGTGTTTGGTAATCTGCTGTAGTAAGGGAGCATCCAAGTCTTCAGTCTAGCTTTGAGGAGTGTAGCAGACACCCAAAGTAAGGAAGGTCACTGTTGTTTCCCTCTCTTACAATTTTTACCCAAATATTCCATGCTCCAGGTCATAGGTATCTTCACATGTGTACACATCATTCTTATATAATGCTATTCCTTCTCCTTCTCCCTTCCTGCTTGCTCTATTCTTTTTGAGCAGGTTTCTACATCCCAGTCGTGAGTCTCATCCCACCAGGTTTCAGTAATGCTTATTAGGTAATATTTGCTATCCTGTAGTAAAAACTTACTGTAGTAAGAATTCAGGGGACACGGGTGGCACTGTGGGTTAAACCACAGAGCCTAGGGCTTGCAGATCAGAAGGTCGGCAGTTCGAATCCCCGTGACGGGGTGAGCTCCCGTTGCTCGGTCCCTGCTCCTGCCCACCTAGCAGTTTGAAAGCACGTCAAAGTGCAAGTAGATCAATAGGTACTGCTCTGGCGGGAAGGTAAATGGCATTTCCATGGGCTGCTCTGGTTCACCAGAAGCGGCTTAGTCATGCTGGCCACATGACCCGGAAGCTGTACGCTGGCCCCCTCGGCCAATAAAACAAGATGAGCGCCGCAACCCCAAAGTTGGTCATGACTGGACCTAATGGTCAAGGGTCCCTTTACCTTTTAGTAAGAACTCAAATTCGTCTTGCTTGTTTCCCATGCTGTATGCATCAGTATAGAGAAAACTGAAACCATGAGTTATTCCATCCAGCAGCTTCCTTCTTGTCTTTTCTACCCATTAGTAGGTTCCTGTCGCACCATTCCTGTGAAGTCTCCATTACCAGGTTTCCCCTGTTGTCTGTAATATTGTCTCCCTCCCTCTCAGGATTTAGTTGAAAGCTCTCAAGATCAGGTTCACAAGACTCTTAGAAAACACATTGTTGCCAGTCACTGTCTTAATAATAATAATGTACTGTGAGGTGCAATAGCAGAAACCATGGTCCGAGAAGCCATATTTTTCCCAACAACAACACCAGCACAGCCAGTTTTTTCTTTCTAGTATTTTCCTCTCTCCTCCTGGGTCACGACCTTCAACAGGAAGGAGTGATGAAAAAACCGCCTGTACTCCTAGGCCCTTCACCTTCCTGCCCAGAGCCTCATAGTCCCTTGCTGCATGTTGAAGGCTGTGTCTGTCAGTATCATTTGTACCCACATGAATCAGAAGGAAAGGGTAAAAGTCAGCAGGCTTTATAAGACTTGGCAACTTGTCTGTCATATCTTGACTCTTTTTACCTGGAAGACAGCACACCTCCCAGGATATCCTGTTTCCTCTACACACTGCTGCCTCTGTCCCCCTCAGTAAGGAGTCACTTTTCCACCACCACTTGTTTCTTCCTCCTCTGGGAAGTGGCAGGAATAGTGCTGAACATAGATGAAAACCTGCTCCTTGATAACCAGGTTATGATACCTTAAGAGGAATCCAAATGCATTGTGAGCAGACAAATAACCTTCCATTATAATGTTGTGGGGAAAGTTTTGCATAGTGAATATTCAAAAACTTATTCTAAAAATAAAACTAAATAATAAATTGGAGTAAAGAACAATTTTCAGATTTTTAAAAATACTTACTGAAGAATTGAGTGTAATCAAACAATTGCTCAGTCTCCTGGTCTGGGTTTACCCTGCTGAATTGCCTAGGTAAGGGTAAGATTCCTGGCTGAAGCACAGCAGTATCTCTTGGAGCTTCTTTGCCCACTGTTTTCCTTGTCATTTTTTGCAGGTGACATACAAGGGTGTGTGTCGGGGTTATGCATACCCCTTCAGAATCTCAGATGCACCACATTTGGTTATTATGTGACCCATGTACACCTCGCAGAAAGGTACTGGGCAGCCAACTTCTGTCCAGTGCCTCATTGCATATTAATAACAGAAATAGTATGCACTTTGGGTATATGGATAAGTAATAAAGTACATCCACCCATCTCCTGGTAAAATGTGTCTTATATCTGTATAGTTCTACATGTATATAGTGTAGAATTGAAAGCTTTGATATAATTCTATTTGCTTATATAACATATATGTATTTCTATTACAGGTCACATTTTTGTGCTTTGCTGATGAGACAGCTGTTGCTCCTAAGGTATGGTGTGTGCATAAGATATCTTAGTTGACTGGCAGAGAAAACTGGGAAAGCATCATGATATATGCCCCCTGGTTATACTCCAGCACATTAACCTCTGCATCCAAACCTTGTTTGGAGGTGATTGGGAGGCGCTGTGGTCTAAACCACAGAGCCTAGGGCTTGCCAGTCAGAAGGCCAGCGGTTTGAATCCCTGCGATGGGGTGAGCTCCCATTGCTCGGTCCCTGCTCCTGCCAACCTAGCAGTTCGAAAGCACGTCAAAGTGAAAATAGATCAATAGGTACCGCTCCGGTGGGAAGGTAAACGGCGTTTCCGTTCGCTGCTCTGGTTCGCCAGAAGTGGCTTAGTCATGCTGGCCACATGACCTGGAAGCTGTACGCCAGCTCCTTTGGCCAGTAAAGCAAGATGAGCGCCACAACCCCAGAGTCGTCCGCGACAGGACCTAACGGTCAGGGGTCCCTTACCTTTAAGGCCCTTTAAAGGAGGCTAAGCCTAGTAGAGGTAACAAGCAGGCATCATGCAGCACCATTGATGTCACCCAAACAGCAAACACGACCCACAAGGCATGCTCGACATGCACACCCTACATATAGCCAATCTCAGGCGCACACTGTAAACAAACATGTCAGCATCCCCCCGGTGAGACACAATTGAAGCCCCCACAAGCACCCTAAGCGCTCCCAGATGCCACCCACTCTTCATGAATATGAATGAAACATGACCACACACAAAAAGACGCTGAAGGAAGGTTTGTTGCAAGCATGGAAGGCGATACAAAGCTCAAACGGTACATCCTGCGAACAGTCCCATTGGGCGCAGCAGTGGAGGAGACAGCTAGCATGGACAGCTGGCAGTCTGCTCTTTCACCACCACCTCTCACACTTCCTGGCACTGTCTCTGGAGGCAGGGAAGCCCCCATGAATGGCAGCAGGTGGGGGCTGGCGGAGAGCAGACTTGGGTTGGTGGAGTAGCGCACCGTTTGTCCCAATCAATCACTCTCCTCTGCTGCTGTGTAAAAGACAAAATAGTAGTAGTAAGTCGTGTTACTGTTAGGTAACACTTTTTAATGCTATATGATCCTTAATTTGGGGAAACACAGCAGATGGGTGGGGTATAAATAATAAAATATTATTATAATCTCCTTCAGTCTTTAGTATTCCCATGATAGAAATACAGCAGTTCTCTTTTTCTAGAGGGAACCTTAATTTGAAATGGTGACTGTACAAAATTCCTAGGGATGAAAAGGGCATTTAGCTTAGTCTACTTCTGTGCTATAGGAGCACTCAGACATGCCTCAGCATGCCAGAAGTGTAAGTAAGTGTAAAAGTATAAACAGCCTTTGCCTTTAAAGCCCTGAAAGGTCTGGCATCAGAGCATCTCATGAACTGGTTTGGAAATTTCACTTGGCTTCTGAGGCTCCTCTTGCAGTCCCTCTTACAGGCAGTGTTTGGGTTGGCGTGAACAAGAGCCTTTTCAGTTGTGGCACCCAGATTAAGATGTGTTTCCCATTTTTAAGAAGGTACTTTAGTTGGTTTTGTTTCAGTTGGCATTGTTTAGTTATGACCTTTAAGGAGTCATTGTTTTATTGTTTCTGTCTGCTTTGTATTGATTCAGTTGTCTGTGCTTTTCTATTTTAAATTCCTTTCATTGTTGTTTTATTGTTAGCTGCCTTGTGAGTGCATTATGGAAAAGGGCAGTGTATACATTTTATAATAAAATAATTGGAATTGCTTGTAAATAAAACAGGATTCCAGCACTGTGGAACTATGTCCGGGTGAAAGAACGCTAGGCTGAGTTTGCCACAAGTCCTCTGACATTAAAGGAAAGTTTTCCTAGCATGAGTGTATTATTCTCTGTGTTTGGTTTAGGAATTGGCAGCCATGTCTGTTGAGCTCCCAGATCTTCTGAAATCCCTCCATTTGTGCACTTTACATGAAAATGATGTCATTTTTCTAAAGGATATTCATAAACCATTGGAGACCAGTGTTCTTAAGCAGAAGGTAAGAGAGATTTAAAATACATAAATGTATGATTGGTGGTATACTTCATTTAATTTGCCTTTCAAATTAATTGTATTCACGTGATACAACATTCTGAATATAAAATATGAAATCTGTGTGTGCATTACTCAGTTCTACAAATTGTCAAAGGCTGGGAGTGTTGCTAAAAAAGTTAAAAAGTTAAAAGTCAATATTTTGATGATGGAAACTTGTCAATAGTTTTTTTCCTCATTATACTCAGGGAATATGCTTTTCATTTTTTGAAATTATTAGCAGAAACTTCACTTTATTTTCTTAACTGATGTCACTGCAGTTTAGAAAAGAAGGAATAATCTTTGAATGGGTAAAATTACATTTTCTCTCTCTTTCTCTTTCTCAAGAATTACCCCTCACGGATTCTGTGTGTGATGAAATTGTCTCCATCATTTGCGAGACACGAAGTGGATTCTTTATTTACTTTACTAAGTAAATATTCTGCTGGTATAAGATGCACTGTGGAAATACGCTCATTGCAGAAGCACCTGTCCATCATACCCCATGCTGAGGATGATGATACTAATCAATCAGTGTCATCAATTGAGGATGATTTCGTTACTGCGTTAGAACATTTAGATGAAGATGAGCCCACAAAAATGATAAACTCTGGTTAGTGTTCCTGCAATATTCTGATAGCATAAATAAGTTGGGATTTAAAGGGATTGAATACCATGATTAGCTTTTTAAAAGTGAAATACTTGTATATACTGTAGTCTATTGATTTCTGTATCTTTTATATATATATATATATTTAAAAAAACCTATCAAGCAATACTAGCCCCTGTGATGAACTCTGATTTTTTGGAATGACCCATCTAATAAACAATAATAGACTGTGCTTGCTCAGATTTTGTAAATCTTGTGTAATCTCTGGCCTTTTTCTTGAAGCAACAGTTTGTGATTGCATAAATATGAGATGTTCTTAAAGTAGAATCCAAGCTGTCAATCTAAATTATCAGTCTTACCCTTTTCTACTAAAGGAGATGTATAAGTTGTTGATACTTTAAGATTTTAGTAGCTTCTTAAGTAAAGATGGGCAGGTTCTTTCCATCTCACCACAGAGGTGATCGAAGCTCTTTTTCAACAAAAATGGAAGAACTTTACATTTTCTGAGACACACAGAGGACTGTCCCCAAAACAGCCTCCTCTTCAGTGCTCCTCTCCTCCAAATATCATTTTGCCTTTCTCTTATCTGGCCAGCAGAAGGGAGGAGAGAAGTCTGTGTCGTCTCTCTTGCCCAGTTGTTCTGATACATCCTGCTGAGCCAAACCATGGCTTGACATGAACATATAGACTATAGGAGAGGAGTCTGTAGCCACTTTCCTCCATCGTGGTCTTTCTGCTGCGCCATGCTGAATGAAGCCATAGTTTGGCTAGGTATGACATCTGAACCTGGGCTCCTGGTTTATCTCTTTCCAGACTAACCACGAGCTGTAAACAAAGGTTTTCCTATGGTTTGTGGCTCATTGTTTGTCTGGGAGAGCTAAACCACAAGCCCAGGTCTGGATGACACGCTATGCCAAATCATGGCTTAGCTCAGCATAATGAAGCAGCAAAACAACCGGGGAGAAGCAATGTAGCTATGAGCTCCTCTCCCAATGCCCAGCACTCATTCATGTTAAACCATGGTTTGGCTTAGCATGACATGTGAACTGGACCACTGTGTAAACTGTGCACCAGGTAGACAGAGGAAATGGGAGCAGGGCAGACCTCCCTGTGCAACACAGGTGTCTCTGGTACTGGCGCCATTGGCCAGGTAAATAAAGGGAAGCGGGAGTCGGGGGATCGGGTCATTTTGGACATGGGAAATGCTGGTCAAGAATAAAACAGGAATTCTTATGTGGCCAAGATTTATGCTCGCTTCATACTCAAGGTGGGCTTTTCCAAGCCTTCAGAGTTCTTCGAGCCCAACTTGGGAGAATTTCACTGACAATTCTACTTCTTATCCTGTTCATATTTACTTGGGAATAAACCCTGTTGAATGAAATAAATCTTACTTTTGAGTAAACATGAATAGGATTGGGCTGCCCAATCTTTGATCAGACCAAAATTCAAGTACATTTTATGCTATTAACCTATTTCTGCTACAGCTGCAATCTTTTGCTTTCAGACGTACTGTATGTTAACTATTCCTTTCCCTCCCTGTTGGCACAGGCCAAGTTACACCTGAGAAACTTCAAGATGCTGCTTTGCAGACCATCTCTGTTCAACGTTTGGAATCTCTTGATCCAAAGTTTCATTTTCTACATCGGAAGCCATCTGTCAAGTCATCAACTTCTCTAGTTAACATCTTGGAATTAAAAGAATTGTCGTCTTCTGTAAGAAATTCTGTCACAACTTCTGTTTCGGATCCTTGGCTGCAGAGGAGTTTCTTCAGGCCACAGAATTCTTCTGATCAGAATGTTAACGTTTTATGTAAAACACTGTTTTCTTCCTCTCCTGCTGAATCCTCAGAGTCAGATTGTTCTAGCCCAAGCCCTATTATTTTCTTAGATGAAGAAGGGTATCAGAGAAGCCTAAAGGCAAAACTTCAGCTACCAAAAATCCCAGTAATGAAAGATGGCATAGAGGATTCAGACTCTGAAGTAAGTGAATTTTTCGATAGCTTTGACCAATTTGATGAACAAGAACAAACATTGGAGAGTGGTTGTAAACATGCTAGGGGTCCTGTCCTTCAACATCCATCTCATATGAAAATGATTTCGCATAAAAAGCCACGCTCTGCAACCGCTGCAATGAATCCTCAAAGGTTCAAGGTTGATCATCCCACTCTTCCAGCCAATGTGAGGAAGCCAACTCCTCGCAAACCAGAATCTCCATATAGCAACCTCTTGGATGTTCCTGATTCCCCTCGGCCATTGAAAACATCAGGGGATGACAGTGGAGGCTTGTTCAGCCCTATCAGATCTTCAGCTTTCAGTCCATTAGGCAGTTGTCTTTCAACAGAGTGTCCTTGTCAGTTGGGTGTCAGTAGAGATGCCATTAACCAAAAGCACAATCTGGTTTGTCACCCATACTCAGATTTTGCAAATAATATTTCCTTTGAAATCTTAGGTTCGGTCTTTAATTCCAGATCTCCATCATCATGTAGATGCACACAGGAATTTTCTAACAGTAATAGGATTGTCTCAAAAGAAGAAACAGCCCAGTCAGCAAAAACCCAAGGGGAAACTTCTGGAAAAGAATTAGATAACAGACAAAAATCTAAATGCAAATCACTAATGATTAAAGACCACATCCAGAAATTTGCATCAGAGCTCGTTGAGAAGAGTTTTGGCAGTGCTTTTAAAGATCTTCAGAAAGGTGTTTCTTCGTGTACTAATGCACTCTGTCACTTGGCTGCAAAACTGACTTCTTCAATCTTTCAAATGGCTTTTTATGAGATTGGGAGGCAGCAAGCTTTTTCACTGAAGAAGAAAGCTATTAATGGACTAGCAGGCTTTTTGGTGAGTGAAGCGTTAACAGGTGCTTTAAAAGAGCTACATTCTGTAAAGCAACAAATATTTACCAACACAGTTGCAAAATTTGCAGCAAACCTGGCTGAGGAACTAATTTTTGAGGGGATCATGGAAGTGTGCCAGTTTTCACACCCATCAACTCCTACAACTTTTCAGAACTGGTCCTTCCATTGTGATGATAAAGTTATACAGTCATATTCCAAAGACTTGTCTGAGTCGGTTATTCAGGAAGCTTTTATTGAGTTATCACAGGTTGAGGTGGAATTTACAACACAAGCAGCTATTAGTATTTCCACGGACAATATAAAGTACATAGGTGCAGAAAGTAGTTTGGAGTCAACACAGGCCTCCAATGCTTCCTCTGAGTTTCATGATCAAGAACCAGTAGCCTTGAATTCAATACAGGAATTCAGGGAGGAATATACTGTCCATAAAGCTTTGTTCTGTACTTCTGGCATTGCAAGTTCAATCCCGGTGCCCTTAGCTGGAAGCATACTTTGTCAAAATCAGATTTTATTTAATGACATACAGGTAAGGAAACATTCAGCGTCAACAGGCAGTCTGAAATTTTATAAAAAATCAGCAGAGCGGTGTTGTGCAACACAAAAAAGACAAGATGAAGTGACATCAGTTAGAAATGTTTACTTGATGACAGATAGCAGTCAGAACAGTGAATATAATGCACATATTGTATGTACACAAAGTGACTTTAAGCAAGCAAATAGCCATGAAGTCAGTAAATTTTCAGACTTAACAACTAGGATGCCAAGTGTCAGTAATTTTTCTGGAACAATGGTAGATATGATTGTAACGGAGGCATATGAAGCAGTAACCTCTTCCAAGACATCCAAAAATGCAGAGCAATACACAGAAATACTAAAACTGGATAAAACGTCATATTTGCCATGCATTGGTGAAGATGCCTGTGAGAATATGTTTGCAAATTATTTAGCCAAGCGAATAGTGAAACAGTCTGTAGATGAGACTAAATCTGCATGTTCTGTTACCGGTGAGAAATTAGCATACTGTGTGGGATTGGGAACCAGTAAAAAAAGCAATAGGAAAGAATTGCATAGTGCAATAAAAGCATCAGAAACAAACAAAAGTATTCCAGTAATTGTAGGGCAGCAGCAGATGCCCTTGAACAGCTCATCTAAATTTCATGTATCGCCAGTTTGCACTAATAGGTGTCTGCTTTCAGGATCTAAAGATGGCATTCAGGTGAAAAAGAGACATATGGGTTGCAGGACTTCCACATCCACGTCATCTCCTTGTTCTGCAATGACTTTTGTGAAGCCTGCTGAAGAGTTTCCAGATGCAGAAAGCTGTTCAGCAAAATCCTTAAGCAACCCCCTGGGAAAACACAGCACATACAAATCAGCAGGGCACCCTGCGCTTTGCTCTACATTTGGTCCTGAAAGAACTTTTCCTAGCATTAATGCCTTCACTTCTGTGGCAACTAACGGTGAAGATACATTTCAGATGGAAGACAAATTGAGTATCAGAGATGAAACTCCTTGTGTCCTACCAGACACACCTCCACCGACACCTTTAATAGCAACCCAAACGAGTTCAGAGTGGAATTTAAGAAAGCTATCAAAGAAACTGAAAGGTGAACTAGCAAAGGAGTTTGCACCCGCGACGCCCCCTTCTACCCCTTACCGATCAGAAACCGGTGGAGTATATGAAAATGAACGTCATGACTTAGAAAAGGAAGAGTTCATGTTGAAACTGATGCGGTCTCTCTCTGAGGAAGTTGAAAGCAGCGAAGATGAAGAGCATTGGCCTATAACATTGAACGAGAGAATGAAAGCATCAGGAAGGACAACAGAATATGCCGATCATCTAGCCACTCACATAATTGCTGTGGCAACCGAAATGGCTGCTTCACATTTAGATTATAAAGCGGTTCAAATGGAGAATAATAAATGCTTTCAAATAAGTGCGGAAAATAAAAGATGTGGGCATAGTGGATTTGTGAATGTTTCAGAAGCCAGCCTACATTCGTTGTTGGTTTATGCTGGTAATATGGCTGGAAAGGTCATTAGTGAAGCTAAGAAAATAGTTGAATCCAAACATTGCACGCTTCTAAGGCTGAAGCAAGTGAACTGCGGGACAGATGGCGTTCGTCCTAAAAGAAACACTCATAAATGCTGGTCCAAAGACATGAGGTGTCCCTGGGCAGACCAGGGGTCTCGAGAGACAGACTCTTCTATACTCTCTCTACCCCAGCACCCAGAAGCTCCAGGTCTGACCTCTAAATATCCAAGTTGTGAGAGTGTAACTGATGAATATGCAGATCACATAATTCGTATTCTGAAAAGAGAAGGTGGCCACAGTGAACTGATAATGGATCAGTTTGCCAGTAGACTTGCTTACAGATCTATAAAATCTGGAATGCAGGAAGCTGCTGGGAAACTCAGGATGAAGTATAAAAGTAAAATAGCTCCCTCCGAGGGCTCAAAGGTAAACAGTAAGGCTGATCCGAGTGTGGATGGAAAGAAACAGAAAAAAGGTAACATTTGTCATTTGGGGCAGCAAGCCTGTGGAAACAAATGTAGCACACACAGAACTGAATGTACAAAGTTGCTAGATTTTTCAGAATCCCTTGCTTGTAGCATAACATCTGATGTCAGAAGAAAAATAATGAGAGGAGCTTGTCTGTCAAAATCTTTAACTGATTCCTGTTTGTATAAAAAATCTAAGAACGATCAAGTCACTGATCTTAAAGCAACATTTTCTAAAGCACTTTCTCCTTTCTGTTGCAAACAAAAGCTTTATCATAGTACAGGCAGTTTAAATGAACCTACCTACAGAAATGGCATTATTCATGCCATTGAACAGTATGCCAGGAAGGTAGTAGATGACACTTTAGAAGCTAGCTTGGAATCTGCTACGCTGCAAACTACTGAAAACTGGACAAATGGAGATAGAACAACATATGCAGAAAAGTTGTCTCCATTTTCTGCAACAGCCTGCAGATACTGTAGTATGAAGGAGCATCAATACTGTGCTGGAAGTTCATCTTTGCAGCTGACTCGGCAAGAACTCCACTCTCAAGTTCATCAGGTTCCCAGAATAAGTGGAATCTGTCCTAAATCTCACATTCTTCACCTGGATATTCCAAAAATTCATATTAATATGGATGAGAAGGTAGTATTTGCTGAAAATGTGGTTGCTACAGTTTTTGACAAAGCAGAAAGGCAGCTTAGCAACACAAGTTTGACAGCGGATAGTGGAATTGGCCAGGATGGAATCAGCTTTGCTGAAAGCCTTACTACAGAAATAATGACTTCCTGTATGACAAACATTAGTCCACCTGCCAACATAAGGTAAAGTTCAATTATTTTATATTGCTTTTAATATATGTAAGGTGCTGAAAACTATATGCATTTTTCAGTATTAGTACAATTTTAATTTATGCAAGAAAGTCATAAGAATGTATCTTTTCGTTTTGTGATAAAGCCTAAAAACAAGGGCATTTAATAGTATTGCCATGGGAAGTAATTGTTTACTGTGTTCACGAAGGGTGCTAGGATTTAAGTAAATTTAAAATGCAGAGTATAAGCTTAAGAGTATTTGTCGTCTTTCAGGTTTGGCCAACTTTTTGTTTCTCGTTTTTGCTCCAACATAAATGTAGAAGCCATTGTGAAGCATAAATGGTAGAAGATAAAACATCACTGATTTCTGCTAAGTCAGATGCAGGTTTGGATAACCTTTTAGGTGGCGGCGGAGAGATACATGAAGCATCAAATTAAAGCACAGAACATGTAGTTACATAGAAAATAGTATTGCTGAGCTACTCATAAATCCTAACAAATTTGATCAAAGAAAATCCTGAGGTAAACAGAAGCTGATTTTGAAACTTCTGTAAGTGTTGGCTGTGAAGGTGGAAATGATCCTTCCCTGGTTATGTGAATACTGTTGAAGCTGTTTCCCTTATCTTGCTTCCAAATTTATCATTAAAATAGAAAGCACAGTTTGTTATATGTTGTTGGTTTGTCCATTAATAATACAGCTTAGGAACTTCAGTAGAATCCACTTTTGTCCCTTAGTTGTTGTATGTTTCCTGCGGTTCCCATGGTAGAAGAAATATTTTCTTAGAAGAAAAGTCATTGTGTCCAGTGCTCTGCATGTGCATGTGTTGCTTTATAGCTGCAATCTACTGATTAAAGAAAAAGCATCTCATTTTACACCAGGCAAAAACATTCCTCTTCTCCCAGGCCTTTGGCTAATTAAACAATGGAGGGCGGGTATTATTTTTGTTTGTTACTATGTTATGAGAGCTAGAGAGAAAAGAGTGTGCAAACTGCCCTGTGATCCTTGGATAAAGGACAATATAAAAATTTAATTACCGTATTTACTCGAGTCTAATGTGCCATCGAATCTAATGTGCACCTAGATTTTCACAACGTAATTTGGCCAAAAAAGTGAGGATTAGATTCAAGTAAATACGGCAATTAATTAATTAATTAGTAATTTCTGTCTGACCAGACAGTAGTCAAAAGGAAGTGAGGTTGATCACTGGCAAGGTCAGTAGCACCGCAGAAACTATGTTAAATGCCTAATGAAGATAGACGTATTTAAAGAAATAACAGTATGAAAGATGACATTAAAATGTGACTGAACTTGCTAGTAAATTAGCTGGAATCCCTATTCTAGGCATAGTTCCTTATTATACAGTTTAGTACCTCATTATTATTTTTTAAATGACCCACTGTGATATGAAACCAGTCTCATTCTTTTTGAAAAATATACAGTCTCGATAAATTTAGGTGATTCACTTGGTAGAAATGATTCTGGAGGTTTAGCAAAATGTTTTATTTTCTTTTTCAAATGAAGGCATCTTTGATCTTGTTGAAATAGTTTGTGTGTGTGTTTCTGTATGTATTCTTTATCTGATTTGTGCACCACTGTATTACCACATGTGATCCCAGGGTGGTTTATAAACATAGCTACTTATACATTAAAACTATAAAAACTATAAAAACACAGTATAAGAAATTTAAACCAGATTAAAATAAAATAAAATAGGCATACCACAGGCAGGAATTTCTCAGTTGCAGGTGGTCAAAACCCAATCAGCCACCCCCAAAAAACTTAGGTAAAAATATACGAATTTAGCTGGTGCCAAATACCATAACAAGGTACATCTGAGGCCGTGGTGGGGAACAGGATCCCAACCTCCTTCTGTCCCTGTAGATAGGTGAGTAGGGTTGCCTACCTGTCTCATTTTCATGACATCATTTTTACTGTATTTTTTGTTTCTATGGAAGCCGCCCAGAGTGGCTGGGGAAACCCAGCCAGATGGGCGGGGTACAAATAATAAATTATTATTATTATTATTATTATTATTATCATTTTTAAAAATCATTTTTATTAAGAATTTTCAACATAAAAGACAATAAAAGCCAAACTAATCTAAAGAAGATAAATAGGAAAGAAACAAGAATACAGTCATACCTTGGGTTGAAGTATTCTTCAGGATGAATATTTTCGGGTTGCGCTCCGCGAAGACCCGGAAGTAATGGAGCACGTTACTTCCGGGTTTCGCCACTTGCGCAGATGTGGCGAAACGCAGCACACGCAGTCGCGTGTTACATTCGCTTCAGGATGTGAACGGGGCTCCGGAACGGATCCCGTTCGCATCCAGAGGTACCATTGTATGCAAAAGAAGAGAATAAAGGAAGAGAAGAGAAAGAAGAGAGAATAAATATCGGACCCTCTATCCCAATTATATCTTAATCCTTATTCCACACACAGAAAAGTCAATCCTCCCCACTCTCGCCTGGGAGCTTCCCCTTCTTCCCCCAGGCTCCCACCCTCAGAGATCCTTTCACCTTCCTTCCGTCACCTTAGTGTGTATCTTCATTAATCCACGATAGGTAAAGGTAAAGGTACCCCTGCCCATTTGGGCCAGTCTTGCCAGACTCTAGGGTTGTGCGCTCATCTCACTCTATAGGCCGGGAGCCAGCGCTGTCCGCAGACACTTCCGGGTCACGTGGCCAGCGTGACAAGCTGCATCTGGCGAGCCAGCGCAGCACACGGAACGCCGTTTACCTTCCCGCTGGTAAGCGGTCCCTATTTATCTACTTGCACCCGGAGGTACTTTCGAACTGCTAGGTTGGCAGGCGCTGGGACCGAACGATGGGAGCGCACCCCACCGCGGGGATTCGAACCGCCGACCATGCGATCAGCAAGCCCTAGGCGCTGAGGTTTTACCCACAGCGCCACCCGCGTCCCATATCCACGATAGGAAACTTCAATAAACAAAGCATAAATATAGATAAAATTTATGGAGAGAAAACAAAAATTAAAGATCATAGAAAAGGAAGATAAAAAGAGAAATAAAGAAGAAGAAGAAAAAGCATCTTTTGATTTTCTGTCTGACAATTATGTAAATGACAATTGTTCAAGGTATTCAGAGTATGCTTTCCAAGTAATCTCCAGCCGTTTTAGGGTCCAGCTTTCTCTCAGTCTGCTAGGTGTTGTTTTCTCAGTCTTCACTCCCAGGCACCTCAGGTCCACCTTTTTTCACTCAAAAAGTCCAAAAGTAACTCTTCAATTATAATTGTCATTAAGTGTCCAGAATAGCCCTTCTCTAGTCCAGTATGATGGATTTCTCCCCATGGGTTCTGACACATTTTTATAGTGTAGTAGTCCATGCTTATTTGCTTGTTATGTCTTCATTCATTCGTACTCAGTTCTCTATATTCCAGTCCCATTTCCTGCTGTCCAAGCTTCATCCTGGTTTAAAGAAAAAAGAAAAAGCCTCCACACACACACACACTTCAGTTCTGGCAAAAGAAATGCAAGTAGGCCATAAGAGATGCTTAAAAACAGTTTGAGGAGCATGTTGCTGAAACATAAAGGTCAACAGCAAAAGGTTATTTAAATACATTACTAGCAGAAGACCAGCTGGTTAGGCGATTGGATCTTAGGATGACAGGAGTACCTTGGGTGTGCTAACAGAGGATAAGGAGTTTGCAGAGAAGACAAATGAATTGTTTGCATCTGTCTTCACAGTGGAAGATATGATGTAGATCCCTGTGCCTGAATTGACTTCCATAGATGGAGAGTCTGAAGAACTGATGCAAACAGTGGTGACAAAAAAGTTACGGACTTCATAGACAAAATAAAAATGACAAATTGATGACTCCAGATAGCATCCACCCAAGAGTTCTTGAATAACTCAAATGGGAAATTGCTGATCGTCTAAGAAAAATACGTAACTTCTTCCTAAAACCAGTACCTGAAGACTGGGAAGTAACACATTATTTTATTTTTAAAGGGGGGATTCAGGGGATATCCTGGAAAGTACAGGCCAGTTAGCTTAACATCTGTTCCAGGAAAAGTAGTGGAAAGCATCGCCAAAGATAAAAATACCAAGCATATAGAAGAAACATGCTATGAGAGGTCTTTTGAGAGTGTCAACAAAGCTTACAGATAGAGATGATTTTACTGACGTTATGTACCTTTTGACAAAGTATGCCATATAAGCAGTCACAGAGTAAGAGGAGAGGTCTTCTTGTGGATCAGGAACTCATTAGTTATTGTTATTATTTTATTTATTTATTTTTGGGTTTATATACTGCTTTTCTGCCAAGGCACCCAAGACGGTTTGCAATTTAAACACTTAAGCAATAAGAATATATAATCCAAAGACAGACTGTCTTCTCATGCCAACAGTTAATTGATGGTATGGGTGGTTCCTGAGCTGGGCACCATTGTGTCAGGACATGGAGGTCTTCAGCATCCTCCAGGGAAGGTGGGAGCGGGCAGGCATAGAGAGAGCTGCCACTACAGTTCTCTTGGTTCATAGGAGCTGATGTCATTTGCGCTCCCTGATCTGGACTCATCATCAGACCAAAGGCCCATCTAGTCCAGCATCTTGTTCCCACAGTGAGCTCCTAGATGCCTCTGGGAAGCCCACAGCACTCTTGCACTCACATTCCTCAACATGATACCTTTGTTCCTGTCATTCTGTGATGGCCTGGGACTTGGGCTCGGACTCGGAACCAGAGGAAACTCAGTCTGCACCAGATCCTTTGCCTCAGGCATCACCTGAACCAAGTCTGGGGCCTGATCCTGAAGAGTCCCAGTCTGCACAGATTCCCCTGCAACAAACACCAGCTGGGCCGAGTCAGGGGCCTGAGCTTGCCCTGGCTCCAGATGCAGGGATTACCTCGTTGCGTTCAGCTGGGCCATCACTTACAGCTGCTCCACTACCGGTTTGGTCAGGGGAGGCTGAGGTGGCCCCTGGGTCTAGTAACCTACTAATGTCTCCCTAGCTGCAGAGACTGAGGTCTGAGAGAAGGAGAGACCTGAGTACTCGCAGGAGGAATGCTCGCCTTCGTGCGAAAAAGGGAGGTGAGTCAGGACCAGCCGCTACCCCGACAAAGATAAAAGGCTGTCGGGCCCTGCCTCAGGTTGCGGGAGCAACATTGCTGTATGCAAGATCCTGTACCTGTCCTTGCCTGGTTTCCTGCCTTGACCCTGTCGGACTGACTCCTAGCGGAACCTTCGGATTCTGGACCAGTCCTGGACCATGTTGCACGGGTTACCCCCGGGCCCAGCACACATTCCTCCTGCAGATTCACTGCTCTGTATCAAGATACAGAAGGGGAGCAGTGAGTTAAGAAACAGGAAGCAGGGAGTAGGAATGAATGGACAGTTCTCAGTATGGAGGGAAGTAGAAAGTGGAGTTCTAAAATCAATGAATCAATGAGAAGGGAGTCCAAGATGGATGGGAGTTTCTTAAAGGTGAAATAAAGACTCCAGTGCAGACAATTTCAAAAAGAAAGAAAAGTGGAAGGCATCTACAGAAGCCAGTATGACTGCATAAGGATCTTACAGATAAGCTGAGCTTTAAGAAGGGTATGTATAGGAAATGGAAGAGATGAGAAATCATGAAGGAGGAGAATGCATGAATAGCCAACAGTTGCAAAGGTGAATATCAGGCAGGCTAAAGCTCAGAATGAGCTCAGTCTTGCAAGAGAGGTTAAAAATGATTTAAAAGGTTTGTTTGGCTATGTTCAAATCAAGAGGAACAAGCATGTGGTAGGTCCTCTGTGTAGAAGATGGAGAAATGCTACTAGGTGACAGAGGGAAGGCAGAACTGCTCAACACCTACTTTGCCTCTTGTCTTCACTCAGTAGGAAAGCAGTGCCCAGTGCAAGGAGGGACCTGCAGCCCAAGATAGGAATAGAGGGGGGTAAGAGAACACCTAGCTTCTTTAAACAAATTCAAATCTTCAGGGCCTGATGAGCTGCACCCAAAAGTACTAAAGGAGCTTGCAGATGTAATCTCAGAGCCTCTGTCTATAATATTTGAGAATTCTTGGAGAACAGGTGAGCTCCTTGCAGACTGGAGGTAGGCAAATGTTGTCCTCATCTACAAAAAGGAGAAAAAAGAAGACCCAGGTAACTCCCGACTGGTGAGCTTGACATCGGTACCAGAAAAGATAATAGAACAGATCAGTCTGTGAGCACTTAGAAAAGGATGCTGTGATTACTAAAACCAAGCATGAGTTTCTTAAAAACAAGTCATACCAAACAAATATTTTTCTTTGTTTATTGAGTTACAAGCTTGGTGGATCAGGGGATCCATATGCTGTGGATATAGTGTAACCTAATTTAAGTAAGACTTTTAACAAAGTCCCCATGATATTCTAACAAGGAAGCTGGTAGAATGTGGGCTAGACAAGGCAACTGTTAGGTGGATTTGTAGCTGGTTGACTGACCCGAACCCAAAGAATACTCACTAATGGTTCCTTGTCCTCCTGGAAAAACATTACAAGTGGGGTGCTGCAAGGTTCAGCCTGGGCCCATTGTTGTTCATTTTCTTTATAAATGACTTGGACAAAGCTGTTGATGGGATGCTTATCAAATTTGCAGATGACACCAAACTGGGGTAGCTAATGCCGCAGAAGACTGGGCTCAAACTAACAAAATAAATCTCAATAGGTTCTGCATTTAGGCAGGAAGAACCAACTGTGCAAATATAAGATGTGGGACACCATCTGATTCTATGAATCATAGAATTGTAGAGTTGGAAGGGATCCCGAGGGTCATCTAGTCCAATCCCCTGCAATGCAGGAATCTCAATTAAATCATCCCTTGCAGATGGTCACCTAATCTCTGTTTTAAAACCCCCAAGAAAGGACAGTCCACAACCTTCCAAGGGAGTCTTTTCCATTGTCAAATAGCTCTTACTATCAGAAAGTTCTTCCTGGTGTTTAGTCAGAATCTCCTTTCTTGTAACTTGAAGCCATTGGTTTGATGCTAACCCTCTGGAGCAGGAGAAAACAAGCTTGTTCCATCTTCTATGTGGCAGCCCTTTAGATATTGGAAGATGGTGGTTGTATCTCCTCTCAATCTCCTCTTCTCCAGGCTAAACATAACTCACTCCCTCAACCATTCCTCATAAGGTTTGGTTTCCAGACCCTTGATCATCTTGGTTGCCCTCCTCTGCACACACATTCTGGCTTGTCAATATTCTTCTTGAATTATGGTACCCAGAACAGGACTCCAGGTGGGGATTGACCAAGGCAGAATAGAGTGGTATGATTACTTCTCTTGATCTGGACACTAGACCTAGAATCATAGAATTGTAGAGTTGGAAGGGACCAAGAGCATTATCTAGTCCTACCCCGTGCAATGCAGGAATCTTTTTGCTTCTGTGGATATAGTCTAGAATAGCATTATGTTTTTTTTGTTGCTGCCATCACACTGTTATGTCTATGATTGTTTGGATCATTAATGCAGATTCCAAAGACATGGCGCTGCAGAACTGTGGGCAACTCACTCCGAAGCAATATGGGAGCTGAAAGTGTCTGCTCAGGCTAAACTCCTAGCTGAACAAGCTTGCAGGGGCAATAGAGGGAGCAGAGAGGGAAAAGACAAATTTGGGGCAGGGCTGGCTGTTTGTCCTCTTTTCTGAGAAAGTGTCACGTTCAGAGTAGCAGTTTAAAACTAGAAGAACCAAATGAGCATTTTGAAACTCTAGCTGGCAGAAGATGCTTTGTTAGGCAACTATTCAGTGTTACAGTCTGATCCTGTGCATTCTAAATGAGAAGCAAGTCTCGCTGAATTTAATGGAGCTTGCTCTGTGTAAATATGCATAGGATTGCAGACGAGGAAGAATAATGTGATGAAGAGTCAAAGTTTATAGTCAAGATTTTAGAATGGATGGCAGCTCAAGCTGCATTTGTAATAGGAATGGAGCAGATTTCCCCCTCCCTTTTTAATGCCTACCTTTCCTACATTTTCTACAAACTGAAGGTAGTTGATTTAGGTCTTGATTCATTTTTTAAGCAGTTGGCAGGGAAAAGTTTGTCAAGGAGCTCCTTGCTCAGAGGAAAAAAAGGTCTCCTGCAGCTTTATTTGTGAGGCCGCAGCATCACATTATCTTAATCAGCACATCCACATTCCCCCAGTGGGCAACAGTAGGGGGCGGCAAGAAGCCAAACTGGGAGTGCCATGGAACTATATGCAACACAATAGTGATCCTATCATTTTAATCTTTATCTAGCTCTGTGGGAAAAGAAGGGTTTAATTCTGCTGAATCCATAGTCAGCCAGCAGATGAGTCTCAGCACTGGTGATGACAGCACTGGCAGCTGGTCCAACCTGAGTTTTGAAGATGAGCATCCTGATGAGAATAGCAGCTTTCTCCACCTCAGTGATAGGTAACTAAAATACCTTTTGTACATGCTCACAGCCTTAATGATACGGTTTATCCTTCAGCCCTGCATTTCTTTTAAAGTTTCAGTTTTTACTTGAATTCAGCTTTGGGAAAATATTATTTTCAATAGTCAAAAAGTTAAAACACAAGTAATAAACAAATGAAACTTTAAACACCGTTATGTAAAAAGAAATCTTAAATCAAGCAATTCTTGCCCTTGGGAGCTACCACGGTAATCTTGGTGTTATAAGGGGAAATTAACCTTACATTAAAATTTCACACATGGTTAATTAAACCATGGTATACAAGTGTGACTTCTGAAAATTCCTCAAAATATTATTTGTATGGGATGTGACTTGGTCAGAGTTAAACATTGTAAATAATGTAATGTATGGCTTAATTAATATGTGCCTGTGCAGGAGCAAAACATAAACTCACTGCAAGAATCTCAATGCAGATCAAACGAGGCAATGGAGACTTCTTGTTGACTGGAGTGGTAGAACTACTGTGATAAGAAGAGATCTACATGACACCATTGTTTTAATTCCATTTCTTCATCTATTTCCCCATCATTTCTCTATGCTATCAGTGGAAAACTCAGCCAGTTTTCTGCAGCCTGTAACTTTGGCATTTTCCATCCTGACATTTAGTTGCCCATCCGCAACATCCGACTTCCCAAATATCAGATGAATCATTCTGTAGGCATTTTAAAGGGCACTAATTTTACAAGCAACTTTTAAAAAGAGAACACATCCTTAGTGGAAGGTCCAGCTGCATTTCTCCTACTTATAACTCCTGTTGGCTTGGCATTTCTAGGCAGGGGTGCCCTTACAATATTTTCTGGGCCCAGCATGTGGATTGGGGCCCCTGTTTCCTTTGTAGTCAATGACAAAGTTAGATACAATTTGCATATGCAGTTTGCATCCTCTTTGTGGCTGGGGTGGAGGCCCCAAAAATATATTGGGCAAAACACAAGTAATACTACTACTACTACTACTACTAATTTATTTATATGCCACCCATCTGTCTAGGTTGCCCCAGCTACTCTGGGTGGCTTCCAGCAATTTATTAAACCACAGTTTTAGAACTAAGGTGTCTGACAGACAGAATGTAAACAGATGAAGCTTTCCCCACAATTGTATTTCCATATAATCAAAGTCTTAACCTGCATTTCTGCCTGTCACACTGCTGTTAAAGACACAAGAGCTCTACTTCCCCCCACAGTGCAACTCTTAAACCATCTGCTATCAAGCAGTTACCTTACAGAAAGTCTTTCCTCGGTGGATCTTAGGCTGTCAATATTGTGTTCTAGGGATGGGGAACAGGTAGCCTTCCTGGTGCTGCTGGGGTTCTTCAGCCCAAACCAGCAGGGTCAGGGCTTCGTGGTGATGGGAGTTGTAGCCCAGGAAGATCTGCAGGGCCACAACTCCCCAGCCATATTCGGTGGAAGAACGCTTGTGGTAGGTACTTCAGAGGGGATGAAGATTTTGCGCAGCCCAGGTTCAGATGCCCCTGCTGGATAAATTCAGTTGCAAACTGCTAAAGCAAGCAGTGTATTCTAAGGCGGTGGTTCTCAACTGGTGGTCTGTGTAACCCACCTGGGCGGGGGGAGCTCTGTGGCACCATTCACATAACAGAAACTACCATAGCGAGAACAACATTTTCAAAAGCAGGCGTTCCATGTCTTAGCTGTTGAAAAATGGGGTATTGCAGTACTTAGGTACTTGGGAACCACTGTTCTAGGGGCATCTTTTGTATTTCATAACATTTATTTATTTAAGGTATTTATTATGTCACTTTTCAGGCAGACGACACCGAGCAGTTTACAAAAGATGGTTACAAGCAGTGTGGGTTTTTTAAACGTTGCAATACATTTCAAATGCAGGTGTATGTTAAAGCAAAAGCTGGAACTGCTTCTTCTCTGCTCCCCTCAGGGCAATATGGTTTTCCAGAAGTGTGTGCAGTAGCAACTGGCAGCAGAAGGGGCCCTGCTGTGAACTAGATAGTGGCAACTCAGCAAAGTTTTTTTCTCTTTCTCAGGGAGTGAGATGGTCCTTCAGGGGATGGCAGTTGAGGGAGGGAGCGAGGAGGCTAAAATACTGCATTTTTGCATTGCCGTAACATGCCCTGAGACCTTCTGGTGAAGGATGGGTAAGAACTTTTCCAAATCAGAATAACAACTCTCAATATTATCATCAGCACATAACAAACAATAACACCACCTCTCTTGAGCAAAAAAGGATTTAAGCCTTTGATATCAATATACCAATTGGTTTATACCAGCAGTGACAACACAACCCAGGAATCCCCCTATTTTTCTCCATGGCGAGGTTGCGGGGGGGGGGGGGAGCAATCACTTCTCCCCCATTTTGCTGCTGCAGTCATTTCCCTAACAAGCCAAGAGGCTGGATGACAACACTGGACTGCACCACAGAGTTTTCACATACAGTGGTGCCTCGCAAGACAAAATTAATCTGTTCCGCGAGTGTCTTCGTCTAGCGGTTTTTCCGTCTTGCGAAGCAACCGGATTAGCGGATTAGCGCTATTAGCGGTTTAGCGGCTATTAAAGGCTTATCGGCTTAGCGGATTAGCTGCTAAAAGGCTATTAGCGGCTTAGCGGCTTAGAAAAAGGGGGGGGGAGCGAAAAAAAATCTCAAGACTCGCAAGACATTTTCGTCTTGCGAAGCAAGCCCATAGGGAAATTCGTCCTGCGAAGCAACTCAAAAACGGAAAACACTTTCGTCTAGCGGGTTTTCCGTCTTGCGAGGCATTTGTCTTGCGGGGCACCACTGTACAACTTTCTCTCAGCCCCACCCTTCCCCACTTTAGTATAGCTGCTCTGGTTGCTCACTCACAATGCCCCCCTCTTTATGCAATATGGTTATAGTAATGACGGACTTTATTTGCATTTGTAGGTTAATTTATTTTCCTCCCATGAAAATATACCTGAGTTAGACCATGAACTCCTCCTGCTGTCTATGCTGCTACTCTTTGCCTTTGGGTTGGTGCACAACTACCCAGTCACAGCTACGCTAAAGTCCTGGATTTCTCAATTATTTTCCCAGAACACTATTGCAAGATGAAAGAGCAGCTTCAAAATGAATCAGACAGTCCTTTCTTCATTGTCTGGAGAAGGAACTTCCTGGGTTATTTTGAAGCTATTTGCTGTCCTTTCCTGGTGCATGTGTGACTAAATCAGGGACAGCTCTGATTTCACATTTTGGCTAAAAACACTTGAAAAGTGGGAAAAGGCTCATTTCTCACAAAGCAAGTAACTAAAAGAGTGCCTGCACGTTAACAACTCATAATAAGCTATCTTTGGAGTATACAAACATAAAATTAAACCATTTCTTAAATATACACTCGAAAGAACAAACAAACCTGACCAGTGAAGGATAAAGAGTTCTTGTGGGTTTGTTATCTGTGAATGACAGTTTTCATAACCAAGTGTGACCATTCACATATGAGCTGGTGCTAAGGATGACTTAGATCATTGTTTCTCAAGCTTTTTAAACGGTTAGGTAACATAAACCTCCCACACACCTCTTCAAACCTGGCTCTTGTAATTATTTTATTTGAATTTTTAATTGGATTGAAAGTTTGTGACTCCCCCCCCCCTACACTATCCACATTTTTTTTAAAAAACACACTCCCATCCTGCCTGAGATCTTCATCTGCCCCCTGGTTGAGAAACACTGATTTAGATTCTATAAAGAAACATTGTCAACAGTAGATACCTGGCATACAACTTGACGTTGATATAGTGCTCATGAAGTTTTTCCATGCAAGCTCAAGCAGTATGGACTGGTGGAGGCTCCGGTAGACAATGGGATGATGAAATGTGTCTCTAGTCCAAAGACAAATGATACAGCATCTGATATAGCAGATCTGAGTCTAATCAGTTCCTAGATAGGAGACTGCCTGGGAGCCTGGAGTTCTTTAATTCTAGTTACTACTAAATGGCACCAGCTTTACTGCGGAGTCTAATATAATTTCTGAGCACTTACACTTGTGCCACAAGATACATTTCTGGCCGTCTTCTCACTGTCTGTAGGTTGTTTGGACTGTTTGGATTGATTGGTTTGTGGACTGATGGCCTCTGAAAGTTGGACGTCTCTTGTTGAGGAGATGAACTAGATTCATAAGTGGGCCCAGGAAGGCATTCAGCCTGTGATACTGTGCTCCTCTGCCTTCCTTCCCGTGCTTAGATTAATGGCTTTTTGATTTGATCCAACCATAGTTTGACATTATGTCTGACCTAACAAATTATTGTTTCTGTGAGTCCTCCAAACAAGGATTTCAAATCACAGTTGGATCTTGTTTTGCAATCTCTGATTGGACAACTCACTCAGACCAGTTTGCTGCTTTAAAGGCAATGGCAAACTGGTTTGATCAAACAAGTAAGTTAACCATTTAAACTGTAAGGGGAGGAAGAAGGAAGGGGAAACTCATGAGCACTTGACTTCTGATTACAGTTACAAGGTTCCTGCCTATGTACAGCATAAAGTGGAGAGTGAATCTTCATCTGCTATTTAGATTTGTAATTATCCATAAGGATTTACTAATTGTTTGACCGACAATGCCTTCCATCTGAGAATCGGCTTTTAATTTAGTTAGCAAATTATTTTTTCCCAAGATTCTTTAGAAATGGTTGGTGTTTTATATGCAGGAAATTGACATTGTGTCACCGACTTTAATGCCGTTGGCTGGAACACTGTGGCCTTGGGCATGCCCAGCAAAGTTCTGGGCTGGTTGCCCTTGAACAAGACATACAACCTTCATTCCACCTGCAAGAAACACAAGTCAAAAGCCGCCTCAGACAATTTTATTTATTTATTTATTGAATTTATATACCGCCCTGTACCCAGAGGTCTCAGGGCAGTTCACAGAACAAAATCAAAATATGAAACCACAATATATATAATACAAAACTTAAACCACTTGTGTGGGTCTTTAATTGAGTCATTTCAGGGAAAAAGGTGGGGGATTGATTGATTGAGTAAAACTCCCAGCTTTGTGCACTCCCACTTGGTGCAGACTTAACTCCACTGGTTGCAAATGTAAGCTAGACTGACAACCACTTTCCTATTTTTAGAAGTACATCACTCTAGTTTATAATATTTTGCTAAATTGACACCATTTTGTTCTGCCAAAGGAAGTGGTCCCAGCTGGGGGATGAGGTTCTTGCCAAATGGGACTTGTGACGGGCACAGTGTCCTGGGACACCAGGTCATACACTAGCATTTGTTCCAAATTGAAGAAGCAGAGTTGGGTCAAGCATAGGTCAAGTTCCAGAAAAGCAAAGTCCACATAAACAAAGCCAGGCAAAGTAGAGATTAAAGTCCTAAAGGCAAAGAAGCAAAGTGGGATGGACCTTGGATAGCACCAAGTAGAGCCTAGGCTAGAAGCAGACAGGTTAGGCTTGACTGTTGCTCCCGCAACCAGCAAATTCAGACTGGGCCTTAAAGGTCTGCAGCATCCTTAGAACAGCTAGCCCCTCCACTGATGAGGGGAGTCTAGCCCATTTAAAGAACGAGGGCCTCTGGTGGCACTGGAGAAGTTGGTTGCGTATGGCCTCTGAGCTGGAGTCCTTAGAATCAGAAGATGGTAATGCAGCTTCTTCAGACCAGAGAAGTTCTGGCATTTAAGGCTCCCTGCGTTATAGAACTTCAGCATGCAGATATCAAAGACTGGTTCTTAGTCCAAGAAGTTCTCAATCCATGACCTCTTCCCCTGAGGCTGAGGAGTCCCATGTCATGACATATTTTATATATATTAAAAGTGTTTTGACAGGCAACAGAACAACAGCAGGGCTTCTTAAATTTCTAACTTAGATCTCCAATGCAAACTTTTCTTTCTCACTTGACTCCTCATCTGCATGATAAATACTGGCTTACTTATGAATTTATTCAGTGTGTGGTCAAGATCTCTAGCAAAGGAACTTTGGCCTTAGAGGTACTTTAAAATTCCTCTTTCTTTCCTTTTTAGCAGTGTAAACGTCGCTTGTAATTCTGATGGTCTGAGCAAGGCAAGAGCAGTGGGGCTGAGCGAATGGCAGAGGCACCCCTGCATTTGGGATTCTGCTGCTCCTGCTGATCAGGATAGATGATAGGAGGGCAGTAGGAAGGCTGCTTTCCTCTGCACCACTTCCTGCCGAGAACAGCAGAGAAGCCTGGATCAGCCCCATTAACAGTAGCTGGACTTGGTTTAGGACCCAGTGGATTTGATGGCATTACACTTTACAGCAGGAATATTGCTGGTGATAGTGGGGGGGCGCTTCATGGCAGCAGAGCCCTTGTCCCCCAGTGGTGGAGCTTAGCGGAGCCAGAAGAGACACCTGACTCATCCTAGCCACCTCCAGCACAACCGGTTTTCAGCACAAATATTGTTTTCAGTCCTGGATGTCTCAAGTTTATGGGCTGTCCTGTTAGAAGAGGGCCAAGGAACGTCTACCAGATACCTTGGAAGCACTACTGTCATTTGGTTAGATGCACTAATGGTCTGCGTGACTTGGTATAAGGCGGCTTCAGATACCTTCACAAAACCTTTTTCTCTCTCAACACACTGATTTTTGAAACAGCGTTGTAAAGAAACTATAGAGTGTGGCATTCAACCATATTTACTCGGAGAAGACCACTGAAATCAATGCACATAGGTATGTTCATTCATTTCAGTGAGTTTACTCTGGTTAAAACTTAATTGAATGCAAGCCTTGGAATTTGCTGTTTGCGAAAGAAACTAGTACTGGTTCAGCACTTTGACATTCATGTAAACGATTAGGAAATCCAAATTATTCCTTTGTCAGTTGCTGCATTGCTGAAGCTGTGTTGCACCTGTTCTGACCTGGACCAGCTCAGCACATGAAGATTGCAGAAATCGTTTGGCAGTGGGAGAAAAGTGCCACGTGAATTCACATTTATTTTTCTGAGCAGTGTTAATAGGTGCCCTTTCATTTTGTTTCTTTGTACCTCTTTCCCCCCAAAGTGTTTTTGTATACTTATTAAGAAAATGGTGCCACAGCTCAGGAATCTGGACAGAGCGCATCAAGGAAAATGAAGATTCTGGGTTCTGGTTTGGGCTAACTCTTTTCTAGTTCAGCTCTGTTCTCTTCTTCCCCTGGCAGTAATGGTAACAGCAGTAGCTGGAGCAGTCTTGGTTTAGAAGGAGATATGTATGAGGAGAATTTATCCTTTCCAACATCAGACAGGTTGGTCAAACCAAGACATTGAAACAGGCTAGTCCCTCATATATTAATGCATGAAGTCATAATTTTTCAAGACTGAATAAACTGGCATATATGAAATGTGATTCATTACCCACACGCTTTTCACCTGATCATGATTTTCCTTAACAAATTCATACTGAATGGGTCCATTTTACTGTGCTACAGTGTGACTGTCCCGACAAACATGTAAAATGCAACACTTTTGTGCATGTTCTGCTTGCTATTCTAGATGCTTCCAATTATCTCTTCATAAAAAAGAGCTTGCTTCCTACAATATTTCTGTTTCCCCTTTTGTTTAATCATTTATTTTCTCCTAGTAATTAGAACCATTGCATATAATTCAGTGCATTATAATAATAACATATCTCCTTCTTAAAACTCCATATTTGAAAGGGAAAGGTAGAATTTCTTTTAAAGTTTTATCTGGGAAATTTACAAGCCACGTGACAGAAAATGGCGTGAGAAGCAAAGCTTCCATTTTCACAATCATTCCTTGATACTTTGGTTAATTCATACTATGTTTTCCTTGAATGTCCTATTGAAGTTTCAGACCTTAGTATTATCCTGCTTTGCATTAATTCTACCTTCCTCCCCTACAGTGATGGAACAGAAGACAAAGAGGAAGAGCTTAAAGATACAATTGAAGGTAACCTTAACAGGATGTATCTATTATTCTGTAGTTGATGTAAGAATGCTCTATTTATGGATCAGTTTGTATGAGACTTGTGTCAGAAGAGCAGCCCTCAGCTGTTTCAAAGAATGACCTCTATATTTCGTAATAGCTTCTGGGCGGCTTCTGCTGAAGCTATTCCAATTCATTTTTTTTCTAAGCAAAGTGTGTATGTGGGAATGACCCAGCTCCATCTTAGGGACTTTGGAAATAGTTTCCCCCCCTAAAGTCCTAGAATGCTGAAATTTTTATTGGCCAGCCAGATGAATCAGTGAAGTTCTCTCTTCTCAGGTTAGATACTTACAGTTGAGTGTATATGTCAAAATTAGGATTTATTTAATTTGCTTAACCACAGCATGCACCACATTGGACAGTGGACTTTCATACATTAAACTGCATTTGCCATTTTGTTGCCCATTCAGGCAGTTTAGAGATATCTTTTTAGAACTCTTTGCAGTCGGATTTGGTTTTCGCTATCCTGAATAATTTTATATCTGCAATCTTGACCACCTCCCTGTTCAGCCCTGGCCCTCGGATCATGTGTGAACAAGGCTTTACTGTATTGCTTTACTGTATTGCTGTTATCTGAAGAGTGGGCCACCATAATTCATTGAGTAAAATATGCTCACAGAGTACTAGGCTTTTCATCTTTATTCTCTCTCTTGCTTGCAATAGGGTTGGGAAACATAGGAAAGGCATTGGTAATCATAAATGTTGACATAGGGCCATGCCTGGTGGACTCCCAGCTGAGAATGGCCCTGCAGTGGCTGACAGCTTCCGAAGCAGGGGTGGCCAAGCTGCATTTCCATGACGGTGTTCCAAAGGAGTTTGTTCTTGTGAGTAATGAAAGGGCTGTCATTGTACAAATTGCAGTTGCCGTCCTTCAGCTGTGTTTATCACGTTTTGTAGAAGAAGAAGAAGAGTTTGGATTTGATATCCCGCCTTTCACTCCCTTTAAGGAGTCTCAAAGCGGCTAACATTCTCCTTTCCCTTCCTCCCTCACAACAAACACTCTGTGAGGTGAGTGGGGCTGAGAGACTTCAGAGAAGTGTGACTGGCCCAAGGTCACCCAGCAGCTGCAGGTGGAGGAGCGGGGAAGCGAACCCGGCTCACCAGATTACGAGACTACCGCTCTTAACCACTACACCACACTGGCTTATTGTACTGCAATAAGCGAGAGTTGATACCTTCACAGGTCTAATCATGGGTAGAATAATTAATAAAAGGTAAAGGGACCCCGAACGTTAGGTCCAGTTGCGGACCACTCTGGGGTTGCGGCGCTCATCTCGCTTTACTGGCCGAGGAAGCCGGCGTACAGCTTCCGGGTCATGTGGCCAGCATGACTAAGCCACTTCTGGCGAGCCAGAGTAGTGCATGGAAACGCCATTTAACCTTCCCGCCGGAGCGGTACCTATTTATCTATTTGCATTTTGACGTGCTTTCAAACTGCTAGGTTGGCAGGGAGCTCACCCCATCGCGGGGATTCGAACCACCGACCTTCTGATCGGCAAGCCCTAGGCTCTGTGGTTTAACCCACAGCGCCACCCGGGTCCCCATAGAATAATTAGGTAACCCCCATTAACACTGCATCTAGAACTGTTTCCACAGCAACCTGGGTAGAACTAGAGCAGGCATAGGCAAACTCTGACCTCCAGATGTTTTGGACTACACCTTCCATGATGCCCACAGGACCAGTGGGCAGGGATGGTGGGAATTGTAGTCCCAAAACATTTGGAGGGCCGAGTTTGCCTGTGTCTGAACTAGAGCCTGAGCAGTGGCTAACTCAACTAACAAGTTAGTAGATTTGATAACACTGTTCCAGTCCAACTTGGATAGTCATTTCTGGAGGGTGGTGCCGGGGGAGTGCTCTTTGGCCCCATGGAGCCTTCAATGTGCGGTTCCTCAAGGTTGGATTTTATCCCCCTGTGCTGTTTAACATCTACATGAAATGACTTGAGTGGGGCCATCCAGAGGTTTGGAGTAAGTTGTCAGCAACATGCTGATGACAAACAGCTCTGCTTCTCCTTTACATCTGCAGGTGAGGCAGTGGAAGTGCTGAAACAATTACATATCTTTAGGCATCAGGCAAAAACATTCATCTTCTCCCAGGCCTTTGGCTAATTAAATAATCTATGGTTTTGTAAACTGTGGCAGGGGTTATTGTTTTTGATGGTTACTATGTTTTTATGTTGTGATGGTATTTAATAAATTTGTTTAAATTTACTAAATAAAATGACAGAACTTTGTGGCTGGGCTTGTAGTTGGAAATTTAATTTTCTGCTTTGTGGAACTTCATGCTTCTCAAAAATTTAACTTGGAGTCAGTGGTTTCATTTGATAATAGAGTAAATAATACCAGTGAAACCACACTTTTTGGACATGCATATTTTAGTGTTAATTTGTGCCACTGTGAAATGCTTATTTATTGGGGATGATGATAGATGTATGAATATTTGTTCAGCGTTGGTTTTGGGGGGGCTGTTATCTGCTACCTACATTACCATGTAGTACAGATTTTTTGGGAGTGTCACCCTTAAGAATGGCATCTTTAAGAAAATCAGAGGAAATTCTGGACTTTGAGAGTGCCTTGTTTTTACAGCTGTAAAATATCAAAACGTTTCTGGCTTGTAATTTTAATACTGTGGTTGTTAGTCTGGATATATATTTTTTAAGGAAAGAAGCTTAAAATTACTCGACTTGCAAATTATAAGTTAAAGAAAACAAATGGCTAATGCATTGGTTAGAAATACTTCCTTTGTTGCTGGGATTGAAGCAGAGAGCGAAGTGGAAGCAAGTTGTCCTTTATGTCAGGGAAGCAAGACAATTTTTGTCTTGAAAGCCACATTCTTTCTTCTGCAGGGGTTGTGTACTAGCTGTGGGAAAAGCCACCCTGCACTCTCTTCCAAACATGCTCACATTAATATATACAAATGGCACGCTCCTCTCCATGACACACATATGGTCCAGGCCACCCGTCCACATGCTCTCAGCCTCCCCCATCCCCTCATTCAGCAGTTAGCCTTTCAGGGGAAAGCATTTAACATTTTTTCAAGCCCAGCTGCCCAAGCGGGGGTGTTGGTGTTGGGTGAGATCTTCATGGAAATTGCAGGTGAGGAGAGGAGGGGTGCTTTCAAGCCTAATTGCAGTGTCGGGGCAATTTTTGGGGGTCCCAGTTTGAGTGGAGGGGCAGGTCAAGGAAGGAACCCGGGACCAGAGAAGGAAGCCCAACAGGGTGTGTTTTAAGCCAAAGGGAATCGCAGTGAAGGAAGGTGACCATAGTACAGTCATACCGCAGCTTACAGCCGCTTCAGGTTGCGTTTTTTTGGGTTATGGACCGCCGAAACCCGGAAGTACCAGAACGGGTTTCGGCAGTCGTGCATGCACAGAAGCACTAAATTACGCTTTGCGCATGCACAGAAGCGCCGAATCAAAACCCGGAAGTACCAGAACGGGTTTCGGCAGTCGTGCATGCACAGAAGCACTAAATTACGCTTTGCGCATGCACAGAGGCGCCGAATCGCAACCCACGCATGCACAGATGCGCAGACGTGGGTTGCGAACGCTGCGGGTTGCGAACATGCATTCCGCACGGATCACGTTCGCAACCCGAGCGTCCACTGTATTGTAATTTATCTTTTCAGCTTTACTTTTTAATGTAACCTGTTTTTGCTTTCTCTTCCCAGCTTTCAAAGAAACTGCAAGAGAGAGGCTGGAAAGTGGGAGACCTCTTTCAAGCAGTGCTGAAGTACTGTGAAGTAATGGAGAAAGTTGCTGATGGGGAGAGAGCTCTAGGCAGCAAAACCTTTTTTGGGTGGCTTCAGGAACATGTCTGAATGCCATATGAGAAGATGCGCTGATTTCTTCATGCCTCCTTTGGGAAGAAGGAAATGTGTATCATATACTTTAATTAGCAAATGTACTATTTGTATTGTGATAAGCTTTGGGTTGAAAGTAAGCATAGCTGTCCTGTCAGGTGCTTTGAGATGCTCTGTATGCTTTTTAGCCCATCTTTTTATCTTCATCATAAGCCCCTCCATTCAGCTGGTGTGTGTGCACTTCTGGCTAGGCTGTGTTTTGCCTGCAGCAGCAGTGAGAAGGATGAGCTTTTGTGTGTTGTGTGTAATAAGGGTTTCAGCTGAACCAGGGCAAAAAAAAAAAAGTTATACCTCGCTCCTCCTACTTATTTGCCACTTTCTTTGTGTCTTTTTCCTCTTAACAAGCTCCAAGAGGTATTCAGAGTCCACTTGCAGTTTGCTTTTGCCACTTTCCCCAGAGCAAAGCAAGACTGCGTTGATCTCTGCTGCCTCTAAGGCCTAGCTGAACATGCAAGCAGAATAGGAGGTCTGCTCACTCTGACCTGTGAAGACTCTGGTGGAAGGTTGCATTCCTTGTAAACTGACTTCTCTTAGCAGCTAGAGAGAGCTGAGAGCATGCTTTCAGATGTGTGCTCTCATTATATTTTGATATCTTTTTTGATATCTATGAAAAGTTCTATTTAAATAAAGCGAACCCCCCCCCCCCCAGTTTGTATGTGAAACAAATATGTGCAAAGAAAAATAAGTGGGTTATTCTTAAATGCCTCCCAATAAAGTATGACAGTAGCATCAAATGCACAAAAATTAATAGCCTACCAACAGCTGGATTTTTGTAGTTTATGAGGTGGTGTCAGGAAGCATCTTTGACTTTTGATCTCTGAAGTACTGTCCCAGGACCAATGTTGCGTCTTTATAAAGCAAGTTACATTTGGGACGGTTTGTGACGACAGTTGCTTGTGTTAAAGTAGATTGAACACTGCCTGCAAGAAAAATTGGCATTAGCGTTGCACAGCCATTTTAATATACTCACTTTGGAGATGGAATGACAAGGTCTGTCCGCATGCAGAACATTTCTTTGCTGTAGCAGGATCGGGGCCATACTTCCAGCTCTGCCCCAAATGCATCGCCTCCTTCCTTTGACAGTCGTCTGTTGAGTCTGCTAAGGAATGCTAACGTCCAAGAAGCCTTTGCAGACAACCAGGTTCAGCATGGGAATGTTGAAGGAAGGGCATTGGGAGGGGGGCTAAAACGTTGCCACACCCCTGCTTCAACTTGGGAATATCCTACAGGCAAGCAATGTGTGCATAAGACAGTAGGTTAGAAATAATGGGTTTCTTCGCCATTGCAGTCTGGGACAGGTTGACGTAGTTTGACACTGAGATGGGTGGAGCTTTGCCCTCAATCCATATCAGTGCTTAATCTTAGGACAGCCACTGCCTTGTGTCTTCTCCTTGGCTGGAGGGCAGCAGTACGGCTTTGGTGTTGCACTCCAGCAAAAACAGAGCAGATCTTTGATAATCAAATCCCAAAGGAGGGCCGATGGAAGCAAAAGTCTGCTGCTGCTCCTCCCCTATGACTTCAGCTTCATTCAGGTTATGACACCTCAAGTAAAAATGCATTTCCCTTGTTTCATTGAGCATTGCTTCTCTCAATATTATTTTAGCATGCTTCTGGTCACTTTTTTCACTTTAGTTTTGAGACGTCTTTGTACATTCCTGTTAAAGCTGAAGTTGTATTTTAGGCTGTTATTGTCTGTTGTAACGTTGAGTATTTTTTCATGCCAAGAGTTTACGGATAGTTGGGAATGCAGCTGGTTGGATCAGTTATGCAGAGTTAGGGCAACTCGCAGCCTGGTTTGATCTTGAGGCAGTTTACTCCAAAGGAAATTCTACCGAAGTCCAAGTAAATGTGTTTAGGATTGTGGTATCAGTTGGCCATTGATAAAGGCACTCAATGAATTTTGACTTTTTGCACTTTTTGCATCTTGAGGCCTCAATTTGAAGAGCAGCCTCCCTCTGTTGACCCCCTTTTAAACCCCTAACAGCTTTGTACTGTGAAATCTGTGGCTGCTTGAGGGGTGGGAAAGAGCTCCCAGCCCAGTGATCACAGTGAAGGTGGCTGAGGCATCAATTCCCGAATCCCCTTCTCCACAGTTCTGTTGCACTTGAGCCTAATGGTTTCTTTGCTGCACACCTTGGTGTGGGCACAGATCTTGTGCCTGTAAAAGGCAAGTTGACATTCTTCAGTTTCCCATGGCACACACCTGCAGGGCCGGAAACCTCGCCTGCTCAGTTTTTCTCCTGGACTACAGCTTGAAGGAACAGAAGCTGTAGTGAGGAGTGGATGACAACTAGAAGCAGTGCTGTGGAACAGCTGGGAAAGGGACATTAAGAAGCCCTTGCTGCCTTCCTCCTGGGACTCTGAAACCCACTTAAGTAGCTCACGTACATCCAAATGAGAGAGATTGGGATTAAGGAGCCTCGGAAGCACCACCTGTATGAAAGATAGCTTGGGAAAGGAACTCTTCATCCTCTCCAAGATTCTTCATAGTCTGGTGTTTCCGAGAAGAGCTACAGGACTTGAGGTCTACATCACCCCAAAACCCAGCTGAAGTGAAGGTTAAAGCCCTGGTTTTCACCTAGTCTGAACAGCAAGCAAGAGGTGCTTTGCAGCAGCTGCATTTTGCTTAGTACTTAGGGTTGCTTTCTTACGTTTTTCCTACATGGAGAACACAGAAATGTGGTTTCCTTGTCTTCCCAGGACGTGTCAAATACTTGTGTGAATGATGGCCGCGTGTGTAAACTGCATATACTTTTCACACTTCTTCCTGCGCAGAAGTGCTTTCGGTCCAGGAAACGCGTAACATGCAGCTAAAAAGCAATTTGAATAATTAACAGTTGTTTATATCTCTGTGTAGCGAATGAAGCAAACAAGATCCTTCCCTGTGTAATGACGACTTTTTGTTTTTTTGTTTTTTGAAATGTGGTAATACACTTAGTTGTGAGATGTGAATTTCAAGTTGCACTAACCTCGTCTTTGTTGAAGCAGTCTCTTAAAATAAATTATATATAAACATATTAGGTACTGTGTAATGCTTTCTGATTATTTATCATGTAAATTGTCAGTTTGCTTTTTTCTCTTCCAAACAAAGGTAGGACTTAATTGTATGGGGATTCTTGGTTGGGAGCGTTTGTAGTTTCAGACATGTTGCCTGAAAGCAGCTACAGAAACTTCCAATTGCCCTGAGATTGCAGAAGCAAGGGAAAAAGACATGATGGCTCCATCCAATGGCTAACTGCTACTCAGGCAACCACACCAGTGAGGAGAGATTAGACTGGCCCTAAATGAATGTAAGACCCCTGTTGGATAATAATAATAATAATAATTTTTATTTATACCCCGCCTTCCCCAGCCAAGGCCGGGCTCAGGGCAGCTAACAAGCAATAATAAAAACAAGTTGAATGAATACAACTTAGAAACAAGATTAAAATACAACATTAAAATATTGAAACATTAAAATGCAGCCTCATCGCAGGAGGAGAAAGGAAAAAGAAAGAGGGGGAGGGAATCAAACTGGCTCCAAGCCAAAGGCCAGGCGGAACAACTCTGTCTTACAGGCCCTGCAGAAAGAAATCAGATCCTGCAGGGCCCTGGTCTCATGAGACAGCGTTCCACCAGGCCGGAGCCAGTGTTGAAAAGGCTCTGGCTCTGGTTGAAGCTAATTTAACTTCCTTAGGGCCCGGGACCACTAGGGTGTTGCTATTTATGGACATTGAGGCTCTCCATGGGGCATACCGGGAGAGGCGGTCCCATAGGTATGAGGGTCCTAGGCCGTGAAGGGCTTTAAAGGTCAAAACCAGCACCTTAAATCTGCCCCTGTACTCCACCGGGAGCCAGTGCAGCTTGAAAAGCACTGCGTGAATATGCTCCCATGGCAGAGACCCCGTGAGGAGCCTCGCTGCAGCATTCTGCACCCGCTGGAGTTTCTGGGATCAGGGCAGTGACCCATCAAGTCCATCCTCTTTTTCTCACAGTGGCCAACCAGATGTCTGGGGGAAGCCTACAAGCAGAGTTTCCTTCCTTGTAACTTGAAGCCATGGGTTTAGATCCTACCCTCTGGAGCAAACAAGCTTTCATGTGGCAGCCCTTTAGATATGTGGCTATCATATCTCCTCTCAGTCTCCTCTTTTGCAGGGTAAACATACCCAGCTCCCTCAATCATTCCTCGTAAGGGTTGGTTTCCAGACCCTCGATCCTCGATCATCTTGGTTGCCCTCCTCTGTACCCGTTCCACCATGCCAATATCCTTAAATTGTGGTGCCCAGAACTGGACACAGAACTCCAGGTGTGGTCTGACCAAGGCAGAATAGAGAGGTACTATTACTTCCCTTGATTACACCTCTCTTGATGCAGCCTAGAATAGCATTTGCTTTTTCTGCCGCTGAATCACACCGTTGACTCATGTTAAGCTTGTGGTGTATTAAGAACCCTCAATCCCTTTGCTGCCTAAGCGTTGAACATTTCATTTGCCACTATAAAAATTCATTTTGCTAGTTCGGGCCCAGTTCCCAAATCTGTTAAGGTCATTTTGAATTCTGATTGTGTCTTCTACGGCATCAGCTACTTGTACCAGTTTGGTGTCATCTGTAAATAGGATGAATAGCCCCTCAATTCCTTTGTCAAAGTTGTTTATAAAGTTGTTGAACCACAACGGGCCCAGGTCAGAACCCTGTGGCACTCCACTTGTCCCCTTTTCCCAGGATGATGAGGAACCATTAGTGAACACTCTGGGTTCAGTTAGAGATTTGTCTGGCATGACTTGATTTTGAGAAACCCAGCATGGCTCTTATGAATCTGTTGTTGGCATCCGTCTGTCTCGGGAGACAATGGAAGAGGGGGCCTTGCAGGTAAAATAAAACCATTTGAGAGTTACAATTCCTGCTGTGACTGTACAGACAGATATGGGAGAGACATGTTTTCTTGCAGGTGGGGCAGACGACAACATCCAGCCTTGCTGCTACGGGTGCACCATGGCACCTCCCTCTATGCTTCTCTCAGCAGTCATTCTTCCTCTGGTCACTGCTATTGACGTATGACCTGTCTGTCTCTAGGCACTGTGATCGTCTGGAAGGAATTCCGACACTGTGGGGTTAAAGGTTGCCAGCTTTCATGGCACGTTTGCAGACATCTTTGTAACACAGAGTTGGTCTGCCAACTGGCCTAGCCAACGTCTTGGTGATCCTGCCATCTTGCATTCTGTAGACATGGCCCAAGCCAGTGTAGGCATTGCTGATACAGAAATGTGAACAAGCTAGGAACATGGGCACATCTTGGTTTGATGTCTTGCCATGTGATGGCCAAAATCATCTTGACACAGCATATATGCAAGGCTCCTGGAGAATGTAAGTTGCCCACAACTCACTTCCATAAAGCAGCATACTCAACACGCAAACTTGGTAGACCAAGCACCCCCAACCTGTGGCTCTCCAGATGTTTTAGCCTACAACTCCCATGAGCCCTAGCTTATAGGCCTAGTGGTCATGGATGATGGGAATTGTAGTCCAAAACATCTGGAGGGCCGAAGGTTGGGGATGCCTGCGGTAAACCATCTTGGTATTGGTCATTAGCATCACATGCTCCCATACCCCTTTTGGAGAGATGAGCCATTGGTGTAACTGTCTTGCCTATACCAGCATCAAGCTGGTTATAGTGGAGCCCAGGTAGACAAAACCCTCTACCACCTCAAGTGTGTGGTCACCAACGCTGATATGTGGAGAGCCAGCAACATCCTGACCAGGATCTTGGTCTTTGCTGATGGTGAGGCATGCTTGGGCCAAACAGATGGTGAGTTTCTGTAGAGCTTTCTCAGAATGCGCTGTCAAGGCTTCGTCATCTGCAAAGCACATCTCTCAGATAAGAACCCATCATACTTTGGTATGGAGCTGTGCCACGTTGAAGAGACCCCTGTCTTCAGTATACAGTATACACCGTCTTCAGTCGAACTGAAGGCATAGAAGAGCCAACAGGCAGAAAAATATGCCAAAGAGCTGGAGCGAGAACACCTATTTCACACTGCTCTTTATGGGGGATGTTTCTGAGGATGAACTGCCATACTGGACAGTGCAGCGCATGTTAGTAATCACAGCATCCTTTTTCTAAGTGCTCAAAATACCAGCTGCTGAATTCTCTGTTCTAGGGCCTTTCCTGGTATTGATGTCAAGCTCATTGGTTGTTGGTTACCTGGGTCGTCGTCTCCTCCCCCCTTTGTGAAGATGGGGACAACATTTGCCCACCTCCACTGTGCAGGAACCTCACCTGCTCCAAGAATTCTCAAGAGTACATATGGTACAACAAGACTGAGGAGATTTCACCCCTCCCATATCCAAGAATCTGCTGATGTGCTCTGCTAATTCTCCAGAGAGGAGGGGGTGGTTTCTGCTCTCTACTTATTCTGCTCCAGCCTCTCATCAAAGAGCGAGAGAGAGACTGAGTGTTAGAGAGAGATCGTGTGTATAGATAAGGTTGCTGCTAAGAGCAGCTGCAGACACTCAGTGCAGTTCAGCATTTTTCGCTTAGACCTCATTTAGCTCTGTACATAGTTGTGTATTATAGTTGTAGATAGAATAAAGAAGATATTCTACAGAGCTGCTCTCCGAGTCGTTTATGCTCTGCTATACTCTGCTGTACTCTGCTGTACGACGACTGTCTTCTTGTTGGAGTGAATCCGGTGCTCACAACTCTAAGCTGTGAGTCCACAGCACTTTGACCTGTTCCTGTGCAGAAGGTGGTCTCTGGAAGTGCTACCCAGCTCGCCTGGCCCACTCGGGGCTGAAGTGTGTGAGTCCAGTTGGTGGCACTGGCTCAAGGGCGATGCTGACAAAGACACCACCTTAGGACAGTCTTATGTACACAGGCCTCCACTCCAAACAGCAAATGTTAAGCCCCTTGTTGAAGAGTTGCTGTCCGAGTCTCGCTGCCTCCTTGTACTCTGGGCGCATAGTGCAGCTGGGCTGGTTAACCACACAGCTAGTCAGGCTCTTCCTGCTTCTTCAAGGATGAGATGGGTAAATAGGAATACAAAAACACTGAAAAATGCTAAGTGGCCATCTCTCCACCATGGAAACTTCAAATCCACAAGAGATAATGTTGGTTTTGAAGAGTGGACTGAAAAGAAAAATAATGACTAGACAAGAATGTCTCCATGGAAAATTAACTGAAGAAGCTGCTAATTAGAGCAGAATCGCTAGAGGAAAATTATTTCCAGGCCATGCTAACATTTATCAGATTAAACTCCCTTCAACAGATGGAGTTACATCAATCAAATCAAAGGAGGAGTATAATTTGGTGCTTTAAAGCTTTTAACTGTATTTAAGCCTGTGAACCTAATTATTCTCACTTTACTAATGGTGTCTATGGGCCTGAGAGAGCGAGATAAGTGAACCAGGGTTTAAATCCAGATATTCTGTGTCTAAATCCCACAGCCCTCTTCCATGCTTTGATTTCAGAGTAGTTACACGTATACCACATTATTGCATAAAAAAAGAAAAAAGGCCCAAACTTGCTGTGTATACAGCTGAAATTTTAGCCTGACAAGGAGCCTGCCCTAGCCTTTGTACACTTTGCTTTCCCAACGGTGACTTGAAATATTTTTAGCTGCACTTTAGAAATAATTCTGTTGTTCTGCTCTGTCAAATTAAACATCTCTCCTAGTACTTAAGAGCATGACACACATGTTTGCTTAGCCTCCCTCTCCTCCAACCTTTTTCTTTTCTGTTGCTTTTCCACTCCTCCTGGAAACAAGATTCCCAGAGATTCAAGCCTATCAGTGGTTCATAGTTTGTATACAACTGGATCAGGAGTCAGGACAACTTCCAAGGTAGCTGCAAGCTCAAGCCTGTAAATTCTTTTTCATTTTTTAAAAATGTTGGTACATTTAAGGTGGGGAGGGAGAGGAGAGTCAGCCAGTTGTTCTATTTTGAAGGCCAGATCTTTCAGCCTTACTTTCCCCTGGTAAATAAGCTCAGAGCCCTTGGTTTTGCTCCACATCTGCTTTCAGCATTCCCGGTGCCCCAGGGCTATT